GAAAAAAAACCCTGGAATGAAAACCCCCTTTTTTAAATCTCCACAATAGGTAGGTAATATATCTTAGGGCGATTGTACAAGGCAAGTATATACCTATAGTATAAGTTATTCCAAGTACAAAATCTGAAAATTGGATTGAATTTTTAGATTTTATACTTGAAATAGCTTATACCTGGTATATACTTGCATTTGCATTGTGGAACCGGCCCTTCGTAAAATTTCTAAAAGTGCGAACTAGTACTTCTGTTCTGTATTAGCTTGCAAAAAGCGTTGTTCAGTGACTTATACCTGGTTTCACAAAGAGTGTTAGTTAATCAATGATTATATGGTATATGATTGGTCGATTTTTGATGTTTACCAAATGACATAGGCTCAAACCAACGTTATTCATCTGTTAAATATTAACAAATGATTGTGATCTTAATCACGTTTGCGAAAACATACTTTAAATTCATTTAAAATTACACCAACAACATTTAGGTCAATTAATCCCAAAAAGGAAGAAAGCAAAATATGTACTGCTGCAAAGTAGACTAAAAAATATCTGCGAAGAATACAGCGCCGGACAAAGAGATGTGGTAAACTTCTTAGAAGCTATAAGTCATAATATTAGGTTTAATTAGGCTTAATGGTAGTTTAGGATAATATGCAATTACGTATTTTGTAAAAATTGTGAAAATTTGTTAATAGAATATCTCAACCGAGTTCTGTTTGATATTCCTGTTTCAGTAAACAATATGCAACTTTAGAGCTCTCGCGCAATATTTCCTTTTTTTCTCTGTGGTTTTTCTTCCGATTTTTTACCAGGGGGTCTTTCTTTCCGTGGGTTTTTTTCCGGGGGGTTTTCTTTCCATTTGTTTTTATTCCGGGGGTTTTTATTCCGGGTTTATTTTCCAGGGGCCTTTTTTCCGGTACCGGCGGAATATATCCAATGTTGCCACTGAGTACCTTCAGATCAGTACAAGGTAAAATACGGTAAATGTAATTTTATTATTTATTTTTACATAAGAGAAAACTATTTTGAATTTTTACAAAATGAAGCGATAGGTACTAATTAAAATGTCTTTTTTTTAACAAAATCTGAAGGATATTAAGTAAATCACGATCACACTTAAACTTGATATACCATTGCAACTATTGCATTTTTGACACCTCAAATCTGGTATTAACAACTTCCTCATCCGAATCAAGAACGGGTAAGGTGGGGTCACTGGTTATATTCTCCTCTAACCACTTGATGTCGTCTTCAATACTGTGGGTTTTGGGCGAGTTAGGACGCTGATGGTTTATTCGTATTTTAACGCCGTAAGCGTCATTAACCAACTGTTCCTCTTCTTCATCATCGCCCGTTTCCAATAATGGCACGAAAGCGTACCTTTGATTATTGTTTGTCGGACGCCAAAGTATCATTATTACAAGTAAAACGGCCGAAAACAAAATGTGCCAATAGGCTTCTTCTAACCACAAATCTTTCCAGACTAATAAGCAAGTTACGACGCGATGCACTTTAATTGCGTAAAGCATAAAAATAACAGAAGCCACGACACAAAATATTAACGCATTTGTAAAATGTCTATAAAGCGATAGCTTAACTTCGTTTCGCCTCAGTCTCAAAGTCCTCGTCGTATTAACGAGGGCATTAAAAATCCACCAGCAGATTGCGGAATCTAAAACTGCTAAAGGAACGGAAGCCACCAACAAATCTTTCGTTTGATTATTCTTCGGTTTCGTTATTCTCAAGTACGCTTCGCAGGCCGCCAGTAGAAAATATAAAAGCCCGACGCCGATAACGCGATGCAAAGCGGCGCCCAATCTCGGTTTTACAATCCCGAATCCTAAACTAACGATAATCACTAGCATTCTCGCCAAGGTACGCTTCGCGCACGAGACCCACTCGGCGAAGATCATCGCCCCTTGAACACGGACGCCGCTATTATTAATACTTTGAAACTCCGCGTAGAATGTCGCCTTCTCCAACATCCCAAGCAGAATGACGCCACCAATCCAAAACTGTACCCGTAATAAATCGCGCCATTGCATAAACGAAACGATCAACCATATCAAGCCGAATATTACGTATAAAATGCACATTACACCGTAGAACGGAAGCAAAGGCCAATCCGCCGCCGATAGATAACCGTAATCGTTCTTCATCTCCACGTGAACGCCCAAATTAAACGACGGACTGCTGCCCGTGACGCGAAATATTAGTACGTAAATGCCATCCTTCGGTACGATATAGATCGGATGCGCCTTCTCTAAGGACTGCTGATTCTTCTGTAACTTCGCCTCGTCCAGAATAATATGATCGTCGCATGTATAAGTGCGATCCCTTGCACGATGATATGTAGTGTCGTTTATGGTTTTATCGGACGATTCTAACAACTAAAACGGTTTTTCTCGGTCATTTACATATCTGATGAATAGATCATCGGATAGTGACTCATTTTCATACGTGAAGAGTGCCGCACATAGTGGCGATTATAAGAAATGAAATGTGCTGTGTCGCCTATATTTTTGCCTGGCTTCAGATAGCTACAGTCCACTAAAGTGTTGGCAAAATTTGAAATTTTAATTCTCGCCTTAACTCACGACTAACTTTAGCGCATTTTCCATGAACACCTGATGTTTAAATATGCAATATCTTTGCCTTTGCAAAGTATTTTGTGCAAAATAAACTTTTTTATTAGGGGCAATATGGACTGTCCTAGTGCGAAAATCATATCTGAGTTTGAGGATAATAAGTACTTAAATGCTACCCTAATTGACATTTCCATGGCATTCAACTGTGTACCTTTTACATCCTACTTCACCAAAAAAAACTAAGGCTATTATTCAAAAACATTCACAGTTTATTTCGAGAAGAACCCAAAAGTGACCTTTAATCATGATATATCATACATCAATAATTACAAAAATAGAAGTACCACAAGAATCCGTGTTAGGACCACTATTTTTTATATTTTTGAATAATATACCAAATTACAAAACAGATAATGGCAAATTACTGGAAGCATTCTCTTACAGTGAGGCATATTTTTGCTATCCAAAGAAAATGCATAGAGGTATTACTGAATACTAACTGATAATAATTCATAAGCATATGTCAAATGGCTTGTGTAAGAAGTGTAATATCCTACACATTTCAAGCTCAAACCTTCAATTAAGCCCACACTTTAGTCATATAAATTGTATCACAATAAACACAATGCCAGCATTCAGTTTCAAAGGCGTGTACAAAGAAATAAACAAAATTTTTCAACCCAAACAGGTACTTTATCAATTTGCACCACTTTTTGGGATTGCAAATGCCACCTGCAACATTAAAGACTGGTTACCCAAAGCCAGGTAATATTAATTAATCAGTTTAGTGTACGTAAGTGAAGCATGTACTCTTCAATCCTCATCGAGAATCTGTCACTATCTGACGGTCCAGAATTAAGACTTACATCCCTTCCTAACGTAATAGCGTCGGAATAATCCCAGCAAGGCGACTGAATTACTATCCACCCGATTGTTATGTTTATAGGTGTATCTTGTGTACTTTCGCAATTAACTACAGAAAAGTTATGCAATAAATGTTATTAGATTATAAATATTAGTTACCTTTGACAAAAATTTGAGAAGCGTTGTATAGACTTTTCGACACAATCATGTGATTTCCCTCCTGGAATTATAGTAGTGCCATGTTATCTAATTTGGAAAAGTGCATATGTACATACCATTGTTAAATTGTAGTCCCATTTACCCTCATCGGGCAATGCACGAACCCCATAAAATGCCAGCATGAAAATCACAATTTGGTAAGGTAACATTTTTGCGATGGTGTTTTGTATTGCGTTTAGGCATTTACATTTCACCTCATTCTAATAGTATTTGTTTATTTAAATATCATTACATTGTCATTCAGATAAATGCGTCACTTTTTTGACAGTTGCAGACACCTGGCAGCACAGACCACGCTTTTACCGGCCGGCATTTAAACACAGGCGTGGCAACAGCAATTAGAACCATAGGCGTAGAAAATCATTACGGGAGGCGAGTAAAATACAGTGAACAGTATTGCAAATACGAGATTAGCATTTATATAAAGTGCAAAATAGAAAATGGGTGTTTTCAACGCAACACGCAACATTACCGTGAAAGGAGAAAAAATAAAACGCTCTTGAATGGTATTACAGAGCTCTCTCTCCAAGAGAGCTAGTCCAAAAATTTCTTCGGAGTTTCGATTATGCAACTGGCAATAATAATGCAAGTTGCATGAATTTGCTTAGGATAAGCATACATGGTGTAGAAAAGGTCTACGCATCATAGGGATTTCACTGGTAATTTCTGTATATCGAAATATTTTCTCCTCTAATTAATTTACAACAAAGTTTTAAATCGGTTTCTTGTAGCTTGAAAAATTCTAATTTATAAGTAACTTCTCCGATTTCCCACAATAAAAAAAAATGAATAAAGGCAGAATTTTACTATTGCTGTAAATTAATTAAGGGAGGATATATTTCGATATAAACCAATTCTACACTTTGTATGGTTAATAGCATAAATCCATTACACGTTAATCACCACGTATGTCTTGTAGTGAGGGCAATAAGATCAGAATAGTAAATATTAAGTATATATATATATATATATATCTCGGTTACTTTAGTTACTAAAGGGTTTCTGACAGCAGCTAAGGCATCAGTTGTTTCATGTTACGCCACTGTTGCAATGTGGCTAGCGTAGCGTAGCCGTTGAGCTTTGAAGTTTGAATGAAGGGCTCAAGGGAAGTAAGGTTATGTTTAGAATAAAAATAAAAGAATAAAACACAAACTCAAAAATGATTGTTTCTACATTAAAAAATGTCAAACTCCCCAATCTTTACGTTAGAAGTAAGTTTCAACGTACCCCTGTACTTTCCATTACTACTTTTGTGTTGTAGTGCTCCAACGTTTTGCCTCACAGGCAAACAATCCATCCCCCGTGGACGCGAACAAAAGTCTATCGGAATTCCGCAAGGTGTACGTGGAATTTCTACCAGACCCGACGGTCGAATTTCGTAATCCCATCCGAGAGAAACTAGAAAGATTAGATATGCTCGCCAGGAGAGCGCACATCGATATTCCCGAGTTTTATGTTGGTAAGTCCCCGTGTGTTATCGTGCACCTCTTATGGGCACATTTATAGGTTCAATTTTGGCAGTGACCTCTTCGGACCCACACTCGTTAGGAAAGACAAACCGATTTGTGGGTATCTGCATCAAACGAGAAGGTTGCGGTTTGCGAGCGAAATTTATTTTACGAAACGTCATAGATCACCAAGTATGCCACTTCAGAAATGAAAGCTTGTAACTAATCAATTCTAGGGTGTCGAAGTACTGTACGAAATGTACGATCCCGCCTTGCAAAAAATTGAAGTTCTCCGCCTAGAGAAACGATTGGACGACGAGCTGATGTACCTCAGGGATGCGTTGCCGGAGTATAGTACATTCGACATAAACATGGAGGTTGAAATACTTCCCGAAGGTTCACCTGTACCCGTCAACCCTCTTAAAGTCGTTTTAAAACCGAAGCCTTGGCTAGAGAGATGGGAACGACAAAATTTAAAAGGTGTGGAGGAGTTCGAAGTTTCGCCTCGCGACAGAGAGAGGGCTGAGAAAGTGGCGACACCGTGGTTGAAATACGATTTGATGAAAAATTACATGTGAGTTATGTTCTTTGTTTTTAGGAATTTCTAATTTATGTTTGCAGGAAAACTATTCCGGAAGAGGAACAATCCGAAATCTTCAACGAAATTCAAGCGCAACTGCAACAGCTGGAACTGACACGTAAGAAGATGAAGCGAAAACGTTCGTTTGTTAAACCGTTTAAATTGGGCTAATAGAAAGCTTTTTTTATTAAACCGTTTACTCATTTGCAGGGTTTAGGTGTGTAATTTGGCTCATTCCTAAATTTTCTCAGTACAGTATTTGTATTTTTTCGTCTGTCTTACGTTAGGGGTTTCCAAGATCTTTTCCAAGTGAATGTTCCATAAAGTATCTTGATTTGGTAAAGTGGGAAGGAATATGTATTTTTAAAGTAGCAGGGAGTTTCATTACATAAATTTAGTGCAGGTGGGGAGTGTGCATTAACATCAGTGGCACATACTTAGATGACTCAATTGATTTCTGGTTTGTGGTTTGATCGTTCAAATGTTCAGACGATGAAGGGCCAATTTTATCCAACAGTTTAACACATTTTAGTTCTTTTTCCACTTTTTCAAATACTTTTTGGTTAATTTCCATGAGGCCTTTCCTATCATTTATATCATTAGGTTGGGCACACAAAACGTCACAATGCAAGTATCTTCTGCCTGCTCCAAAATTGCTTTTCAAAATTTTAGTTTGTGTTGCTAGTAACTCTCGAACTATTTCCCTAGTGAGATTCCTCATTTCTGTTGAATTGACATAGGTGGTCGTCATATGTTTCCGATTGTCAAGGGAGTATAAGACGTAACGGCATTTTAAAAGTTGCTTCAATTCTTGGTGCTGTTTCTCGACGTAGAAATTATTTACCAAAGAGTTACAGAGTAAATTATACGTCATATAACTTTGAACACCTGGTATACACGGATGGTAGGGTTTTACTTTATCGCCAAATAGTGCTAAGGGGTTCCACATTTTTCTGTAAAGTTTTGAAGATTGATGGACTTGATGTCCCATTAAATTTTGCATTTCACTAATCTTGAAACTGAGACTAGCAACCTCCAAGAAATCTAGGACGTTTATAGTGTCACTTGGAATATCAACTGATGGTAAATGCATAGAGCTACGATTATTACAAAAAAAAAGTTCATAGTGTTTACTATTGACGGCATCAAGCATGTTATCGTCAAAATTAATGAAAGATGTAAGTTCGTTCCACTTTTCAAGCAGTTCTTTCACAATGTCGGATTCCATAAGTTTCTTTGTTGCATGATGCAATTTTTGCCTTGCTGGCATCACCAAACGTATTACTACCTCGGCCATTGCAAATTTTGAGTTGTGATTCGAAAACAGTTAGAATTTTGTTTTTGCAAGTACCTAACTTGATTTTTCACTGTTTTACTTTAGTCTTTTTACATGGCCCTTCTCATACAGTGTCAAATTGGAAGCTTTATATTAAGTAGGCTTCGGATAGGGGTTCTCTGGGTTTAGTTTATCAGTGTGGATTTGTGGCTCAAACTAATCTTATAAATTTTAGGTACCCCCGGGTTAAGCAATGTGTTTGATCAAGTGCAACTTTTTTACTGATTCAGAAGTTTCAGGTATATTGGGTACAATTAATTTGCGGCATGTGAAGGTGTCAACTTTATTGACAACAATGTAATTCATTGTTATATGTACAAATTGCATGCAAGCTCAGTTGGCTTTGAATTGCGCCTGCCTTTCGCAATTTTTCTTGTAAGTTGCAACACGCAATTACAATTTTTATTGCTCCATGTCAAACTGGCTTTAACATCAAAACTACTTAATTATAACTGTGAAATCCAACATATAAAATGGCAACAGGTCTTACTTGGTTTTAACAAGATGGACAAAAAAAGCAATTCCATTCGAGGCAAAGAAATTGTGTCAATCGTGGGTTGGCCCCCTAGGCTTTAGCGTACGCGTAAATCTGGCTCTACGCACACAGATCAGAAAACACTTGTGTGGTAATTGTACATGGCCAAACCAACTTGGCTCATTGCTCAGATGTTGGTAGTTCAATATCACAATAGATCAAATGACAACAGTAGACCCCACTTGCAGATGGTTGCACATTTGACTCCTTCAATACTGCGCAACCGCAAGCGCGCGAAAATTTGAATTTGGGTAGAATTGTCAATTGTAAGGGGTAAAGTCATATAATGGGGTAAGTAAATAATACACATAACCTGCAAGCATAATTGAGGATAATTTAGCTTACCTGGCTTACCTATTGTAAGTAGGTGTAGTAGGTATATATTACTGCCATCTTATCAAGATTAATTTTGTTGTTATCTGACTAGAATATGCCAAAGGCGATAGAAAGAAACTATTTCGGTAAGTACTGGAACAGTTAATTAGAAATAGTTAATGAAATCTACTTACAGACCAATATTGACCTACGGTAGAGAGAGAGTTGGGTGCTGAACGAAAAATCACCTGTTGAAGTGCAAGTGATAAGGAAATCAAGAGGGATAAGGGCCCACCCCCCTGTCGCATTTTGTAAAATGTTTACGACGAGAGTGTCTTTTTACTTAGTTTGCTTATGACTAGCTATCCTCGTTCGTAAAGATGGCAGATGTCAGAGAAGAGATGTCAACGAGGGTATTTACAGTGGAGGGTCGGTTCCCATTGTTTGGCAGCAAGCCAAATGGAAGTGGTAAAGTTGGTAAGATTCGTTTTAAATTGAAATTTACGATTTGAAATTGGAATTGTGTAGGTATAGTGCTGCCACGGGTAAAGGTTTCATCAAACTGACGCAGTGGAACTGTTTGTACAGCTAAGAAACGTAGGTCTAGCGCACAGATCAATGAAGTTTAACGAAGTAAAATGCAGAATTGACACTCTTCCTGGAAGTACCAGGATTTCAATTAAATTGTCACAATTGTAGTATGAATGTTCTGCAAGTCAGTGATCATTTCTCTGTATTAAACATCGAATTGAACGCAGCTGACATAACCCACTTCAACGGATTAATATGAAGGGTAGCAAAATGAGCCCTATCATGCCTGATAAATAAATCGGAAACTAAATATACCGCAACAAGTTGTTTTATTATAAACCGTCGATACTAAGGTACGTCATATTTTAAGGCTAGCGCAAGCAGTGCTTACGTTCACCAGACGAAGCGCTTCATAAGCCCTACCCAAAGACAGGAATACTCTAGCAAGGTTTTTCTTGCGAGTTGCTGTGTGATAGCATTGTCGAGGTCCGTACGTCGACTCACGGTGATGTGTACACCTCGACAGTGCTATCAGACACGTACGTCTTTAGGTAGCGCTAATGAAGCACTTCATCTGGTGAACATTATCGTAACCGTCACCACGAAACTTTTAAAGGTCTACAAACTTACCCCACATCAAGATATCAATGAAATCTTAAGCGTCTTGATTCAAACATGAAAAAGCTGCACAAAACGTTAAGTTTTTAACGCAAACAAACGAATTTAAAATAAGACGCCATCTTCTTGTTCTTGGGATAACATTTAACACGACATCGAAAACACCGATTTGTGAACACTTCCCCGCCGGTTTTTGTTAGTTTAAGCGTTGAATTTAACAACAAATTCAAAATTTACGTGGTCGCGTCCCGAGATCCTACACGCAAACGCCGATTTAAATTCGTACGAAAAGGAGAAGGGACGCCATAACTGTTTGTAGTTTAATTATTACGATTAAACACCGATTTACGTATGATGAACCGAAACGAACTATGTCCCAGAATTATTCCCATCTTTTGTTTGACTTTTTTAAAGTTTATTTTAATATCGCACTTCGTAAATTAGCAGCAAACCGAAAAAACACAACACGCTTGGAACGGCAGCAACGACATAGTTGGTCACGTGACGAAGATAGTGGTCATGACGTCACAGCTGCAAGACTCCCTACGATTCGCCCGTTTCAAAAAATGGTCCAATCAAATGCATCCGGCTTTTTCTGTTTACTAGTTATTCCCGGAATTCTAAAGCGATGGCATATTTACTTCCCAAGATCTAAAAATTGTTGCGATGCAAAACGTTTTCACACAGAATTGGCGAAAATAACTTCTATGATTCCCCTTTATATTTTTATGAATGGGAAGATCGTGGATTTATTACTTAATAATAATCGTAAGATGTTTGTGCGCTGTGACCCCCAGTGCTACGTTCTTGAGGCTCTCCCTTAAAAAGTTGAATTTTCCTTTTGTAATGCGAGTATTTTGGGGGGTTAAGGTCAGGGGAAAGCGACGTAAGTTCTGGAAGTGCATGGTGCATCTGCAAGTCAGTAGATCCAGTCATAGTAGTTCCACTGTACTTATAACCTCCAATTAACTCAAAAGTCAATTGTCCATTTACATGAAGTTTTTGCAATTAAACCACTTTAAATCTAATTTTTCTCTTCCTTTCGTTCGATATCTTTCACAAATGACCGCAAAGAACACCGCCGCCGTTTGCCAATTCACTGCCACATCTAACAAAGAAGCAAATTTAAAGATCGTCACGAGACTAGTGTCGGAGGCTGCAGAAAAGGCCAAGGTCTAAAATTCAGTTAGCTTTAGACTATAATTCTAGTAGCGTGTTATAGGTCATTTTTCTACCCGAAGCGTGTGATTATGTTGGAACCAGCATTACGGAAACAAAACAACTGGCAGAACCGTTGGATGGGAAATTAATGTCTCAGTACAAGCTTCTAGCTCAGAGACACAACGTATGGTTGTCAATCGGGGGATTTCATGAGAGGCAACAAGTTAACGGACGGGTATGTTCCGTAAATGTCGCTTTTGAGTAATCTGTTTGTGCAGGATACATTGCATAACACACATGTTTTAATTAACTCGGAGGGTGTAATCACAGGGACTTATAGGAAAGTGCACTTATTTGATGTTAGCCTTCCAGAGAGTAATATAAATCTACAGGAATCTAGTTATATAACGGCGGGTACTCAAATTGGAGCACCAGTCAGTACTCCCATCGGATCCGTAGGTCTCATGATTGTGCGTATCAGCTTGATAATTGACTCAAGACTTTACGTTTGTTTTAGTGTTACGATTTACGTTTTCCAGAATTGAGCTTAATTTTACGGAAAAATGGAGGAGACGTTCTAACATTCCCATCCGCATTTACTGTTACAACCGGTGAAGCACACTGGAAAACTTTGCTAAAGTCACGTGCCATCGAAAATCAGTGCTATGTTATCGCGGCCGCCCAATACGGTGTACATAACCGGAAGAGAATTTCGTTTGGAAATTCATTGGTAAAAATGAAATGAACGTAGAGATATTGAAATGAATTGTCATTACAGATTGTTGATCCCTGGGGTAATATAATTGCCGAATGTCCTGCTTATTCAAAGGAGAGAGCAACAGATGAAAGTATAGCCTATGCAAATATCAATGTTGAGTTTTTGAAAGGGGTTCGGCAGAAAATGCCCGTTTTAGATCACCGTAGGGACGACCTGTATCGGTTATCCTTAAATATAAATAAATATGAAAGCGATGTGCCTAATTTCATGTTTAGCGATAAGGTAATACCACCAAGCACAGTTTTTTACATAAGCAAATATTGTTTTGCATTCACCAATATCAGATGTGTGGTACCAGGTCGTATCCTTAACCATTGTGGTGTAGGGACACATAATTTTCACAGTGTTGGCTCCTTATCTGTATTAAGATGTCTTGGTTGCATCCTTGAGGCAAGCAAAGCGCCTTGAGAATTTATACCCTGAAGAAATCGCCGACTTCTTTCAGACAGTTGTAAAAATACAACAAATGGTTGAGCGAGCTTATGGTTCGCATTCTTCGACGATTTGCGTACAAGATGGGCCAGAGGCCGGCCAGACTATTCCGGTATTATCTCCCCGATGGTCACATTTGATAAATTGGTACATTTCAGCACATTCACTGCCACATATTGCCGCGAAAAATGGGTGATTTTGAACAAAATGATGATATTTATCTGGAGTTAGCAAAGCACGACCGAGATCATGGGAAGCCAATTAGAGATGTTGAAGAAATGACTACAGAAGCTAACATGTTAAAAAAACTCATTGTACAATGAAAGTTGGGAACCAAATAAATATTTTTACTATATGTCCTTTGTCTCTTTTTCTTTGCAGTGTTGTTCTGAAATAATGGAGTAGTGAGCCCCTATTTGTTATCGCTTGTGTTTATACAAATTCAGGGAATAAAATGGTCTTTCCGACAATATATCACTTATAATAATAAGTAAATAAATAATTTCATTTGGTGGTTTGTGCGCGTATAAAAAGAATGTGCGAAGGGAAGGGGCTCATAAAATGTAAAAACGCGGGCGTAAGAAGTGTACAAAACGCATGTTCCGACCTGGAGGAGAGGACATTTAATCTGTGGAATTGCTACTTTCAGAATCCGTAGCCCTTATTGGTGCGCCTGGAGTTTATTTAGGAAAACAAGAAGACGCAGTAACATTTCGGCGGCACTTTTTCGATTTAAAGGATAACTTTTTTAATCTCGATGGCAGCGGGGACACGTCCACGGGAGATCCCGTGGGTTAATGTAGGGAGGGGCGGTTAAATATGGCAAATTTTAGTAAAAATGCTAAAACTATATTTACCTCTGGCGCCTTTATTTTGAATCTGACGCAAGAAATGGATGAGACTTTTTTTTACATCTCATCAAAGCACATCTTTTTTTATATTTAACATTTTTCGCTACGAGGCTTACTTTCTGAGAAAAGTGCAAATTATAAAATGAATATAGGTACCTAGTTTAACTGTTCAATTTAAATTCTCTCAAAAACTATAAGAACACAAAAAATTGTTATAGACTTATAAAAATGCGTAAAGCGGCCGTAAACTAAAAAAAGTCAATTTTTAGCCATACTTTACCAGTAGGTACCAAAAGCGGTTTGTTTTGTTGCGAAGGATTTGTGATTTTTGAATCATTATGACTTTTTTGTGTTTAGGCTCGCCGATTACAGAGCACTTGATGCCGGTTTACAATCGTATGATTTAAAAACATACGATTGTTGACCAGAATCAGGTGTTCTGTGCAGACAGGCATTCTTTCCGGGCGATAAAAAAAAGAAAGTAGGATTTCGTGAGCACGCACAAATCATTTTTTCACATGATCCATAAACTTGGCGCTGTGCATAGAAGTATATTTATTGAAATCGGATAAAAAGTTTAGAGATTCACACCCGGTCAAGTAGTAAGCGTTGGAGTAGGTAAAAATTTAGTAGGTATAGGTGCCTAACACTTGAATAGAAGTCCTTTTTCGAGCAAGTTGTCGTTGTATATATACGACCTTTGTTTATTCATCGTAACTTCGAACTTGAAGCATTGCGAACAGCAATGCAGAAAATGAAAGCGGAAAGTTAAAATTTAGTAACCACTGCCCTTGCCCTCGTGTAAACAAGCCATGTAATTATAATCCCTTTGGGTCATGAGCAATGCTAAGTTTGATTTATTTAGAGGGTTAACGACGCCGACGTATCAAAAGAAAAACGTTTTAATTTTACCTCTTATCAGCTTGTGACAATAAAGTCGATATAAAATGACATATGTTGCACAGGTGCGCAACAAGCGATCTCATTATCGGCGTCGATGCATATACATTCGCCGATAGGCGATAAGAAAATACAATTTCTTTCTAATAAAATCACCGTCTTAATTATCATAAAAATAACACATGTTGGTACCTGTCTATATCCGATTAAAAAAACCTCGATACATCATTTGACGCCCATATAATGTGGAAACTGAAAGTTTATCTCTAAGATGGAAGGAACGCCGCAAGATTTTTTCCGATAAATCAATTAGAATTATCACCAAATAAACCATAAAAGTGTGCGTTTTTTAAGCTAACCTAAAATCGTACCAGCTCCCAAACCGCTAGTAGGTACAAATATATACGGACTTTTTTTTGCAAATAGTTTCCTAGCGTTTTTAAAAATTATTCTATAAGGCGAACGCCGCGATTTTGGTATCAAATTTATGTAAAGAAATAATTCGTCACTAACCTTTTGCAACCCTGCCAAGACGCCCAACAGATTTTCGAAAAGTTGCACCAAAATCTTCCGCCTGGTGGACTGTTCATTTTTGTAATGCTCTAAAGTTTGTACGGCACCCCGGAACACTAATTTTGATTCGGTAATCAAAATTATTACACATTCAAATCGAATTTGAAAATTTGAAAATCAAAGGGACGCTACACAACCACGACACGCACGCCACTACTAAACTAAACTTATACAACGACTGCGCACTCGTCACTCGCAACTCGTTCTGAGTTAGTATGATTCATGTTTAAAAAATAGGCTCTGTAAAATCATCATTTTTCTAATACATACGAATATCTGTTATCAGTTATCACAAAGGAAAATGTCAACAACTTTAAATAAAAGAACACAGCACGATATCTTATAAATTTAGGATCTGCGTTGGACTTAAACTGTAAGTATAAGATTTGTTTGTTACCTTTTACAATTTTTTACTTGTGTCCTCTTAGTGTGCGAAAAAAAATGCATGGTAGCCCTTAACTTGCAAGCCCGCCCCATTTTGCCATTCACCTTGTAAAGCTCGGACCGATTAATGCACTAGTTCGCTAGATAAAAAAGAACTTGCCTCCAGTGAAAGGGGATGCGTTTACTCCAAAAAAAACTCGCTGTTAAAATTTGACTAATGCTATCCTCTTTCGTCCCCCGGTACAAATAAATTCACCCCCAAATCTCATCTTTTCGTTTTCTGAAATTGCCTATTGCAATAACTGTGATACATTTGCAGAATCGTTTTTTCCTCTGTCGTTTCTATACACCGGGATCTGGGGGTGAATTTTCTACGATGAAATTTGGTATAGCAAGGAAGAATTGATGATATTAATTCAAAAATTAAATAAATAGCAACACAAATCTTCTTTTTGAGCGTCTGTGTATGAGCGAATTTTCTTGAGTGTAAGAGTTTCTCAGGGTGATTCTTGTGATTTACTAGAGCGAATTAACGAGCATGCTTTTGTGGAAGAATTATGAATATTCCGGTGGCACAGTCGGTGGTAAGTTTTCCTAGGCACATCTTCTCGACATGATACAAACCAATCATGATCCGCACCCCCATATATGGGTAGGTAATAATTATTTGTACAACTAAAGAAAAAAGTGGAGTTTTTTAACTCGACTTCAAAGTTTGACACATGAGCTTAGCGAGTAAGTCAAATGAATGAGATTTGAAAGATACTTTTTCTTCTCAAGTTGACACAATTTTTTCTAAAACTACAAACAAAATTGAAAAATGAACGTATGCAATAAAGAAGTTTGGCCCATAGCAGTCTAGATACAGGTATCTTTCAATTGTAAATGTCATTATTAAAATTAACGCAGCAATTGTTTTTTACTTTCCTCACTAGAGAGAAAAATTACCCTTTTTAGAGACAAAAGTAGTTGTTTTGGAAAAAGTATTGTTTTCGTCACTGAAAAAGTCTGTTGTTATTGTCCGGCTTGTTACGTACGATAACTCAAAATTTAATGGGACAAATTGAGTACATATTTGTAGCCGTAAGTATTACTTGGCTCTTGCAGACGACGACTATTATATTAATTATCAAACCGGTAGAGACCGCATCCTTACATTCTTATTTACTTTATTATGGACCGATTTTACTGAAATTTCAACAGTAGCACCCTTTATTAAATGGAAATCGATTCATTAAATTAAACATGCAAAAAGATGCTATTTGTGTTTTGAGCCTACTGACATTTTAACAGTAGCACTTACTGACAAATTGATGATTACATGTACAAACTACGAGCACGCATGCGCACACCAGAGCGCCGAGGTAAACTTCTTATTTTTAAACGGAGCTTACTGAAATTTAAACAGTAGCACCTTTTAATAAAGGTAAATCGATCGATTCAGATCGTGCGGAAAAGTTAAGTTTTGAACTCATTTTTTTTATTGCAGTTATACTCCTACCACTTTTCATTTTGAGTAAATTCATAGAAAGACCTCTTTAAGAACATTATTTTTTTAATTTCAAAAACCCAAAAAATCAAAACTTTTAAACCATAGATCCCTGTGAAGATCTAGTTGGTATATTTTTCTTACAAGAAAACTGGAAGATAAATTTTCTCTAAGTGGAAGCATTGACTTTTAGCGCATTTTTCAACTCATGTTGGAAGGCGCTATTATGTCCACTTTCTCTGTCCTTAGGCCTTAACTACTCCTACAGTTTTCAAGTTATTAGTTCGTTCTTTTTGTGTTTGGTAGCTTATAGCTCTGGCACCTGACCCAAGAAAAACTTTCACGATTAATGTGCACGTACACGCACTGCAAAATATAAACTTTCTTATTTAAACATTTTAACTACAGATGCTAGTAAAGGCAAGCACATCGCAAATTGCAAAAATCAAATGTGCGTATGCGCAATATCAACTTTTTTATTTATAAAATATATTTAGTAGGTACTGCTTGATACAAGGAGCAGTCCATTGTTTTTTAAAAATTGGCCGAACAAAAAACAGTTGTAGCTAAACTATTCAAGTACTGTAGCGATAAATGCAATGAAGTCCCTTGTACAGAACAAATCCTAAATTTAAGATGGATTTTGGAATGATCCCAAGAAAAATGTAATTTAACTCTATTTTCTGTTTATATTATTCATGTAAAATGTGTACAAAAAGAAAGCATAGGACATTCTGATACATATTTATTAGTGAATTCATTTAAAAATGGGCTTTTTGACATAAAATTTAATTAACTGTACAGTATTTTGAAAAATTAATTTATTAAACAATAAGAAATACATTTTCGTACGTTGGAGTGATGCTTCCTATATACAAATTTAAATGCAGCACCTCTACCAACACCAAGCAAAATGTACACATTCACTTCACAATTCAAATTAAGTGTGCTAACAAACATACACGTCCTTCAAACTTGGCCAAACAAAATTACAAATTAATTCATTCTCTCCGAAAAAAAAAAAGGGAGAAATAACTCCCATACTACTCTATATCAATTTTAAGGGCATCTTCACATCAAATTATTAAAATTTAGAGCACGGCTATTCCTTCTGTAGTATTCGATAGGTCGTTATTTAAATTTGCGTCCTCATCGAACGCACCATTACTAATATTTGTATCATTGTTGGAGGAATCAGGATCGAGAGCGAGCGGATCATTCTGATCGTCAGAATCATCTGTGGAATCTGCAGTGCGAACCTTCTTAGCTGGATTTAATAATAGACTTGCCGATAGTATATTCTCAATATCCTCCTCATCGTCGATATTAGAGATCACCACTTGATTTTGTGATTCACTAATGGTGGGTGGGGAGTACTGTTTGGAAGGTCTCAAAGGCGGCGTCTTTGGGACGTAATTCGGAGACAACACCACTCTAACGGAAGCCATCTTTTTCAGATCGTCGCGTGGCAGGTTTGCATTAACGGATAGATTCTCGTTTACAATCTTTTCAAATTTGCTCTCCAGTAGGGCACGCTTAATTTGAGTGACTGTTTCCGGATTTAGAGATTCCACAATTTCAGATAAGTCCTCCGTTTGGTTTTGGTCATCCTCATCTGCTTCACAATTGATCTGTTCGCGTTCCGGCGATGGTGTTGAAGGTTTAGGAGTGGTGGGACGTTCTTCAGGAGTGGTCGGACGTTCTTCTGGGGTGGTGGGACACCCTCGAGGAGTTGTGGGACTTTCTTGAGGAGTGGGAGCGGGTTCTTGAGGAGTGGCATCATCGGGTATGGTAATCACGGAGGAAGCTAATAATTCGGAAGTCGGTTTTACTTTAATATAATTGCGGCTTCCTTGGGGTGAATTTTCTTCGGTAAGAACTGTAGAATCAACTTCGATTATGTCGTTGTTATTCAAGACTGCGGCAGGAGGTGCTTCGTCGATTGACTCGGTGAATTGTAGCTTTTTTATACTGGCAATAAAATCGGAGCGCAATGTTTTCCGTACTTCCATAAGTGAATTAATTGCGCCACTTAGCATTGCTTGTAGATCGTTATGCATTTGGGCCAAACTAGCTAGGGACTGTATCGTACATTCATTCTTTGATAGGGTAGATAGTTTCGTACTTAAACTCTGATTCACATCGGCCGTCAGCTTTGTAGCCTTTTCAAACCAATCGTATTGCAATTTATCAAATGCTACACTTTTCCTTACGACATTACTATTGGCCTTGCCTTTTGCGTCTACTTTTTTCATGACTTTTGGAGAAATTGTATATCCCAACCGATTTGCTTGTGTTTTTCTGGCAACCTTAGATTTAGTTTGGTTTACAAATTGGATATCAGTAGCGGCTACTGGCGTGAGAGGAACCATGGGTGGCGGTAATGTTTCTGGAGTACCATCCGACAGTGGATCATTGTCTGGCATTGTAAAGTGAGGCTGCTGATGTGATTCCTCCTCATCCATCAACATCGATATGTCAGGCGTACAAACCACTTCATCCTCATGCGTTTCGACCCAGGTACTCGATGTATTGGTTACAGGTTCCTTAGGCGTCGTCGATACGGAGTTTATCCGAAGTTTTTTCTTTTTACGATTCTCGGGATCATACGTAGTATCATTCTCCTTTCTTTTCACTGCAACTGGTTTTGTTTTGCAGCATAAGCTTTTATCCTTACTTAAAATCTGGGCTTGTGATCTGTCTTTGCATCTCCTTAAAATAAAACACTACAATTAGCATTAGTGCACATTACACCATAGTGTAATAGTGAGACAACCTCAGTGTACTTTTGGGAAACGATCATATCAAGAGATAGATAGATGTCGACTAAGCTTCATTCATTAAAAAAATGCTTTTTTGCTTTGAATACGATTGTGGTAGTTACAAATAGTGCTGCATCTTGAACGATTACAATAAACTAACCATCTGAGGGACAATTAATGTATTCAATTGATATATTTCTACTTTTTTTTAATGGTAAATTTGAGGGTAAATTGCATAATAATACTTATCTCGATGCCCAAATGAAAAAAATATAAAAATAATCACCCAGGGCAGCATGAAAACCTGCTACTACAACAACCCTCTTCAAAGGAACACCTAATTGTATGCTTATCAAATGGTGTAATTCTCTCCAATACTATCATTATGTAGTCTACATTGATAATAAAATGATTGAATGAGTTTCCTTTTTTCCCATAAGACCATCTCACTATTCTATTCTTGATTACACATACTTCAACTCCTCTTGTACATAATCATAAAGAGCTCTGCAAATAACTCGTAACTTCACAATCTGATTTGGATTACACACAAAGCACAACCAGTCATCACTGGCCTTTACCATATCTAAGGCTTTTTTGCCCAAGTTCACTCGAATACACCTCTAAAATAACAGTCTATAAAATACATGTACAACGTTATCTAGCATACCTGGCAAAAGACATACGCGCACTGTGCACAGCACAAAACTTTCCCTCCCTGTCCACACCAACGGCAATACAACTCGCTTCCATCGTCATCTCGGTCAAAATCACCGCTGCCATAAAAGTCGAAGCAAGATTTACATATTAAAACCTTCATCAACGGATGTAGATATCGATCGTCTTGATCAGCGGGTGCACTTCCAAGATGAGCATTGCATGCCGTACAATGTAATCGATGAAACTGTACGGCTTGTTGACCTAACCAAGCGTTATTGGAAGTAGTGTCTCAAAGTAATGCAAACTCACCGGGTCCACAGATTTTTTCATAGACGACACGCTCCTCGTCCGTATAATCGTCGGGAACTTGACCGGGGTGGAAAACAATCAAGCTTGGCTCCTCTGAATGGGCAACACCGTTCGTTATGGGTGGGTTTTCGGGTTCATCATCCAATATATCAATTATTACGGGTTCTTGAATAATTTCCTCCACATCGTTATCGTCTTAATAACAAAAGTCTATAATGGGTTGTTAAAAAGTTTAACCACATACCTTCATCTTCAGGACAAGTTGACAATGGATCTACATTGTCTATGGCTAGGTCTGGGGATAGCAAGTCCATCGGGTCTATTTCCTCAACGTCCATATTTTCACTTTATATTAACTAAGTTATCACAATTAAATTGTTTAAACTAAATTTACATTATAAACTACAAAAAACGATTGTTACCGCAAATTTGTAACCAGCGTTGTGTCACTTTCTCGTTACACCTAAATTTTATTACCAGTATTTCCTAGTTCACATAATGAAGAGAAAAGCATAGAATATACAAGGTGTAAAGCGATGGGGTATACAAGAGGGAATTTTTTTTAAATATTGATTTATGAAAAAAATGTATTCTTCATGGTATTTTTTGCTTGCTTTGAAAGTACCAATAACGTTTCGATAATCTAAAATTTATTTATAGAAATCTGGAAAAATAATAAAATTAATTTTTTTTATAGAAAGTTATTACATCATATCACATTATAATCAAGATAGCGTATTGCTATCAAACCACAAACAATCGAAACGTTATTGGTACTTTCAAAGCAAGTAAAAAATATGAAGAATAAATTTTTTTCATAAATCAATATTTAAAAAAAATTCCCTTTACACAGTGTACCATTATATATTTCTGGTAGGAATGCAAATTTTGAGATATGGGGGAGATACATTTTTGACCTTCGGTGAATTTGGAGGAAATGCTTGTTTATCCAAAACACCCAATTTTTTTGAAGTTGAATTTTTTTTTAATAAAAATTGCAATTGCATATAAGTTGCAAGAGACTTGCATGCAATTTTTATAGGACCGGTGCTATTTTTCCTGCATGAATCGCGCAATTCTAGTGATAAATCTAGTTGTTTTTGTGTCACCAACCTAGTAAAATACAGGGGCGGCAAATATGATGCTGAGAGACGCACTCATCACTTATTGTTTTTATTAATCTTATTTATTCTTGTAATTTTCAATGTTTCTTCAAGCAATCAAAATTTAATTTTTATTTGAGGTTTGACTAGTTGACAAGTCCATATCTTTCTTCTGTTGGCGGACATGTGGCAATTGAACTAGAATTGCACCATGTCAAATACCATGCAATGCTTATTGCATGCAAGGATTTGACTTTGCAATTTCTTTCTGCAAGTTCTTGCGCGTTGTATTGCTCCATGTCAAGCGGCCTTAAGTAATATTTTGCTGAAAATTTGAGTAAGTAGACATACTGTACTTCTCCTCTTCTCCTAAGTCCGTATTTGTGCATGATCAACGTTCCTAATATGAATTTTTGATTTTTCACAGGCATAAATTATAAATAAGTACATTAATATAAGATAATTTTGATACTATGTAATCATCACAAGTTACATTTGTCTGACGGGTTCATATCGGAATCGGGAACACATTCGAAATCCTTGGAAAAGTCTTCCACATTGGAGATTGCTCCAATAACTCGAAATTCAGCAGGCGCAAACCTATTAACACTGACTGACACATCAAGACCTTCGGTTGTCATCTTTGAGCAACGATTCAGAGCGAACGATATCCAAAACAGTTGAACGGGGGTGTATTTTAAGCCCGGGAGATTTTTTTCGTTTCCATTTTTGCGCGCCCATTCCACGTACGCGTCGTACGTGTGCTTTACACCAAAGTTGTCGGCGATGTTATTTTCCAGCGTTAGTAAGCTATTGATCTGGAAGCGAAAGAATCACCTATACGCAATGTATTATATAGGCGCACGCCTATACCGTTTTGTTTCCCAAATCTTCAATGGTGTAACTCCCATACTGTTCCATTATACAACTTGTTTTATCCTCAATTTCCTCTTCGGAATCCTTCTTGCGAGATTTCACAAACTCTCCCTTATCGTCAAAGTGCTGCCCCACTTCAAAAAGAGCGCGCGCTATTTCGCGACTTATTTCAAAACCCAGACCTCCGTAGTTTAGATAGTTCGGATGCCGCTTGTTGTAATAATTCTTTTCCGTCACCCCTGGGGATATGGCTAAAACAGTACCTAGGTATTAAGCCGGAATTTACCGGTTCTACACAAAACGACTTACTCAGCGTGTTAATAAACGTATTGTGATATATCCCATCCTGCACGCCAAGACTTTCTTCCAACCAAGCCGTTCTCGTTTTCAACACGCGCAAATTTTTATATTGAAATCTTTCCCTCAACAAGTTCAGATGAAGAAAAGATTGGAGATATTGATTTGGTAGTATTTGCACCTGCAACCTGCCAGTTACATATTGACGATGGAATTGACCTACCTCACTGTACAGATCCTCCAATTTCTTATCGTTCAATATTTCAGGTGAGTATCCAATTATGTCGTTCATTTTGTCGAGCTTGTGAAGGGAGACTGTCTTCACGTGTCCATTTAGCATTTCACTAGTTTCAATAGTTCCCATGTATTCCATTTTGATGTTCCGCAACATCTGTGAGATGGGCTCTTCTATATCGTCTACGGGGAATAAGTTTACATACTGCACGCTTATCACGATTGGAAACCTAGGACTTATGTGGTGTAGTGAGATTCACATGGCGGCAGTTACCTTTTGTAAACTTCATCGACGCACTCTTTCCATCGTGGTTTTTCATTTGTTATGCCGTAGATGGCTTTTTTAAACTCCAATTGTAATACGCGTAAATCGTGGTGTAGATATGGAATCAGGGAGTCTATTGCTTTCCATGCGATGTAATTAATTTGGGCTCTCTTCGAAGTGCTTTGCAAGAGAGATTCCAAATTTCGAATGTAGTTGGGTGTTAACACCAAGATTCTCTCGTGAGATGTGACCTCGGCATCCGGTGCGATAATGTTATTAATATACTCCAGCCAAGGAATGGTGGCGTGCTCCGTTTCCAAATCCTGCACAGTCATAATATTGTAAAACTTTGTGATATTTGCGTAACCAACCCTTTCCTCTAAAATCTAAATTTGTTCATTTTTACTGGTAAATCAGCGCATCCAAAGAACTTACATTTGCTAATCGTATTTCAAACTGAAGAACATCTTCTAGTTGGGTTATAGCTTGATAATCTTCCGCGCCTAAATACAAAGCCACATTAGTCATATACTTCCGATATTCCTCCAAGGCATTCTCGTGATCTTCGGTATCTGTGAAATAATTTTGAGGCATGTCTAGTGCTGGTTGATCCAACTGAAAAGATACAGTTTAGCTTTACAAGATGAATATGAAAGGTACCTCTAAGATATGAAAAGTGGTATTTTTGATATCGTGATTAACTCTTAATTTTAAAATGTAGTCGGTTCGAACGCCCATTTGGTGTAGTTTGTAGACGTAGTAAAACCAATCGAGCCCTTTTCCACTCCATGAAGCATTCTCCAAAAGTGGCCATCCACCTATTTTTGCTAGGAGATCGTGTAACGAACTCACTTCTAGCTGCTCTACGGAATCTACAATGATAGTAATTAAGAAGCGATTTTTAAATGATTGTTAGCTACCAGTATCCATGCAGACTTGATAGTAACTTTTTGCCAAAGTGAATGGATGGTTAACTGTGGCATCTATGCTTTCGTCTAAAAGATCCTTAATTCGCGATTTAATCACGTCATTCACCAAAGTAGACGCACTAACTTCGCTGGAATCGTCCGAAATTTCAACACTTTTGATAAAACCGCCGCACGCAAATTTATAAAAGTTATCACAGGGGTTGACAGCTGTATCTAAGTGATTTAGTATTTCGGCGGCGATTTCGATGCACTCGGGAGTTTGGCAAACGGTGTCGGGGCAGATACCTGCAAGAATTCACAGTCACCTCTTTCACTTAGCGTATACTTACTTTTGAAAAAGCTTATGTGAATTATTAAGGCAACCACCAAAGTTGATAGTATAAATCCTATGGCAATGATTAAAATTACCCATCTCTGTTTCATTTTGTGGGCTGGATGACTTTAACAGACGACATTGACACAGTCTGTGCTGTGCTCGAATGCGTTATGCAAGAGATTAAATTTGAAAAATTAGTTAATTAAACTTTATTTAGGTCGTTATAAGCATCAGGTTTGGGGACAATTAAGTGAATGTACAGGAAGGAAGTGTGGCATCGTCCCATGATGTAGATATGCCTATTTTGAGTCCCCATTTGCTTTGTGGTCATCTGTTAATCCGACACATGTTCTTCCATGGTACCAGATATTATATCACAAAGAATCATCATAGTTTAATCAGTTTATATTAGAATTGATTAGCTGGTGTAGCTATACAGGGTGGTGACTTGCGTAGCGCATCATAGGGATTTCAATGTAAAATTCATAACATGCGATTATTGGCTCCCCAAATTATTTTAGAGCAAAAATGTATTAAAGTTTTTTGTAGAAAAAATTTTTTACGTCAATCAACCGTATTAGTTTTCAATTTTTTGCATAATAAAGACGGAAAATTGGAAAAATAAAACCCCCATCTTTTTCAATAATCTGTGATGCCATGGAATTTTATAATACAAAAACTACGCCAATATCCGTCATGCCATGGAATGTCTGCTATAAAACAAATGAAATTCTATCAAAAAGTATTATAATTTAGAACAGCGAATTCAACATAAAGAAAGACCAAATTACTAAAAACGGTTTCCTAATATAACAATTTACAATAAATTTTCGAATAAGTTACCATTAACTGCAAGACAGTAACCAAGTCGATCATAAAATCCGTTTCGAACTGCTGCTAATTGATAATTGGATTTGGATATCTTTTTGTTTTAGAAAATTCCATGGCATCGCATCAGATTATTGAAAAAGATGGGGGTTTTATTTTTCCAATTTTCCGTCTTTATTATGAAAAAAATTGAAAACTAATACGGTTGATTGACGAAAAAAAATGTTTTCTACAAAAAACTTTAATAGATTTTTGCTCTAAAATAATTTGGGGAGCCAATAATCGCATGTTATGAATTTTACATTGAAATCCCTGATGAAATGATGCGTTACGCAAGTCACCACTCTGTATAGCTATTGATATTGTAATAAGCATCCTAACTCCGTTCCTTTCGTTCCATTCCCTAACTTTACCCATCCTTGCATTCCCGTTCTGTGGCTGAAGCGGTACAGGAAACCCGCCTGAGCAGCCGGCTTCTGGTATCCCTCAGGGGTGTCGGAGGAATAAGACACGTTCACCCTTTTTTTATTACTACATATTAAAATAAAGAATGTAAATTTGATATTATAGAACACTGTCGTGTTGGAGCAACTATCGTTTGGTACGACAAATGTAGTAAATGACTTCGCCCACTAGGTATTTACTAATGCGCATAACTGTGTGCCTTTCGTGTGCATGGACCCAACAGCAGAAAATGTTACAAGTGCGCGTTTTATGTATTCCTTTCTGGTCAAACTGGAAAAGTAAGCGAACTAAAATAAATATTTCTTTGGGAAGTTATTTTATTAAAATACATCAATAGTTGTTTAAAGCGAAGTAACATTTGTGATAATTTAACATTAATAAATATTTGGAAATATTATAATCTACAACAATAAAATTGTTACTTTATAAAAATAGCACGCGGTCGTGTTAATTACGATTTCATTATAAAATAGGTAAAAAAATTGATTGGTAAGCGGTACCCACTCACATCACCGCTTTGAACTAAACAACACAGAATTGAAAACACGAAGTTGTGGTGGTTCTCGTCATATTTAATATTTAAATTGCCCTTTCTTTGCTTTGCTATTGTGATACACTTTCAATGGTGTGTAGGCCCCATTGCCATTCGAATCTGCAATCAATTGAAATTTAGCTCAATTGCAATTATTACCGCTCGCTTAGGTACTTTGTATGAGCGCAGGTGAAGGTCGTTCCAATTCAACAAATGGAGCTGCACATTTCGGTTTTAAATATAGCTGATACAGCAGGAAATATACAATTGCTATTATTGCGGCGGCGGAAGCGAATCCTTCGTATACTTCCAAGACGTTCCATCCGTCTCTGGGATAAGCGAAACCAGACAGGATCGTTCCAATAAGCCTTCCTAAAATATTACGTCAACGCAAAGATCTAGAATCTCTCAATTATACCCTGTACCTATGCAGAAGTGAGTAATCACAGGCAGTGCTTGACCCGATACAGTAAACTGACGAGGTATTAAGTGGCGGAGGTATAAAACGGCAGTGACCCATACGATATGCAAGGTAAATATTTCCAACGCCTCGCAAATTAGATACAACCAAGGCGACGTAATGCAGGATAATGCTAAAATAAATTATGTGAGGGTGTACCTTCCACCATCGTAGCCACTTACCAATGTAGTGCATGATATAGAACGCGAATGCAGCGTTAAGTAGATTCGTATGGCCGCAGTAATCGACAATTCTCTCGATAAATATTAGGAACAAAACGGCGGGTAAAGCCGCAACCGTTACAGTTAAGGCGACATTTAAAGTATCGCCAGACTGTGCCATGATATGCCAAGGGAGGTACGGATCAATTCCATTCCAAAATACTCCCAAAAGTAGAAGAACAAATCCTAAAGCTGCCGTCTCCAAACCGTATTTGCGTACTGCGGACATTTCCATTGCAAGCAATCCGCACCTTGTATGCCACCACCACTCAGGAGGACTTAACGGCATATTGCTGAAAACAAATTTCAATATTTATGGTGTGACCCAGTCAATTTCCCTTGAATTATATTTATATAGGTAGGTACTACTACTTATATGTATCAGGTAACTACTTATATGACTCTTGCTCCCTGAAAACAAGCGATGATCTATGAAAGATTCAATTGTGGTAACGGTTATATGCTCAATTTTCCGTCTGTCTAATCTGTTGCTTCAAAATCTCGGCCCCTAGGTCAGCTAGAGACTTCAGGTTTTCGCTAATTGATAGCTGGTATGATCTATATTTACCTGTTATTCATCATTTACCTAGTTGTGTTAAGCGACAACACCCACAATTTTTGTAAATTAATTTACAGATTTACTCAATAGTAAACGTTGATTAACAAAACAAAACGTAAACGAGTAAAAATTAATGCGTAGGCTTATTGTTACATGGGTAACATGATATTTTAGACAATTTTTCAATTGCTTATAAATGAGAACGTAACCAGGGTGGAAAAAAACATGTTTTTTTGTTTAAAACAGTTTGTCATGTTTAAAACTGTTTAAAATCAGTAGAAAAAAATACATTTAAAACATATTTAAAACACGTTTAAAACCATAACTCAGATAGGAGGTATGTCAGAGAGACGAAAAGACCTTGTGTTGCGGTATTTCAAAAATATTAACGTTAAATCCGGTTCAAAATTAAGTAAAAGGGTAGCGTGCTTTAATTGCAATAGAGGTATGTGGTGGTTTTTTTTAAATTTCATCTTAATTAGAAATTAAAACAAAACATTGTTTAAAACAATTGTATACATTTTGTTTTAAACATATCAACTCTGCACATAACAAATAAAATATTGAACATTATTAGCCAAGTAGGTAGGTGAGATTAGATTCACAATTGGGCCCGATCGGATGAAGTATAGGATTTTTAAACTTCTTTTCGTTGATGTCGCACTCTGCTATTTCGCGTCACCGTGCTCACGCATTTTCGTTATCATATTTCAAGCGTGCAAAGTCGCGGGGAAAATCTAGCAGTACAATAAATTCTAATTCAGAAAATAGTGTTGCCAGGGGTGTTGCATATCTATTTGTTTTGGCCCAATACATATATATGACTGGACTCGTATATTGTTAATTTACATATGAATTTGTAAATTATCAAATACCTATACATTTCCCTATAGATCTGTAAACTAATGGAAATATCTGTAAATTACCAGATAAATTCGTTAATTCTGAGATATGTCCGGCACTCTTTAGAATTCCCAGATATAAGTGTAAAAATTAATAAAAAGAATAACTCGCCTTTGCTAGGACACCGAAAGAATGTTAATAATGTGAACGAAAATTCCACCTACGAATTCAAAATGCTTCTTTGGAGGAAATAGCAATAATACAAAAACTGCTATGGTGATACTTACGAGTCGAAAATTAGAATGAGAATAGTCACCGCCATTAACACAGTAAATATAATAAAAGGAGCGATGTCCGCGTCTATTGCGGCAGTGATTGCCGGGAAGATTGCGAAACCGAAAGCTCCCGCTGCAAACTGCTTTCCAGCGTCGCCTCGCCCCGTCGACGTTTCGCGCGTCGCGATCACAACGGCCGCGTCCAGAAGTACGAGCGCGGCGGTTGGAAACATATCGCCTATTCCTCGCACAAACAGATAAATCCAAAAGATAGACTCGTCACGATCGCAATGTAGCTCGATGAATATACTACTAATGGAATTGAATGGATTATCGATAGCGCATCTAACTCGTTGATTACACGTGGACGTAACGTTGCTCTTGAGATAAATCCTTTCGAACTGTGGGCCAACGCGGCAATAAAAATCATTTCCACCTGAAACTCAAATGTTACACCACTATAGGGCTATGCTATTATAACTCACGTATAGGATAAGCGCAAACTCTCTGTTTTTTTGTGTCATTTTGACTACGTTGCAGAGGTAGACGCAACTGTATAGGATGCGAATGTGATGCATACACTTCGCAAACAGATTGGTTGAGCTCGTTCATGAAACAGAGATGTTCGTGTGGTAGAGGTCTCGGAGGCAAGTTCGGTTTAATTCTCCCCTAAAATGTTTATAGATTAATTTCGCAAAGAGATGTCAACTGTTTAAACATTTGGTGTATCCCACACAAAGGGGAGTTTTCTGCGGTAATTATTTGGGATTTTTTTTAAGCGGCCAAGATTCCGAACATTATAGTAGGTAGTAGATAAAGTGCGCATAGTAGATAAAGTGCGCATAGCAATTTCAAATATCTAACGTAGAGGTCATAATCAGCACCCCTAATAAATCGGCCCCGAAAACCCCACTATTTCTTGTGGTTTTACCAAATGCCCAAACTCTACCAGCACATACAACAGATAAATCAGCTTCAATTGGTCCAGATGCCTCGCCTTCTTCGTCATCAACTGAGGTACTGGTGTCAAAGTCAGGAAACGGTGTCGTTTCGTCCCCGTCGCGGCATGTGTGTGTGCAATTCGTTACGTAAAAATTTGCCACCTACACATAAGACGTACAGTAAACGTTACAAGTAAATTTGACTACTGGTCCATACCACATCAGACTCCCATTGAGTACAGGTATCTGTATATCCACAATTTTCGACCAGCACTTCACCTCCAGATTCGTCGCATACCAATTCTATATAAGGGCCTCTGTTAGTCTAAAAATTTTGTTATTCAAAATTAGTACCAATCACTATAATGATTGAAACATTAATGATCGAACAAGAAAGAATAAGAGTAGGTACAGCATGCAACACATTTTATAAAAACCCAAATATGGGCGTACAATTACAGTTGTTCTACACCTAGTGCGGACAACCAGATATTCGACAAGGCGACTATATTGTAGCACTTGTAATTAGTCTAATTAACTAACAAGATGGATCATTTATGGTATTATTACAAAAAATCAGCAGTAAGTACATAGTTGATCTCACATGCATAAAAAATATGTCCATCAATGGCTATGGAAGAGATTATGAGTGTGTGTTATTAGGCAATGTACAGTTCACAAAGTATAACCAAGTACCCAAGTATAAATTGTTAGTAGAACATGCACTGACTAAACGAAAAAATATCATAGGGTCTCGTTTATTGCTTACTCGTGCATATTGATCCTTTGGCAAGTTGTAGGAGTTGTGGCATTGCGGGGAATCAATCGAAGATAAGACACAGGGCTCCTAAATGTCAAATTGTTGTATTTTTGTTCAAAACATGGTAACGTCGCCCCTTTCCACCACCATATTGCTTTTACAACACATATTGTTATTTTACACTATATTTACATTGCTTAAATAGTGGTGTGTAGGGGTTTCCTAAACGCAAATCTCAACTTACAATTGCGGGTAACGCGAACAAAACCCAATAGAACACAATCGACAGGATCAGACAAACTGAGATCATAACACGTAGATACGTTCCATTTTTACTTCTTGGTACGCCCTTTGAACCTCCAGCAAGTTTATCGGCTACTGGACCTACGACAAGCGGACCTAATAACGCCAAACAGGGCGCAACGATTGATATTAGCTTTGATTCTTCAATGGTGAAGTTTTTCTTATTTAAATGCAACTGTAGGTACGGAAAGAGGCATCCCAACGCTAAAAGTGTAGAGCTTGTATCGAACGTTATGATTTTGGATGTCATCTTACCTCCGAAAAAGCAGAACAAGACGCATTTTAATGTGATTAAATTGGTATTGATGAATTTTGTTACTTCGTTCTTGTTATCCATGTTTTTAATCACCTCTGTCGCATGTCTGGAAAATAAATTTGAAATTAGTATATTATTCACAATAAGTTCTCTTGATGTTTGGACTTTTTCAAGGTAGCCCCAAGCGATTCACAGTCAAATTGTACCGCAGTAGGTGGCGGAATGTAATAATCCGAGACGAAAGTGTGGTATTTTGAAATCAAAAAATTGTAAAAATGTCTTTGCGGTATCGTAACTTCCGTATAAATTCGATGACCAACTTGAGACGTACCAAGTTTAGAGATAGATTCTGAAAGGAATTGAACTTGTTTAAACTTTCCATTAAATTAATATCACCAGAGCTTTAACGCTATTTGTTCACATTCTAGCACTCATTTTTTTTTGGTCTCGAAAACGACCAGAATAATAAAGTGCTGTTGCAGTTCGCCTGAAAAATACACTAACTTTAACATATCCGAAACAAACATTTTCTTTCTATTTAACCAAGGGTCTGAATTTCTTAAATGTTTCGTTTCTTCTTTAATTTTTAGCGTATATTTTCCCAAACGAGAGTTCGTTTCGCTGTCCGTCAGACAAATTCTCTCTTTATTAGATTCGTTACGTCTCTGGCATGTCAGGACTTGGTTGAAAATGCGCCTTCTCATGTGTTGCTTGTTTTCTCAGGAACCATTAAAATACATAATAAAGATAGAACTTAAGAATTACTTGTGCCCTTTTAGATTACGTAAAAAAATTTGAAAATTTTCTCTCTAAAGATGGCATAGGTATATCACTGAACTTGGATACAAACAATTTAGATTTCGATAAAATTTGATGCCCGATGAAAAAAATTCAAAATGTGTTTAAGCTATAAAATTATTATATTATAAATTATAAAAACTTTTCGTTCATCCGCTGGTCGAATGCAAGCCTAAGGGAAATTTTTTGGGGTTTCATGGAGTTACATGTTCAAAGATCCTCAGGTACCAAATTCAATTTCAGATAGCATCTTTCAATGTGCAAAAAATTAAAATCGCAAATGTTGAGACCCCCGTATTTGGAACAGGAACAGGAATAAAAACAATTGTACAACAAAAACCACAGATACATATTCCAATTCCGTGCATTTTCCATCTCTATGATTTGTCTTGGATATGCCGACAGCATTTCTAAAGTTAGATATATGGTTGTAAATTACACACAAAAAGGAAAATAGTAACTATACCCTGTAATAAGTCCTGTCCTTGGATTATACCGTTGAAGCGCGACCGTACTGGCGGTCACTGTATTTAACCCTCGATTGAATATCTTTATTTTAACACAAAATTAGAAGCATTCCGTTTTTAGTCAAATTTCAAAACTCCATGTGCCGGTTTGGTCCTTTCGGGCGTTTTAACTATTGGAAATAGCGGTTACAATCAGTGCATGAAGCTACGAGAAAGATGGTAACATAATACACAAAGTAAACTGTAAACAAGGCTTTTAATTGTAGAACAATATGATGGTTATTAAATAAAATAGATACAATAGTGCAATAAACCTTGAGTTTAGGACCCATTATTGTCACAGTTATATAAAGATATTCCAGTCGCTGTTATCTGCACTGAGAATAAATAAGCGTGATCTCATTCCTTTTCTCAAAGATGTCAATGGATTTAAGTCGAAAACAGGAAGAAGTGGTACGTTAATTTAAAAAAAAGTTGTAAATAGGTACGTGATTGATCCATTGACCTAAATAAGGTCATCGCAATCGGCATTCGAATGACTAACTTCTGCGATTTACTAAGGCTGCGTTGAATGATGGGAATTAATCAAATTGAGGGTAGAGGTTTTTGTACCCAGGTAACCTTACAAAGGGTGTGTGTGAAACTTTTGGGTCAACGAGGGTTGGGCGCACGCAAATTAAATTCGTTTGAAAAGCATTTTAAATAAAAATGCATGCGAGCGAAGATTCGCAAATGGAACAGGGTTGACATAGGATTGAATCGCACCTGCCGCCCGAAGAAGGGAAGGCGCGTTAATTTAACTGTGCTGGTTAATTTCGAGCGGTTTTCGGTAGTGATGTAATTGGATTTCTTCCAAATTTGGAATAAATAGGATGCGCGCCCACCTGTTGCGCGAATTATATGGTTTCTTAATTTCTGTACAGTTCAAATCAAAGCGCTAGGGTAATTGAAGGTAGACAAAGACAAATAAAATTACCTATACGTACCTTTAATATATTCAAAAATTAGGAATGCGGGCGACGAAGAACTTAAAACACAAAACACATCGCGACTATTTTTCTAAATTTAAAGTTCCTCTGTCCTTAAGTGATGGATTTAAGTTGCGATTTTTTGTAATTCATTCAAAAGGCGCTACACAATAACGTAATAAAGTATATATAGTGATGACGACATCGCTACAAACGGCCACTGACTAACTATTGCAATGCAACAACTATTCGGTCAACAGGCAGGCGCACTGTGAGAGACTCTCACATACTCACACACAATTAAAAAAAGTTGTAGAAAAGTGACCGGTCGGTTATGTTTTTTGAATAAATGGATAGAAGGCGCATCCAACTGTGGCGGCAGTTAAAAATATACACCCGTTGAATTGGTTTACACAAAAATGCGGGCGCTTCCCTTACTGTGCTAGTAAGAACTATTACTTTGCGCCTAAAAATACGTGGTTTATTTATATTTTCTTATAATCGTTACATATCTTGCTTGTTGTTGAACTTGAAATATCGATTGTTGCATAAGTGCGAAAGATAATTAACTTAATTTCGAATTAAAAAGTACTGGCAATCTGTACAAACCTTCTGCAGGGGAATCCACTGAAATTTAATTAAGTGGAAAAAGACGAACTTATTACGTCGAAAGGGAGGTGCAAATAATTCAATTTAGTCACGTACCACCTATAGGGACATAGGGTATACACCACATTACGAGATCAACTCTATTTTTAACATTTCCGTATTGATTACCTGAGTGTAACAGGTGAATCTACACGTATCCCTCTTCGTTATATACTGCTGCTTTTATTATCTAATATGTTAGGTATACTTTTTTATTGGAAAATTTAGCCATCATCAAACAAGAAACGTCTACCCTTCACCTCTAAAGAGTTAAAAGAGCACTGGACAAAGGTTCACTATATAAGATCTGAACATTTTTCCGTGGTCTCCATTTCACTTTTTTGAAACCTCGAAAATGAACTAAAACATTATGGATGCAATGGTAGTGAACTCAATTTACAAGTACCTAATAATTAGGTGCCCTAGGGATCTTCATTTGAAAAAAATTCGCGCTCGAAATATTCGCGACCAAGAAAAAAACCTGCTGGAATATTTACCCTCTGTGTTCGCTTCAACTTTCAGTTAAGAATCATCATTATTGGATAACAGTAAACAGTCATTCTTCGCAGAACTCTTATGAGTAGGGACAAACTTAAATAATTTCTAGAAATCCGGGGTGAGTCGTTTTGAATTAAATAGGTGTCTAGTTTCTCAGGATTGCCCAATCCCGAAGGACTTGATTACATTAATACAATTTTTAACTATAGGTAGGTAATAGATTAACTTTAGCAACTTGGAACCTATTTTTAGCGCATTTTCGGCAAAAGTAAATGCGCGCCCGTAGAAAAACGCTTGTAAAAAGACAAGGAGTGTACATGTAACTATCGGGGCCGTGTAATTAAGAACGTTATAAAGATTTGGAGTCGACGACATCTTCCCCGAAGCAGTTTTTATTATTTCGGCCTGCTTCGTTAGGTTTATCGCGGTCGCACTAATATTTTGTACGAGGTTTGCGAAAACCGGAATGAACGGGAGGAACTGAAGCAAGATGAAATTTCGAAACCCCCAAAGGATTTTTATGATGGTGGAGTCAAAACTTCAAACGCGAATTGCGAGTGCACGGTAAGTGAGAAAATGGTACCGACAAAGTGAACGTGGTAGCTTTCGGCAAGATCTTATTGATGGTGGAGTCAATATTGGCTAATAAAACACTGATCTGCCACACAAAAATGCGCTGAAGTCCCTTCGATCTCACACGAGGACTTTGATCATTTTTCACCACCATTTCGGCAAAACCGTTGGCAGAATATCATATATAAGGCATTTCCGAAGCGATTTTCGGTCTGCTTCGTTATTCAAACTCCCTGATTCCGTTTATTCGCACTATATTTTGTCGAGGTTTGCAAAACCGGGGGGAGGGAAGCAATGATTTTCTGTAATTTCATCAGAGCGTAAATACCTATTATTATTTAAAATATTACCTACGTTCTGCAGTTCAGTTCAGTGCAGACTCATAATAATTTGAATACTTGTCGCTATAAACACCCCAACGTGACCTAATCCACCCCTACTACTACATGGTGCTAAAATGTAGAAATCCTCTTAAAAGAAAAGTGTGCCTATTTGTTCAAACTTTATTGATGAAATTTAAGGATTAATGTGTATAGATTCAAAATCAATTATACAAATTTAAACACTCCCAACATAGCCTAACCCTCCCCCATTACATAACATAATAAATACAAAATGCAGGAAATTTAGAAATTCATTCCAAAAGAAATAAGTTGTAGGTATATGTTCAAATTTCATCAACTATACTTAAGGGTTGGTGTGTATGGATTCAAAATCAATTATAAAAATCCTTAGTCATTACTCATTAGGGATACTTTGCTAATTATCAACAGAAAGGAAATAGGATTTATGTGCGCCTTAAGTGAATGTGCTTGCGTTTGATTAGTTGCCTACTTGTAAGGCACAGTGAGCTGTGCAAGAGCTATTGGATACGTGTGCAATGACTTAGCCTTCGATTCCATGGTGCCAGCAAAGAGTTTGGTGCCACCCAGCCCATTTTCCACCCTTGTACAAACTCTTTCACGCCCAAGCAAAATATATCACACCTTCATTTTGATCTAGGCGCCAAATTAATCAGTTTCAACTCTGCATTATCAGTATACAAAGGCCCATAATTGGTAATCACACCATATTTTTCCATACATCATTTGTGTATACTGTTCCTTTCTTTGTCTATTATCTTATGTGAAAATGTAGTACATTGGCAGCTACTGTCTCTGTTTGCTACACTATTAGACTAAGATAGGAAGTTGTTTTTTCTTCAGAAGCAATCCCCGATAAGAATATTTATTGTAGTTAAATTTAGTACATCGAGAGTGACGTGCCAGAATGTTGCATTACGTATTACTAGTGACACTGTTCAACGTTGTTGATGGTATGGTGCAGCTATTCTGCTTTTAATATTCATGGCCTTATGTATTTGTAGGAAGGTCGACTTTTTCGCTCGTCAAAACAAATGTCAATGATGAAACTCAACGTGAAGCCGTGGAAAACCTTATCGCACGATTAATTCCTGAACACTCACACAAATTTTCCGTAATTATAAACGCCAAGCTTGCAGTAGATGACAAGGACGTATTCAAAGTAAGTGTCTCAGGATAAATTAAGTTGTGACCAGCCAGGATTATTTAGTTGGAGAGACTAAGTAGCGGAAATGTGCAAATAACTGGTTCGACAGGGGTGGCGGCTGCTAGTGGATTTCACCATTATCTTAAGTACTACTGCTCATGCCATGTTTCATGGGAAGCGTCCAATTTGAATCTTCCTTCTCCGCTCCCCAATGTGAACGTAACTGTGAACGCGCAAGATAGGTAAAACAGCCGGTATATGGGGTCAGATAGAATCTTGAATTTTAGGTTTCGATATTATCAAAATGTCTGCACGGCCAGTTACAGTTTCGCTTGGTGGCAATGGAAAGACTGGGAGAAGCACATTGATTGGATGGCGCTCAATTCGTACAATTTAGTTCTGGCGTTAACTGGGGTTGAAGCAATATGGAAGAAGGTTTACGAGAGACTAAACTTGACAGAAGAGGAAATCAAAGCGCACTTTCCCGGCCCTGCTTTTCTTGCCTGGTTAAAATTAAAATTTGTGAATAACGAAATTAAACCTGGGTTTTAGGGGAAGGATGGGTAATATTAGAGGTTGGGGCGGCCCCCTCTCTGACTATTGGCATGGCAAATCTTTGCAGTTGCAGCACAAGATTTTAGATCGAATGAGAAGCTTTGGAATTGTACCCGTACTTCCAGCGTTTGCGGGACATGTACCGAGAGCAATTCAAAGGTGAGGTACCTTTTTGGTCATCCAGAAGATCGAGATGCAATTATTTTTAGATTATTCCCAAATTCTAAGGTTACCAAAACGGAACAATGGAACAAATTCAATGATACCTATTGCTGCCCTTATCTGTTAGAACCTACCGATCCATTATTCCAAACCATTGCAAACATGTTTATGGATGAGGTCAGTATAATTTAAGACAATCGTCACTAAGTGCCGAATTAGTGTTTTCCAAGTACTTTAATATTCGGAAAGCTTCAAAGTATAATTTTTTATGGTTCGATCGGCCTTTTATGAGTAATCGTTTGCTCAGAAAACTGGGCGACATCCGACATAACGCGATCTTTTTACAATAAATATTTTCATGGAATATTCTGTATTGCAAGTATAATGGAATTGTTTTTAAGTTAATCCAAGAGTTCGGAACTAACCACGTGTATAGCTGTGATACTTTCAATGAGATGCTTCCGGATAATCGTGATGTATCCTACCTTCAGAAAATGGGACGAGCCGTTTACTCGGGTATGAGTTCGTCTGACGCGAATGCAATTTGGTCAGTATTGACACATTTAGTACATCGATGAATTTTAAATTCTTTAGGGTGATGCAGAATTGGCTTTTCGTACACGAAATTACTTTCTGGACACCAGAACGAGCCAAGGCTCTTTTAACTTCAGTACCTCAGGTTTGGCTTAGAAATGTGTTTTTGCTTACGCAATATTTTTACTAAACTCAGGGCAAAATGCTGGTGTTAGACCTACAGTCGGAACAACACCCGCAGTACAATCGATTCCATTCGTACTACGGACAACCGTTCATCTGGTGCATGTTGCACGATTTTGGAGGAACCTTAGGAATGTTTGGGTCTCTATACACTATAAATGCGGTAAGTGCTTCGGATAGATTCGTTAACGTTATCTTCTACTGCAGGAAGTATCGAAAGCACGATTACAAGTGAACGGCACCATGGTGGGAAGTGGAATAACACCCGAAGGAATTAATCAAAATTATATTCTCTATGACTTTATGAGCGAAGTGAGTTGGCGAACTGAACCAACTGACTTAACCATTTGGGTTGCTAAATATGCCTTGAGAAGATACGGCAAAGAGAATGCCATGGCCATTAAATCATGGCAAATTTTAAAGGTATCCTATTTAATATCGTGCATAACACCATCATCACATTGACTTTGTAGGATACAGTTTATAATTTCACATCAATTATTCCAATGAGAGGAAAGTACGCCATCACCCGAAGACCTAGCACTCGCATCACGACATGGGTAAGCAATCAATCAGCTTAATTTCAGTGCAAATGTCGTTTAAGATATGGTACGACCCTTGCGATCTTTTACAAGCGTGGAAATTTCTACTTCAAGCTTCCCAAGATCTTCGAACCAGTAGTGCTTACCTAACCGACCTCACTGACCTAACACGCCAGGTCTTACAAGTTCTCGGTGACCAATACTACAAGAAACTGAAGCAACATTTTCGACTAAAAAAACGAGAGCTATTCCAGTAAAGTACCCAAAACATGTGTTACATTTTACTTTTGTTTGTCGTAGGCAGACTGCCACGACGTTTTTGGACATATTTCACGATATGGAGAATGTGTTGCGTAGCAATGAAGCATTCTTATTGGGTAAATGGCTAAGTGCCGCCAAAAATTTCGCTTCGCTAAACGGAGAGGTTTGTAACGCTATGGCGGCAGTAACAAAAATTATGTCATATATCGCAGACTCTTCTGGAGGAAGAGAAATTGTACGAATACAATGCAAGAAATCAGATCACATTATGGGGGCCGAACGGGGAAATTAACGATTATGCATGCAAGCAGTGGTCGGGAATGGTATCCGACTATTACCATGAAAGATGGTTTCTGTTTGTAACAAGTATGAATGAATCTTTAGTTCAAAATGTACCTTTTCGGGAAGCGGCTGTCGTAAAAAGAGTGTTTAAAGAAATTGAGGAACCGTTTACGTTCAGTAGGAAAGCGTATCCTGAGTATGCTTCAGGTATTGCAGAAAGAGAAAGTTAAGGATTTAGTAATAATAAACGCATATTTAGGTGATACAGTATTAATAGCCCAGGAACTAATGGAGAAATGGTGGCCAAAACAGCACTGTCGATTTGAAAGGGCCAATGATTTCAATTTAAGGGATATATTTGAAATCCGCCCAACTGTAATTGTTGTAAAATGAGTGATATTCGTCTGTTACAATTTTTAGATTTTAAAAATACCTAATGCAGGTATACAATTAAATTACACAATACATATAGGTACCTAATTTATTTAAATGCAAAGATAATTTTACTGTATAGTACCACAAAAAAATAAATGCGTCAGTTTCAAACGATATTTCGATCTGAAGCTTGGGTCTTTTAGGCAAAAAAGTTGTTAATAATAGGAAAAACAGCATAGTAGTCGAGCAATATAAGAAGGTTGTAAATTGTACACCTCTGTACCGGATTTTAGTGGATTAAAAGAATGCTATACAGATTGCTTTTTAATAAAAGGAACACATACCCGCAGCAACAAAAACAGGCGTCGCGGCTACTATATTATTTAAAAAAAGGAAGCTTTCTACGAAAAATCGATTCTGTGGGCTCGATGCTATCATCATGGCCATAGCACATAAAATGAGTGAAAGGAAATCTACCTGCAATTAGGAAAAGGGAAGGAAGCACTTCTACCGAATCAGTACCAGAAAAATGCTATATTTTATGATACACAATTGAAGATTAAAGCTCAAGTTCAAGATAGGGAGGACCGTAAAGTCGAACATCATAGGACACTATACCAACTGAAGACATTTGGGGTAAGAGAGTTTTGCAGGAGTCACACATTCCTTTTTTTTATTAAAAAAAATAGATTAGTATATCACAACAAAGACTGTGCAATCAGTATTGGGCTGAATTAGATACCTACTCATTTATTGGAGTAAATTCGTCAGTCAGTTTCGGGTTTAATATATATACGGGCTGGTATTTCCGGCACAAGGATTCTGGACCATTTATTTACCACATACAGCAGAGCGCTACTTACATTTACTGCAAAACGATTTAAACTATTTCTAGAGGATGCTTTTAATAACATAACATAACTCCTAGAGCCGTTCGGGTATATTTTTCAATGAGATCCCTGTCTGATTTCCTCGTAGGGGGGTTAACTAAGAATCGTGTTTATCAACAAAATTTGCAACCCGAAGAAAAGGCTAAATCGCAATTAAACCATAAAGTGTTATACATCATTAAATTCGGAATAAAATAATAATATTAAAACATCAGGGCCGTATTAAAAAAAAATTAAGTTGATTATGGTTCCGTAAAGACGAAACGTTGAATTAAACAATTAAACAACGTCACCTTAAAAGTTGCTGCCAGTAAAAAATTGTACAAAAATCAAAAAATATGATATCAAAATTATCAAAAAATCAAAAAAATTATCAGGGGTTTCTAAACGCTATCTTCTTAGACCTTTGACTGCGCAACGGAAGTACAATAGTCGCAGTGCCTTACACAATGTATAAGAAACCTTTAGACCAAAATAGAGTCTTTTAAGAATGTTTAGGGCCTTTAGGCTACGCTCGTATGTGGTCAAAAATAAGGGAAGCAGGCTAACTGTTCTTTGCTGTTTTTCTCATAAGTGCTTTTAACAGTTGGCAGTTGCTCCAATTTGACTACCTATAATGAAATGTAATGTATGAAGTGTATAATATTATTATTGCATTGGGCGGAGGGATAGGAGTTTCCCAATCCTCTAACTATGGCCTTTGGTCCTTGATATTGAAAGAGCTATTACAGCTATTTCATATATCACCATTCTTCCACAAAGAGCTAAAGCAACCCGCCAATATTGTGGAGTTTGGGTGGGGGGCCACGTTGGATTTTTTAATAGTTTTTTTTACTTGTTTGAATATACAAAGAGAATATTAACGCTACAGTCGGGCGCATCTGTATCGCAATTTACAGGCGATTGTAATCCTATGATAAGAATAGATCTTCGAGTAGGTAGGTGCTTAGCTTGACGCCACTGGAATTTTTTTGTTTACTCCGCCAATGTTTTTGTACGCCAGACAGCGTGGACAGGACAGGTTCTGTTTATAAGCAGAAACTCGCGTTTGCGCTAATTCAGTGTGTCGCGAGACTTCGAAAAGATCGTATTCGTGCGCGCGTTCGCGCTTTCTACTGATTTTTCAAAAATAACAATCACAGGAAAGGTGTAGAAACACACACCGTCATTTATACTTTTCAGTGTGATTTTCGTTTCAATAATTTTCAAGCAAAAACGTATCAACATTTCCAACTTTCATTAAAAATTAGTGCCTTAAACAAATTATGATTTACTCCTTCACAAAATAGACGTGCCTTCGATTGTGATTTGCGAAGATTTTCAACCACTTCTTCTCCCCGGTTTGCGACAAAAAAGGTTCGTAAAGATTTATTTACATGCAGATAGACAGTGTCGGGTACACGGAACGGGCGTTACTACTGATTCCTAGAAAAGGTCATTGATTCCCTTTAAAAATAATCTCAATCCAAACTTATACATTTTTCTCTTTGCAGCTATAATGAAACTCATAAAGTAAGACAATGGACTTTAGTTGGAATCGAACCGTTTTCATTGTCACCTTCTCACAAATCATTGCAATTGTGTCTTCCACTTCCGGACCCGAAGACTTTCCCATTGGGGCTGCTTTACAGTTGTCACCTGGTGACGATGCGAGGTCCTTCGACGACGAGATTCCCAATTCGTTCACGTCGGCCTACGTCAACGTAACTTATAAGGACAGTGCTAATACGTGGAAATGGGAACGGACCGAAGTAGGCCGATACGGTGGTGGATATGTAGGTCCAGCGTTCGGTGTGGTTGTTCACGTTACCGCCGATAACGATCCCAGCGATCACAGCGGTTGTCGGCTGCCGTTTCGAAGTAGCCGAGGTGATAGACAGTTGCCGAAACCGGGTGAGCCGTGGATCGCTTTAATTAAACGGGGACATTGTAATTTCGAATCGAAGGTCGATAATGCGTTTAAAAGTAAAGCGACCGGTGTTTTAGTGTATAATGACAGAGATTCGGTCGATTTGGATAAAATGAAGTTATCGAATGATAATGACCGTAAGTATGGATTTAATCATGTTTTTTACTTCGCTTCAATTGTGTCTTATCAGATAAATTGGCTCGCTATCTACAAGGCCAGTAAACGAAAAATTATCTATACATACTTACAATTAAGTGGTATCAACAACTCTAACAATGTGAATGTCTCGCGATAATGCTTTTTGTTTTATTAGCTAGCGATATCTACTTCCTTGCTCTTCCTCTGATGGATAATTCCTGTATTGAGGATACAATAAGAAATAAAACGAAGGATACAGAATGTGTGGGGTCATGCCACTCAATTGTTTATGATGTTCCAAGATTGTAGGAGAGTTCTAATTTTAGACTCTTCTCACATTTGGTGTAATCTGGTGCCTATTGTGGGTGTGTGTGCCATTTTTTTGATTAGCCAATTTTATTTTTGATCTTCAATTGTTTTGGTTAAGATCTTGCATGACACAAACACACAGTTTGTTTCTGTATTACTCTGAGAAAATTTCCCATAAACAAATCTTAAAAACCATTGCAAGCCTGCGTGATATCGATATGGAAGAATAAATAAGTCGTGCTTGAAAAAAATTTGATTCATATTTTTTTTTAGATTGTGGTTTAAAAGGAACGCCACAGATTAAATGCTGTGTGTAGACCTCGGTGTAGACCAATTTTGAATTTTAGATAGGTATTTTAGATGTCCTTGTGCATTTGGTTTTCAAAATTATCATCATTTATTATTCTTTTCTTAATCTTTAGGTCACAAGTGTGTGGGTTTTGGAGGGTCTACACCTCGATCTACACCATTGAGAAAATTTCCTCAAAGGTTTATACATATAGTGTTTATACCAAGGTTTATACCATAACGCCCAATAACATGCACAACTTGCAACCAGTGGCGTAACAAGGTATTTTTCGAAGCGGTGCCGGATCAGGTTTTGGCGCCCTACCAGATTTTGGGACCTTATCACTTACCATTGAGCTCTAATTAATAAAACACTGTACATTTTTGAGAGAAACTTTACACAAAATTTTAAAAGCACTGCACCCTTTCGAATTTTAGACAGATGCTTTGAATAACGAAATCTGTCACTCAATGTCACACTAATACAGACTATTGTATAGATCACAAATAAAGTATTATTATTATTATTAGTTTAAATCTGCAGCCTTTTCCTACCGCTGTAAGTTTGTTCTACAAGGGCTATCCAGAAAGTAACAGACATTTTGAAATAAAAAATTAAGAAAGTGTAAGAAACAACTTTTATTAACACTCTTAGGCTGTTTTTCAACATAGTCGCCATTCATTTTGAGGCACTTAACATAGCGTTGTACAAGTGTTTTTGGGTACCCACAAAGGCAATATGGTAGTTTCCGACCAGATCTTACTGATGGTGGAGTCAAAACTGGCTAATAAAAGTATTGATCTGCCACACAAAAATGCGTTGAAATCCCTTGGATCTAACACGAAGACTTTGGTAATTGGTTCATTTTTTAACAATGTTCGGTTCATCCTAAAGGAGCGTAAATTCAGTTTTAATTATATTTCAGTGCACCCTGTATTCGACTTTAGCAAAGTATTAGAATTTAACTGCCGTTCATGTCTTTTATGACTGGCCTATACGGTACACCACGTACTGCCCATCCCGACTTAGTGCCCTCGGTGCTTCAGCGCCTCCGACGCGCCCTCCCGCCTTCAGAGCGCGGTGCCGCGGCACCTTTGGCACCTACCTAGTTACGCCACTGCTTGCAACATTATGTTAAGCTTCACGCCGAAGATGACTACAGTACCCAATTCTTAATATTGATCATAACGCTCAATTTGACCACAACCTCCAACGTAAAGGCGTAGATGTACAAGTTTCCCTGCCAAATTAAAGCTGCACTTCAGCACTTGTTCTTTGCAACTGATTTACTGGATGTAAAGGCAATTTTTTTTCTAAAACCTATCTACAATAATTGTAGAAATAGTGGGTGTACCCAGCACCCTTAGACCATATAGTACATGGACTGCTATTATCCCTATGCTTTCAATACAAAATGGGTGGTCACGGATAGAGGGCACTGTAGTCGTGGGTATGTGAATCTCAGGGTAAACTAAAGTCGTATGAACACCACTCGGATCGCGTAAAGAGTAGCTTCTATGGGAACCGCGTAGTACGGGAAGCTTTAAATACTCTTGATTATCTTCTATACGTCCACAAATACGGATAGGTTTGCTTTTTTGGCATATCTAGGCGATTAATTAATTGACGTTTGTTAATTTATAGGTTGACAGTGTCAAATCGTGTCTCATCGGACAATTTCGGACAGACTCGCTTACCCTGAAACTCACATACCCAGGCGATGTCCTTGACCATATTTTCGTTACAATTAGCAGTCCATGTACTATATGGTCTAAGCCAGCACCTCTGTAAAAAATTTGAATTTTCGGAATTTCTTATTTTTGACTCTTACGATCTCGATTTCCGAGGCTGAATGAATATGCGGAACCTTTGCAATAAGAACGAGTAGGTATCAAAAATTATTTTTTAAAAAATGCGGTGACTCGATGAAGCGCCGTGTGGAGTTGACATCTCGTTGGATTGCGATTATTTCAGGTAAACGAACGAAACTTTTGCTAAAACCAATTTTGAACTGTAGAACTATTATTTATGGAGGCAAATCAAGGTGCCAATAGAACTAACAACAAATTATACCATTTTTGAAAATGATGTGCTAACTTCGCAAACGCCATGTTTGTAGTACTTAATTAGTAACAACGTATCTCTTATCATTTCAGTAATTACGAGAGTAATTATTATAATGGAATACCCATTAAGCATTGTGGCCCGTGAGGCCAGATTCTTTTTTTGGTACAAAGTCAAAATATGTTTGAAACGGACCTTTTTACCGATATGAAGACAGTAAGTACCATTTATTTCCTTAAAATGTAAAATTATAAAAATAAAGATTTATTTTAAGATGTTCCGTGCTGTTTATCACCTTTTTCTATTCTTATTTTTGCAAAAGTTGTTATTTGCGTTAATTGTCAAACAAAAAATTCGTTATAATATGCAAATAGGTAACGATACTTAATTACGGATGGGCGATTTGTTACCAGTCCGTTTCTGAAAGTTTTCAAAGCAGATTGCACGCTGAAAGGTGCAAAAAAATTTTGGGTCGGTGTCGATAGGTTCAAACCCTTTTACGATTTCTCCACCGATGCCTTCACGTACCTACGTGATCATTTCCGGTGGCTGCTGCTTATCTCACATTTTAATTAATAGTTAACCTCATTATATGGAGATTAAATATTTCGCAATAACAATAAAACAATAGACACTCGATGTGGTGAGTCACAGACGCTCATCGTCATTCATGGGTGAAAGTCTGGAAGTTCCTTCCAAACTGGAGTAACAGCTAAATCATAAAAATACATTGGGGCACGATTGCGTGCAAGTAAAGGCACGTAAATGGAGAATTTATTGATGGTATGTAAATAAGAAATAAAACTACTGTTTTTTAATTGAGCGATACACATGAATAAATATTAACAATAAATCAGTAGTCAGACGGTGAAATGGCAGAACATGCCTACTGCCTTATGTGCAGCTATACATTATGGATGGCCTTAAAAGACACTTCCGTATTCGAGCCAATAGCAAAAACACCAATTATTTATGAATGTCAGCTAAAGAAACTGCAAACGCTTCCGATCTAGGCAATGCTTCCGGGATAATCACCTACGCATATCCTCGTTCCTTAATGTTTTTTTTTGTAGTTTTTACACATTTTTTGCACAATTTAACATTGAACTGATTTTCTTTGTTCTGGTTGTTCCTTAAGACGATTGGCGAATGGTTAACATTCAAGGATGCTCGCCGACTATCCGAACAATAGTCCGTATGTCACTGTTTGAATAACAAATTTAACCAATACGACCTTGCCTTGTTGTAAAAACAAAATTTCGCGCACACAAACGCAATTAGGAAAAGGCGTCGCTTTCCCACGATGCCCGTAAATTAGTATAAAAATCCACCGCGTCCTCTGTATTGAAAAAGTCGCCCGGAGGGAAATCGAATGCTCGAACTCACGTCGACACGCACTTCCTAAATCCCCCTATACGTAATTAATAACTTTTATTCTAACCCGATAGGTAATTAAAACAAAATGTGCGCATATAGCGAATTGAGAATTTTTTAAATGAATAAATAGTGTGAGCGCTGAAGGTTAATTTGTTAAATGTGCCGTAAATTGAAGGTTCGAAGGTGGCTCTGTAATCAATCTCGTCATGTACCTGTCTGTAGTTTTCTTCCGTCACCTATGAATAGTGTTTAGAAAGCTTTGATTTCAGTTTCGCCTTAAGTAAAAAAAAATCCACATGAGAGAGAAAGTTATCAGGGCGTCTCGGTAAATTTTGCAAAACCTTCTATGCAAACCTACACTTGGGACCACGAACGCGACGACGCCCATTGATTAAAAAAGTTAGAAACTGAAATCAAACCCAAATTACAAAAATGCATTTTTTCTAGAGAAATTCACGTCATTTGCTAGTTTAAGCTCAATTTGTACCAAATTTGTAGTGGAGGTCAATGAAATATGTATTTAGATCCTTTCAATAATAACACCCGTTATAAACATTTATTTGACCTTGGCCTATGGCCTACTATGAACCACCCGATCGAAGTAGGTGTCCACGACGCCCATTACGCTATTTTGATTAGTTGAATCTTGACACATTTTTGACACTTGGTGTAATGAAAATGGATTTTTTATGTAACTAGCAGAAGCTGATTTGTTTTAATTGCTGCCGATAACCCCTTTCGTGTAGAATCGACATCATGAGCTAGGAACTCCTGTTACTATAAAAGCTGCCTATTATACTTAATTAAAAATTGAACTTTGTTAATTATGGTTTTTTCGAGGGTTTTTTAGCGTAACACAACGAACTTGAGGTAACGCTTATGTGTCTCTCTGTCTGTCTGTTCCATCGAGATCTCGGCCACTGAGTTACTCACAGATCTCGGGTTTTCGCTAATTGATAGCTGCTATGGTCTATATTTGCCCGTTAGGTACTCATCATTTATAGTCGTTTTTCTTGCTGCACTCAGTTGCGGATTTACTCACAAGTCTCGTGTAGATCAAAGTCTCCAAAATTGAGGTCATGCCGGATTTTTGGATATTTTTCGGACCTTAATGGCTCAAAATGGTTCAGGTCAGAAAAAAAAACGAAAATTACATTCTACTAGATGTTCCCTCGCGACTTCGTACGCTAGATATTGACGGATATATGATAACGTAAAATAGCCGTCCGACATCAACGAAAAAAGAAGTTTTCAAAAAATCCTATAATCCGATCGAGCCCAATTGTGAATTTAAAGCACCCGGACCACACATACAGAAGAATTTTATATATAAAGCCAGTAAATGAGGTATGTAAAATTCGGTTACAGATTCGTTATTGGACCCTTTTTTTAGGGCACAAAAATGACAGAAACGGATATGACTCCCTTTCTAACTTCCTCATTTTTTCAGAACATCGGTAGTAGTCTAGGCGATAGAGACTGTAAAATTGGCAAACTGGACATTTTGAGGTGGAAAAGAAAAAAATGGTGGAATATGTTCAGTTAGGTGTCAAAAACAACATATTAAAAATCCCACCCTCCAGACCCTGTGCTAATGGCTCCAGCCACCCCACCATCCCCCAAAAACCGTGTTTTCGCTCTTTTTGGCTGATATCTCGCGATCTACGAGTATGAGGTCTATATGAAATATTTTTAGCTGAAAATATTTCTCGGGAAATTTCATACAAGGTAGATACTCAGAAGTTAGCCTAGGTGTACCTCTTTTAGCCAAGGAAATTCATAAAAGCGGCGAAAATCATCAATTTTCGTGGCTTTTTGCAAATATATCGCGACCTTTAGAGCTAGATGAAATATTTTTAGCTGAAAATGCTCCTCGTGAAATTTTTTACAAGGTAGATACTCAGAAGTTAGCCTAGGTGTGTACCTCTTAGCCTAGAAAATTCATAAAAGGAGGCGAAAATCATCATTTTCGTGTTTTTTTTGCGGTTTTTTGCAAAAATATCGCGACCGTCAGGGCTAGATGAAATATGTTTAGCTGAAAATGCTCTTCGCGCAATTTCATACGAGATAGGTAACTGAAGAGTTGGCGTAAAGTCACCTTTCACCTTCAACTTTCATGTGTGAGGAAATATTCATTGTAAAACAAAGTATTTCTATGTACCATTTATTCACGTAAAAACAGTATTTTCATATTAAAATATTCACACATTCATTTATACCTCAACGTAATCATTACCCTTATACTTATCCAAATCAATTCGTACTTTTTCGATCAGACTTCTCAATCAAAAGTTATAGACTAGAAACCAATTTGAAAAAAAATTCAAAGGGCTGTAACTTTTGAACTAGTAGCCCAATCTTGGAACTGTTTGAAATTATGGATTCTACAGGCCACATTCTATAAGAAAATTTTTTTTGCGGGTCGATCTGAGACAATTTTTTTTTCGGGGCTCAAAAAAAGGCAGTGTATAACCTTCCTTTTTTACCAAAAATCGACTACGCCAAAATTTCTCGGGAAAACACTTTTTCTTATTAATTTGGGTGCGTAGAATCCAAATCAATTCGTACTTTTTCGATCAGACTTCTCAATCAAAAGTTATAGACTAGATGCAGATTCCACTTCTTCAGGCTCTTCGACGTCCTCTAGTGGTAGTGGGTCGTCTGAGATTACCGACTCGTAGTTCTCGTCTTCCGCTTTACCTGATGCATGGGTACCCTGAAGAGACGACGTCGCATTTAGGCACGATGCTCCATGACACTGGACGCAGAGTTCATTACACTTCCAACTTACAACCAGAAGCATTATGTCAAAAAAATGTTTATAATTATGTATACGATTACAATATTCTCTCGTGTGTCCTAAGTGTCTGGTAGAGAAGGTTTACCTGATTTCCTGCAACTGTTTCAGAAAATCAGGTAAACCTTCTCTACCCGACACTTAGGAGTTAGAACACACGAGAGAATATTATATTCGTATACTTAATTATAAAATTTTTTTGACATAATACTTCTTGTTGTAGGTCTGAAGAACGAATTCTGCGTCCAGTGTCATGGAACATCGTGCCTAAATGGGACGTCGTCGTTTCAGGGTACCCATGCAGGTAAAGGGGAAGGCGAGGAGAACTAACTAATTTCAGACGACCCACTAGCACTAGAGGACGTCGAAGAGCCTGAAGAAGTGGAATCTGTAGAGGATAATGATTACGTTGAGGTATAAATGAATGTGTGAATATTTTAATATGAAAATACTGTTTTTACGTGAATAAATGGTACATAGAAATACTTTGTTTTACAATGAATATTTCCTCACACATGAAAGTTGAAGGTGAAAGGTGACTTTACGCCAACTCTTCAGTTACCTATCTCGTATGAAATTGCACGAAGAGCATTTTCAGCTAAACATATTTCATCTAGCCCTGAAGGTCGCGATATATTTGCAAAAAACCGCAAAAAAAAACACGAAAACTTGATTTTCGCCTCCTTTTATGAATTTCCTACGCTAAGAGGTACACCTAGGCTAACTTCTGAGTATCTGCCTTGTAAGAAATTTCACGAGGAGCATTTTCAGCTAAAAATATTTCATCTAGCCCTAAAGGTCGCGATATATTTGCAAAAAGCCACGAAAATTGATGATTTTCGCCTCTTGTATGAATTTCCTAGGCTAAGAGGTACACCTAGGCTAACTTCTGAGTATCTACCTTGCATAAAATTTTCCGAGAAATATTTTCAGCTAAAAATATTTCATATAGACCTCATAGATCGCGAGATATCAGCCAAAAAGAGCGAAAACACGGTTTTTGGGGGATGGTGGGGTGGCTGGAGCCTTTAGCACAGGGTCTGGAGGGTGGGATTTTTAATATGTTGTTTCTGACACCTAACTGAACATATTCCACCATTTTTTCTTTTCCACCTCAAAATGTCCAGTTAGATGTCTTTATCGCCTAGACTATAGGTATTCCAAAGCCTTTTAAATGCCCTCAAGGGTTTTATGTAACTGTCACTCTCCTCTCCTACAATATTTAGCTGTCAAATCCGAGGTCAAATCCTTTCTCGAGCATCCAGGGTCATACGAGTCTAGACAGGTTTGTAAATGGGGAAAAATGCTCCGATACGTTGCAATGGAAAGCCTTCAGATACTCTGAAAAGCACCAGTACCATTTTAGATAGCGTTTAGGTACTTCCGAGTTATCCATTTCTAAGCTAAACGAGCCTAGAGAACGCCCTGAAAAATGACTAGAAAGGTTTAATAGGGCATAGAAAGCTGTGGAGCAAGGGGGGGGGGGGCAGCCAACTTGCTGGGAATTAAATTACCTACATTGTTTAAATAATAGCAATTATTTTTTTCTGTAGGTAGGTCATGGTCAGTGTAATAATTTACAATGCGGTGCTAAGATTATTTCATTTTGATAAAGAAAATATGTAGGTTGTTATATTGAAGTTTAATTACAAGTTCCTCAGACAGAAAAAATTTCACCAGAAAACCAGAAAAATTATTTTTGCAGTTTCCATGGTAATGGTCACACAAAAAATTGTATCACAACATGATTGGATGATTTGCAAAACCCCCGTCATTCGGATATTGCGGTTTATATTAACGATATCTGGTAGCAACATACTATGGCTTTTCCACACAATGGTTTTACTCTACAATTAATGACATGTGGGATGTCCAAATTTTTCAGAGAGCATAGTAAATGTAGAATTGGGCTATCATAAACAAGGCACTCGTCTGTGGTGAGGAAATTAATGATTTTTGTTCTTATCATTTAATTTCCGACAAAGGCGCAAGTTATTACCACCTTTGGTTGTTATGATTACAAACGAATGAATGGTGAAATAAAATTTATCTGACGATAATAACAATAACCATATGTTGTGTAGATTTGTCTGTCCTGTCTCGGTGGTACCGTAGAATGAGCCCAAACACCTTCGCAAATCTTGAGTCGATAGTGTTTCCAAGGATAACGAGATGCGGACAGTGCATCGTTGCATGGGGTAGGTGGCAAAAAGTCTCTTACTATAACACTACAATGGAGTGCACATTGCAGACTCGTAGTGCCTATAAAAAGACCGGTGTTAATAAACAATACAATAACAAAGCATTTTAATCACAAGTTTCCCAATGTTTGTAATTACATTTTAAGATAAGAGTATTTACTTGTACCGTCCAAAAAGATCCCTTCATTCTTTTACAGTTTATTATTCTCCCAGACTCTAAAACTGAACATTTTTGGCAAAATTTCAAAGTGTACGCGCGTCTTGGACGTAAATAACTGTTTCCGAATTATCTTTAAAGGAGCCAACGATTTATTAATCTGGTGCGTGTTTTTTTACTCAAGGTTTAAGGTCAAAACACACTGCATTGTCGCTTACATTGAATGACGAGGAAGTTGCCAGAATGTATCATTTCCTAAAGTGAAGAGCACTCTGAATGGTCTCATCCTATTCACTGCTTTGAATAAATGGGTAGTGTGTTGAGTACACATCCAAAGCACTCCACGTGGCTCAGGTGTACTTGATTAGATAATTTTTGTTTTTTACTTGTTTTATGATCTCAAACTGCCTCATTCTATTCTGTTGCAAATAAAAAAATCGTACTTAAGTTGATATGGTCTTTTATTTGCAAATTACCAATTAAAGGTTAATGAGTCAATGACAAAGAAAAAAGCCCTTTGTTGACTAATTTCTCCTCAAATACTCTGTACAACAAACAAACAAACATCACATGTGCTGTGCTGTAATGTAATGTATTCAGTATTTATAAACCATCCTAAAAATTTACATAATGTTTACCTCGGTGTACGATTAAAAAAATCTACATTGTCTAATCAGTATTTCAAATTTGTTGCAGGAAATATCAGCGCGGTCTTTACCTACAAGTGGAAAGGGGAAGAGATAGCCAAGCTCTTAGAAAACGACACTAAAGTTCTAGTCCATATGACAATTGCCAGTCGTTCCACTTCACCTTCGGCAACCATCAACAGGTAGGTAATCTCGTCCCGAGACTAGCACAGTTTCAAACAGTATCAGTTAAGTATGCGGGTTTTACACAAAAATATGTGATAAATGACGTCAATGTAAATTAACAACTGAATAACAGTTATTCCAACATGTACATATAACGATCAATATAACTGCCAAATTGGACTCGTAAATATGTGGAAACAATTAAAATGCTACACGATTTCTTATAACTTTCCGGTACCTTTGACTATCTCATATTTTCCATTATGGGGTCTCCTCCATTTTGGTAGATACCAAGCAATTTCTGACGTGCAGAAATGTTCGTCGATTTAGTTTTTTTAACTAGATCTTTTAATATCTAGATTATATTGCATTTTGCTCCACTCTGATGATCTTCAGTCCGTACGGTTCCAAGGAAATGGTAGGTAATACAAGGTGGTCCTCGGGAGCGGGTAGCTGTACATATCTTACAAGGTTCATTATGTAACTAAGTCATTTTTTTACATAGTAATACTATTTCAAAAATACATTTTTGGACCGGGGGTGGCTGGGAGCGGTGAATATCACGTTGAGTTGGAATCTTATATACTAATTTTTCCCCTACGTTGATGAGATTTCAAAATTTCAAATCAATATCTTTTAAAACACTAAATATCAGTCCATTGGAAGTTTTCGCATGGACACCTGGTATACGACATTACAGGGAGCACTAAATCATATAAGGCGAACAGTTTCTAGAGACATCTAGTATGGCTCCGCGAAAAGTTGTAATTGCAAGTCAGGAGTAAAAAGAAAATGAAAATGTAAGTAATTGAATCAGCAATGACTTTGACCATGAATTAAAAATCGAATGAATAATGTACTTAGGTATACAAAAAGAAGCAAATTGTTAGTAAAATCAGTTTGTTTAACAAGTAATTTTTGTAATGCCAAAATAGGTTGGAAAGCTTCCACTTTCACTCTGTATTGCAATGAATGAGTTCAAAATCGCTTGCATAATCCCTCAGATTATGCAATCCATTAAAGCGTCCTCACATACTTTCTTATTTCAAGAAAAAACCTTTGCGGGAGAAAACATTTGCCAACCTAAGTAGGTAACGGAAATGTAGTTGTATCTCATTATTTTAGTAATTAAGATATTATAAATGACTATTAATTTTACTCAAGGGCGTTTACAAAACGCATTACCGTACCGCTAGGACAAAACTTTCTAACTAATTTCCTATTAGAACAGTTTGAAATCCACAAAAGGTGGACAGTTACAAATCAATTCTCATTTAATATGTACATATTTATAACTATGTGTTTCATTGAACATGCAATAACAGAATTTAGCATTTAGCCGGTTTAAATAAAACCGACCTTGTTCATATTTTTTTATGTATCTACTACCACAAATCAAAGGTGCAGGAAATTCTTGATACTACCTTGATTTTTCCTGCCTTCCTGATTCACACCTTTTTTTTCAGAACGTCTGTCCTATTCGTGTCTGTTACGTTCATAGTTCTGATGATCATTTCCTTGGCCTGGTTAGTTTTCTATTATGTACAACGATTTCGATACATACATGCGAAGGATCGACTGTCGGTAGGTAAATTGTATACACATACAGCTTTAGTGTTCAAATATTATTACAGAAGAAGCTCTGCAACGCAGCTAGGAAGGCGTTATCAAAAATTCCAACGAAAAATATTAAATCTGATGATAATGAAGTACAGGAAGGAGAATGTTGCGCTATTTGTATAGAGCCGTATAAAATTTCAGAAGTGCTCCGTATGTTACCCTGCCAGTAAGTATTCTTCTTTTTATGCGCCGAAGTGCTTTCCCCTTCACGTATGTGCAGCAACTTTTATGAACCGTAAACTTAAACTGAAGTAGGTACTATGTTTGAAAATGACGCAGATTTCTTACCCTTTCTTTCAGAGTATAAAATTTACTTGAATTATACAAATTACTTTGTACCAAATTTTCTTTTAATTTTGTATCTTTTGGGTTTCCCTTTTGATTTCCATCATAGTTAATAAAGGTGCCATCAATATTTTATTTTCTAGACTTTGTAGCGCAAGAATATTAATGGGTAGCTTTTTCATTAATTTGTATTAAAGACGTGCTGTTAACATAATTTTGATTCTTTAAGAAACGGGTTAATTAGATAAAAATTAATGTAATGATGTCTGTATATAGGTCCAGTTTTTGGAGATAAAATGTTGTCTGGGGATTTTTTCAAAATTGAAAAAATATCCTCATTTTCGTCATTAGTAATTTAAGCCCATGAAATTTAAAGGTGAGAATGGATCAAATGGTCAGCAAACAAACTCAAGCAAAGAAATGACCCAAACGCTAATTGGTGAACAAATATGGCATGCAGTTTTACGTACACAATCAACATTTTTTGGCGGTGTAATCACCCTGAGACCAATTGTAGAGAATATTGATTGGCGGTCTTCTTTTTCATATTTAAACTTTCGGCTATCCCTATAGTGATTGTGGATTAGAGGAGATATATGTTAGGTTCCCAACATGTTACGTACCTCTGTATAAATAACAAGCATTTGCTACAAGATCTTAAAATCGCCAGTGTGCAAATACCATAAAGGTTAACCATGTGGGGTAAAACTGATATTGAAATGCTTTTTTTTTCTTAGTAATAAATGCCGAGGAACTTACAGTGTGTTAATTTCCAGTCACGAATTTCACAAGAGCTGTATTGATCCATGGTTATTAGAACATCGGACATGTCCAATGTGTAAAATGGATATCTTGAGGCACTACGGATTTATGGTCAGTGTTCCAAAATATCCGCAAGTCTATAACTACTAGCTAAAACCCAACTAGTAGTTAATATTTTTTTGTGATACATTACATTAGTGCCATATACATACCTACCTTTTTGCACTTGCGCATGGTGGAGGTAATATTTAGTTTTTATTTTTTTTTATTTGTGATATCCACTCATATAGTATTAATAGCTCGCTCGTTTATATATACCACTGCTTAACACTTGGTGGCTTCATCTCTGTATCGCTTTATTTAATTTAGAAGAGTGAAAAAAATACGCTTAACACTTAAAGGGTTGCTAATGCAAATAAATTGGCTTACCATTTTTAACCTTCCAAAGGTCACAGTAATTAGGTGGTGTATTTTTACACAGTTTACGGGTAGCCAAGAAAGCATTTTACATATGGAAATCGATGAGGTCGTTGGATTAGGATCTAATGAGAGTCAAGATTCGGATAGCCCACGACACGGCGGCGTTAGCCCACTGCCTCAAATTCGCACTGTCGTTCTGACAGATCGAAGGGTTCGTACGAGATTAGTGTGTAGCGAATTGCTGACTATCTATTTGCAGAGATCGTTCGGTAGCTCAATAGATGTTGAGGAGAGGAGTAGTCGAGCATCAACGCCCGATGAGATGACTCCTAGCTTAGCCACGCGTCCAGTTCGTCCCGACCTATGTGCAAACTGCATAGCCGCAGCCGCCTCGTTGGCCGCTCAAGATGAAACTAAAACTGTGAAGTCGATAGTGCAACAAGTGCTCACATCCGAAAACGTGACAGATAGTGCGCAAGTACAAATTGGTGATAATACAGATAGTGATTCCAAGGTTCTGCTTCGTTAATTAAACCGCAGTTCTACTTAAATGTTTTTTGACTGCACCACATTTTTTCATATTAATCCCTTCAAGTGATATTAAAATTAATGCGTACTTATCGAGTACTTAATTTTTGTTAAGCATGGCAAGTAGCATTGTTAATTTATCTGTAGTTAACATTTAGATGTTACAAAGTGATTTGATTACCTTACTAGGATTTAGGTGGCGCCGGTAATATCGCAACCTGACATAATCTGATAATACTTTTATATATAGCAGCTATAAACCATATTACATTGCTGCAATGCTGCTTGTCAGGGATCATACACAGTAAATTTCTTGGTAGTAGAATATGGCGGACATACTATAAATTGAGCAATAGGATAACTTAACAGAGGCACCTCTAAATAGCATTACGCGGGTCACTCTGTAATTGGGCGCATGCCTGTTGAGCTGTTGATAAGCTGATTTGGTATTGGTGTATTTTTAATGGTTTCGTAAGTGCTATAAAATAACATCCAGTTTAATACAGTTAAGTGTGAAGAATTACCAAACTCGAACTTGATTATTTCTGTGCCAAATTAAAAAAAAATTATAGCTTCGATAACCTGAAAAATTTGCTGGATTATTAATACACCTATAATCCATTCATAGTGTCTTTGACATGCAGGCTGGGTAGTATGCCAATTTGTCAGGTATGCTAGATACTACAGATACAAAGTCAACACTATTGCTAACTTTTTTAGTTGTAGAGAGAGAAAGACGGTTGAATTATGAAAATTGTGTATTTTTATACTAAATCAAAACCTGCAATTATAAGACTTTGAAGAGCCTTTACAATAACGTCATTTTATGATTTTCATGGATAACTAAATCAAAATAAAAATAATTGAAAAATCTTGGTAATTTGAAGTATTTTGGCTATGGTGCAACAAGAACTTTTGTTGTTAGTATCTGAAAAATGTGATGTTGTTTTGTTTTTTAATGAAAGATTTGGATTCAGTGTTAATAGACAACTTTCATAATTTAACAGTCTTTCCAACTCCGCACTTGAGAAAGTTACTAAGAGTAATTTGAACCAGATTGTGTATTGTTTGTGTATATCTGTGGATATGCTAGGCGAATGTTTCTTCTTGCTAAATTTTGAGATTTTTATTCCCGATGTCATGTTTTTTCAAAACATTTTAAGAGTATATTGTAATAACATTTTTTAAATTGCAACCGTGAGGAATGTCTCATAGTTAATAGATTATTTGTCTAGCTTCAGTTACAACACATTCTCTAAGATGGAAAAAATCAAATTTTGTACAAAAGTGTAACTAAACTGTTCAGATTCCTTTCTGTACCACATTCTCTACTTCTCAGCTTACAACAGTATTCTAAGCATTTGTCTGTTGGCGCACTTTTTAAACGCTGGAGCTTGTTTGGCTTAGTTAATTGGATCCTCAATTGTGACATTGAGAGTTCATTGTTTGGATCCGGGTTCAAGCATGGATTTTGTGTACAGTGAGTTGGGTTGCGACACAGGTAATTGTCAACCTCGCTGTCATCTCATTCATAAAGGAGTTTCTTCCCTATTAAAAAATTCATATTAGAATTGTTTAGATGTTGATTTTCACCCGGATTTTAGTCATATTTTAACGACTGGTTCGGTAGATTTCTGAATAGCAGATGATTCTGATCCTTTAATTAGGTATCATAAATTCGATTTAATAAACAAATGATCAAGTTTTGATTTATTTTTTAGACTAACTCGATTTATCCAAGTTATTATCAGGTAAAGCTCTTCAAAGTACAACCGAGTCCTTTTTTTTACTCGTGACAATGTTTCTGTTCTGTTAAAATAATCTATTAATTTGAATGTGTGATAACTTCAAGGGTAAATTACTAAAAATAACATTGTATGAAAAACAGTTCATAAATATTAATTGTGAACTTCTTATTTTTGAAAAATTGAGCAGCTATAAAGGAACAGGTTTCAAAATTAATTAATTATTGCAAATTTATTTGTTTAAATTCAAATATGCCATATGCTACTTTGATAGTTTTGTCAAAACAATATTTCTTCTTTGTTTATTTGATGCAATTGGAATTTAAATTGAGTGTCGCAAAGGTAAGCTGTATACGATGTTTGTAAGTATTGGTTCTATCGAAAAATGATTTATGTTGTTCAGTTCTTCGGTTGTGTATATACGATAATACCATTATTGATTTTAAGAAGTTGGAGCGCGTTTGGGTACTGCACTGGCATGTGTTTTGCATCCCATCATTCTTTAACAGAAGCTCTTTATAATGTCCAATCTTCGAACTGTTCAGAATGGTCATAAGGTAGAGTCCACCCATTTCGTTTTGCTTTAATATTTAATTTTATGCCAAACTCACCACCTAAAAATCACACTTTAACTTTTCAAAAAGCAGTAGCTATTGTTGTCCTTCCATTTGCTGCTTACAATTTAGTTTTAGTTTGAAATGTGCAATATTTGATTCCCATCACACAGCATGTCGAAAACACATTAAATGGATTATGCAATACCACGTGGCGGTTTTGGCAGATTTACTAAACATTAGCGGGAATGAATTCACAGCAACATTTGATCTCCTAAGGTATACTGTGTGGGTGTAATTTTACAGAACTAGTCATTTATACACCGTCAGCTACAGTTCGTAAGGGTAGCAATTTTTAAAAAATTTGTAACGTGTGTGATCTAATTTGGTTGTAAATAATTGAAAATTATATTTTATGCTATTATATTATAACGACTGAAGAAAAAACAAAGACAAAAATAAAAATTTGAAAGTGCCTTTATTTAACTTTATATACCTTAATTAAATTCTAGATTGAAGAAATGATCCATTGCCAGATTTTGGCTTGAGGTGTAATATCAGGTATAGGAAATAAAATACGATTTGAGTACATGGCGGTTGGAAAAGTGTGATGTAAGTACATATTAGAATTAAGACGTGTTATTCTGTTGAATGTCACATACGGGGCATTTAGGTGAGCACTTTTCTTTATACAGATATACTTTGACTTAAATACAACAAACTGACAAATACCTAGTGTAAATTTATTAATTGCATAATACCTACTTATACAGGGTGAGTTTTATTCTGAAAATAAGCATAAGTATCTCAGATACTAGCAGAGATAGTACCTATTATAGATAAAGAAAGACCTACAAGAATTTGAATTTACAATGCGACTTCAATATATTCTTGAATTAATTTATTTTTCGAAGTTCTCATGCAAATATGTTACATGCATGCTTATGATCTCTTTTTTATGTAAAGGCGTTGACCTTTCCAAAAGTCTTACCTTGAACTTTATTTTAAGTAAGCATTATTCCTTGGCGCTAAAATTCAAAAAGACAAACGAACCGAAATCGAAATCAAAATTAATTGAACGAGTCGCTAAATATTTGCACTGCTCGTCACTGTGTCAAACAATTGATGCAGAGGTTTGTTTTTCTCTGTTTTGCTTTCCACGGTACTCGCTGCTTTGCACACCCCTCCACTATGTGCCTAAGAGATTAATTTTGAATTGGCATTAATATCCAAGGTTAGATGCTAGAAACTCTCGTGTACACCCTTAGCGATAGATAAAGACATGACGTTTATCATCCAAATTTTATTCAACAAAATTTCAAATCGAGAACCAGTGCTGAGTAGTGCTTTCATATTACTTCCCGTGCTTGTAACTGCTTAAGACGACTTGCAACTAGGGAAACTCCATAATTAAGCGAATCCTAGGTATGCGCAATTCATTCCATATACTTAATTTATCAAATATTTGCTGTATACTAAAGAAACGTGAAAAATGATTACTTCAACATTGGCAGAGTCCTGTGTCTCATTTGAGAATTTTGGTAATCGCAACTACTTATGGGTTTGCCTGTATACAGTATACAAGTTCTTTGGGGATGGACACTTGATGCACGTCCTCAACTCTGGCCTGGATAATAAATTACATAAATATAGAACAAATTGAAAAATCATTTTGTACCCCATTTGCCACAGTTTACATATTCAATTAACAATATATATAATGAAAGAGCAACAAGGACACATTAATTGTTTTAATGGTGAAATTAACCCCTTTTATGCTTTGCTTTTATAAAAGACATTAATTTGTAAAACTCGGAGAATGTTCACACATCAAAAGAACATTGTGTATTGCTAACCCAAGCATTTCTAACTTATTGCAAACGACACAAATTATAGTTAGTTCACACAATCAATTACAGTCAATAAAAATGCATTTTTTAAAAATAGTATCACCATGTAGTTCATGTAGCTAATACTGTAAAGCCAATCACTTGATGTATATTAAAGCTAGATGTGACAAAGAATCGTCGTTCCTGCTTCGTTTCCTTCACATCTATTCCTATAATCGGATGTCTTCCAATGATGACCTTCTTTTCATAATTACGAATGTCAAATGTCTTCCACGATGTAACATGGTAAAAATACACCTGGAGTGATTCCGATTAGTCTTAAACGACACGTTTCAATAATATGTACTTACATTGCCAACATCTACACCAACGACGAAAATATTACCGTACAAAAACATACAGGTAATGTTAGCCTGCAATGCAGTCCAACTGTTAAATAATTTTTTGCTATACTGATGCTTTTCGCCCAAAATGAAGACCTCTAGAAACTGCTCACGTAAACCATCATCGGTCGCTGTGGGCAAACCATTAATTATACTATAAAACAATTGAAGCACACTTACAAGCACATATTATGATGTTATTTCTGTAAATGTGGCACGAACGGGCTAGCCGTGACTGATTTTTGTTACAAAACGCGATGTGCACTTTATTCTCTACGCTACTAACAGGCGGAATGCTTTGATCAAACTTCAGCACTTTAACTTCATTATTAATTAAAAATGTAGCGAAACCACTCCACATGTGCAGACAGGATACCTCGTTCGGTGAATAGATTCGTAAAAAGGTGATTTCGCAAAAGATACGTGAGCCATTCGCCTCCCTGCACAGCTTCGAGATCGTTATTCTTCCCCCTCTTCTTTCGTAGCACAGATATTTTTGATAGATACTGAAAAAATTTACTTAAAACACCAGTCAATGATCGATTATAGAGTGCATAGCTTGGGTCGAATTTTTGAGCTTGGGGTATTACAGGAAAAGGCTTAAAAAATTTCCCTTTCCTGGTGGGAAAATAAACACTCTCCAGACAGACTAAACAGATGACGGTGCATTCACGAATGCAATTGAAAAACTAGCGCTCACTTCAGTTACTGATGTGCTAGAGGAAGATGTGAAAATTGCAGTGCTGTTGATGAGAACAACATTTTCCTAAGAGTTGCAGTAGCTGTATGCTGTTATAAACCGTGATACCATCTTCACAACCTGTAGGAGGGAAGTTGGCGAAATTATAAAAAAAGCACACTATCCAAGGTAGCAAGAGCCTCGGCAAGAGCTGCCTTTATTTCCATCATGAAAATGTCGTTGTTGGAAAATATCTTTTTGAATTGCTCAGCAGCTTTTGCTATTACCATGAATTAGGACAAAACCCCAATAATAATGTTCATGTATTGAACCTTAAAAAAAACTATAGAAAGCATTAAGAATCTAAAACAAAAGTAGCGTTTTCAAGAATTGTGGGTAACCTGTGAAGGCAAGAACTTTTTTTGTAGGTTTTAGAAATGCAAGATAAATTTTTGTATAGACCCAAACAAAAGATTCTGCCCCTCTTTAAGCACTCTACACCCATTTTTTATCACTCATAATCTGGAGTAATATTTTCCAGTTGAGTTACCTATGCAATTTGACATCTTGTATCACGGCTAGCTCGTTTAATTTCCCATCAAATTCCGTTAATATCAATGTTCCAGTTTTGTAGGCCAAAAGGAGAAATATCCGGTCCGCTTCGACAGGTCCCGACTCGTCATCTGCAGATGGAAAGTAAACGGGAGGAAGAGCTCATTTGTTTGTACGTACCGTACATAAAAGTGATGTCGGTAATTTTAACCGCTTGATATCGAGCCGTGTGTAAAAGACCCCAAGTTTCCTCGAAAATTTTTACACGCCCGTCTTCCGAGCCGACTGCGATAAATGTGCCTAAAAATAAGCCGTATTACTGGTAGATCGTGTGGTTTAAGGCTAGCGCGAAAAAGTGTATAAAAACTTGACTTGTTGCATGTTCTGGCCAAAAGAAATGTGGGTGTTATGAACAAATAAGCAAAAAATGGTTGAATTTCGTTTGCAATTACTAAATGTTTTAATGTGTTGTAAAGCAGGTATGCAGATTGCAGATGGAGGTATATTATGTACCCAATCACAACAGACCCTTATACTAATGACCTTTCCCTTAGTTTATACCTGTTCCCCGCTAAATACAGTATAACTAGCACTATCATGCTGCAAAGGATTTTTTTACAGCATTGGGATTGGTTTTTTATATAATGTAAAAAGTTGTATTTGAGCGAACATTTCAACAAGATTTGGCATTGAGCACTTTAGGTAAAAACAAGTGAAATAACTTTGAGTCAAAACACTTCCTGATGACATGGCAGTACAATGCCAATACTTATTTATTAAAACTAGGCAAAATAAATATATTGAATCATTCGAAATCTTAAAATTTTCCACAATCGGTCAAAATCCTACATTTACACAATCTTGTCACAATTTTCAAGAAGACAGACATCTTAAGGGAGTGAGGATAAAGGTAGAGGGTTCAAGGTCTCAGTACGGGAACATAGGATATCAGGTACAGTTTAAATAATAATAATAGGAAAGGTATTGTGTGCAGTATCAGCATTATATGAACACTAGGTACCATTAACATTACTAGCAGTACATGGCCAAATAATTTACATTTGGTGTAATGTAAACGTTTGGCCCCTGGGCTTAATCAATATGTCTGATCTTGATCAACTCCCCCTTTCCAGTAATAACTTTACAAATACCAATGTTTTTTACGCAATATCGTAAATCAACCTACTCACAAAACCCATTAAAACATTATAAGTAGTTAGATACAACTTTTCAATAAAGTGAGCTTAGTTGAAACCTTTCCAAGTGAAATATAGGAGATGATGTCGTTGTCAAATGCCTACAAATAAGTTCCACATCACTTTGTGCATTAAAGTCATACTTTCTTACACTTTTAAGCACGTCACAATTATGAAAGTACCCGATACGGCAACATAAGTAATTCGAGGTACGTCGACAGGACACAGAACCGTGTCAAAGTGTACATTATCCTTAATGTTACGCCACGAACTCCAATTATCGTAAATATTGAACCATTTACTATCGTCTATGTAATTTTCATACTTATCGAGGTAGTTTTCGAGTTCACTTTGCGGAATCTCCTCGTGACAGCACCACTTCCATATACTCGTTTTCTAAAAGCTTTCGTTAGTGTCTAGAGATGAGCTACAGGAGGCGGCTTACCTCCGTAAGAAAGTTAACGATATCTCCCCAGGCCGGATCAATCGATTTCGCTGCTCTTAATGTTTGGCCATCGGAAAAGTACAATATCCTTTCGATTAATTCGAGAGGTAAAAGAGTCATTGTTGCGTCTATTTTAGTTCGCCTTCATAGAACTTTGTTATTATTGTTTTGTTGTGTCAAAGTTTGAGCGTCGCGTCGGCGTCAGTCAAAACAAAGCAGATTTCTATGTTCAATTCCAAAGAGAGCTTACAGATGGCGATTTCGACATCGTTCAAGTGCGCGCATGTGCGCTATTAACAATCCACAGGTTGTCATGTTTTCTTTCGTCAGTTAAGAAAATACCGTACGGTTGTTCTGTGCAGTACGAAAAGTTTGTGTTTCGCGTTTTCGAATGTAACACTTATTTTAAACAATTCAGAAATGGGTGTCGGACTTCCTCCGCTAGAGTTTACAGAGTGTATGAGTGACAGTCCATACTTTAGGGAGAATTTACACCAGCACGAGAAAGAGTTAGATAACACAAGTCAACAGATTAAAAGACTCATTAAAGAAGTTAAAGATCTGCTTACAGCTGCCAGACGTAAGTATGATAACGGTTTTTTTGCATTTGAACAACATACGTATTATCATTATCAGTCGAAGGCTATTTGCCGTTTAGGTAACAAACTATTATGATCAATTGTTTTTTCCAAGGCCAACTTTCCTTAATAGTTATTGGAACCCTCAAAAAGGTAACACATTTTCCATTTACTTTACGGATAGGTATCGGTAATCTATAAATAAAAACCGTCACGTAGTTTAACAATCCATAAGAAAACGCAAATATTGACAAATATCACCTTCCCCTCATGAATTATTTATTATTTACATTTGGAGTTAGAAATTTCGATAGATATTGGTCACTGGGCGACTCCTCTTACGTTGTTTAGCATTGTTGCACTTTCGTGTTTGATAACATCAACCCGGAAACATTTCTCGAATTTTCCAATACCGGAAATTTTTTTGCATAATTGCGTACATAGCGGAATCTAGTGCGATGCAATATTGTAACAGACGCATTCATTAATTTAGGCGCCAGAAAGAAGTTGAAATGATAAACTTCGAGATAATGCCGAAACGTCACACAATTTGTTATAAAGTTTGGTTCTCGGTTTGGTTGATGGTAACTACTTATACCGGGTGGGGTATCTTTTTTTGCGCCCCCAGAAAGAAATTACTCACCCGAACAGTAAAAATAAACGTTATTGGTAAATATTGGATTGACAGTATTAATTATATTGTTATCAGGAACGATAAACGGTTCAGCATCTGCGGTTCCGTCAATGAATGAGATTTTGATTATTTGTTCGTTATTTGCTATTGAAAGTTATTTCATTCTAGTGACTAGTCCATAACTTTTGATTGAGACGTCCGATCGAAAAAGTACGAATTGTTTTGGATTCTACGCACCAAAATTAATAAGAAAAAGTGTTTTCCCGAGAAATTTTGGTGTAGTCGATTTTTGATAAAAAAGGAAGGTTATACACTGCCTTTTTTTGAGCCCCGAAAAAAAAATTGTCTCAGATCGACCCGGAAAAAAATTTTCTTATAGAATGTGGCCTGTAGAATCCATAATTTTAAACAGTTCCAAGATTGGGCTACTAGTTCAAAAGTTACAGCCCTTTGAATTATCTTTCGAAATTGGTTTCTAGTCCCATAACTTTTGATTGAGAAGTCTGATCGAAAAAGTACGAATTGTTTTGGAGTCTACGCACCAAAATTAATAAGAGAAAGTGTTTTCCCGAGAAATTTTGGTGCAGTCGACTTTTGGTAAAAAAGGAAGGTTATACACTGTCTTTTTTTTGAGCCCGAAAAAAAAATTGTCTCAGATCGACACGGAAAAAAAATTGTCTTATAGAATGTGGCCTGTAGAATCCATAATTTCAAACAGTTCCAACATTGGGCAGTTACAGCCCTTTGAATTTTCTTTCGAAATTGGTTTCTAGTCAAGGGCGGGCCAGGTGGAATTGCATAGGTTACGGGCCATTAAAGTATTAGTGTAGTAATGAAGGTGGCGGGGGGGTAGCTCTGCGGTGCACCACAAAAACATTTTTTGCTTCATTTTAAGGTACTTCGGAAATCAATTACAATACAGTTTTTTTTTAATTGCAGCTGATAATTAAAAGTAACAAAATATACAATCCAAACGAGGCGCGTCGCCTATCATTGTATTTCATCACTTTCATGCTACGACAAAAAATGATAAATTCATTGTAAAACACTTCAACTAAAACAGAATTTTTTAATTTTTTAACAACCTAACATCAACCCCAATTAGAGAAACGTGTTAATAACTTATTAATAGTGCAAGAAACTAAATACAGCACATACTTATAAATTTCCAACAGGCCATTATGACGTACAGCGCCCCCCCCCGGACCAGTCCGCCTCTGGTTATTTCCCTCGTTATTTCCTATCCAAAGGTACATTTCTTGAACTGTAATAACTGAAGAACGTGTAACAGTGTCTATAAAAATTTCAAATGATAGGTACAAAACAAGGCAAACTTTTATCTTTTTATTTAGCTTAATTACAACAAGCAGATGGCCTAAATAATTTTATTTTTGTATGCCCATCCAGTGCCGTAAATCTGATTAGTGTTTAATAAAATCTCGGTTGGTACAGATTTTTTTCAATTAAGGGCGATATTAAGGGCTACACTCAGGGCTACAGTTCATTCTTGAAATCGTGTCGTTGTCCGTCTGTGTGCGCACAATAATTCTTCCTTCTCCAACGGTTTAGTGTCTTAGCTCCTCTAGGCTTGGTTCAATCAAAAATCAGAGTGTGTAGTATGGTCTTTGGTTCATGTAAGAATCCCATTGAAAGTTCAGAGACAGTTATTTCTAGACTAGAATAGAGCAACATGTAGGAGGCGCTGTACGACACTTGTTTGAAATTTTTCACAAATCCATGACACACTATGATGTGATAAGGTGTCGGCTTCTTCGTTACTTCCTTCTATTGGTTTATTTATTTTACCCAAAATCGTCCAGAAACCTTCATTTTCATGCCCACTTTCTGTCAGGAAATTTTAGTTTCCATGACAGAGGCAGAGCAGACTCGAGAGAAGACTACGTTTCCTGTTGCTGGTCACTTTACTGGTCGCACCTGTCACTTTACCGGCCGCATCTGTGACATTGCTAAATGTCTATAATGACGAATCGGAGATATGCATGATGTGATGGAACTCAAAATGGGGTTGTGTATATTAGATACCAAAAAGACACAAAACCTTCCCCATACTAATTTTAATAAACAAAAATTGTCAACTGTTTTTTAGAAATTTTCATTTTGTACGCATTTTTTTGAGTATTTTAAAAATAGGGTATTATGTGCTATTGTTTTGTCCGTCCGTCCGGACCCACTTCTGTCGTATTCACTGGATGTTGTATATTTTTATCGTAATAATAATAATACAGTGTCTGGAAAATGACTCGACTAAACCCCTTCTATAAGAGGTTCCTATGTTCAACACTGTTTTGTTCGAGGTTTTGTTGTGTTTATGTAGTGGTGTGTGGTAAGTTTTGGACGACATTTCGAAAATGCTATCACCTCCTGAGACATCCCCTTATATCATGCTTAAAACTTTACAACTCGAACCTAAAGAATAACTTGTTTACGAAATCGTAATTTAAATTGATCAAACTAGTTTAAAAATATTCAATTGTCTGTCCATCGGTGTGCTTTTTGCCTGCGGTACCTACCTATTTTTATTGCAGCATAACGCATTTGATGTTTAATTAAAATTGAAGATTAGAAGCTCGATTAGAAGAGAACTATTTTTTTACCTCCCCTTTTATCTCGCCTTTTACTAACAATAGGCAAAATTTCCGGTGAAAAGTTACTTTTCAAGAAATGATAGCGATTGACATGAAATTGTACTATAATATAGGTACTTAAATTGTTGCTCATATTTCAGGACGTTATGTCGTTATCTGTGTTTGCATTGGATAGGGTATCTAATATTTACCCGAGTATTTACCTATGCAAGTATTCTCTATTTGAGTCTATTACTTTTTACACAAAATCGTTTTCTTCACCTCATTTTAATACTATGCGATCAAAAATGAGTTGGTGTCGAGTCACCTTTGGAATTTTTGTTTACTGTGTATTATAAAAAATTAGGATGGCCATTTAAAAAAACAATCGATGACGTCAAATCACAATTTGGGACACGTGGTATAAAATTTTATTACATTTAAAAGGAGGCAGTTGGAAATGCTAACCTACGACAAAGTTCAGATTTACATTGCTTGCGTCCCTAAGTATTTTTTCTCGACGTTTAAAACTTCTACATAAAAAAACACGGGTTTACCAACAGACGTTTTTTAGGGCCCCTTAAATAACGAAGAAAGGTGCTGTGGTGATAGGTAGTTGCTCTCAAATATCGATGGTATTTTCTAATTAGATTTTTTTGTTCGTCAAACGAGACGAATGCGGAAGTCGACTGGTGCGTGTGTCCATACTGATATAATTAACATGCGGACATCGTAATTAATAATTCCAATTAAGTGATAGTAAAAGTTTAGAAAATGAAGATGTAAAGCGAAATAGATACGTAAACGCCTACTTTCTACATTTGATAATGCTTTATATATTTTGCATACAAACGATTAAATTGTGCGAATGTTTAGTTGTATACAACAAAAAGTGGAACATGGAAAACGTAACAAACAAGAAGCGTCAAAGGAATTATCGCAAAAAATTGCGGAGGTAATTTGAAACGAATTACGACGGGCAACCACTTAGATGCATGCTAGGAAATTGTAATTACCTACGATTGTTTGTGTATGGGTAAATTATAGCCATCGAAGCGTTTGCAAAATTTTCCGAAATTAAAGTGAAAGTGAACACCCACAGCGTGATTCACCCAATGATTTTTGACACCCACCACCGTTCGTGGGAATATCAACCTGCATAAAGTAAAAGTAGGTACGTAAATTTATGGGAACGGAGGATGAGGGTACACCATCACGTCTCTTCGCACTGTATATAGAGAACAATGTACTTTATTCAAATAAAGGTCACTTAAATCACAACCATGACATACCAACACGTTCATCCAAGCCGACACAATTACTAGAATGACAATCGATGTTTTATAGACTAAATTATATCCTCCTCCTAGGTACCGATGAGCGATGACATCGTCCCTAGGACCTTTTAGAAACGTGTTCACGATCTATTGCGAAAAAGTCGTACTCGCACAGGTTGCATTCTCTTAACATTTATGTTAAGGTTAAACAAAATACATCAACAGCCGCCATTATTTTAGCTAACAATTTTTATAACATCCATTAACCTACGTATATCTATTCAAGAATAAGGTTAATTGTGATGTATAAAACTTTTATTACGTAAGTCGTATACGCAAATTAACTCCCACCCACCGATTTACTCGTAATGAACAGACCATTTCTCCAGAATTCCATGTTTGGGGTAATAATTAAATAGACGGCCACGAAAAGATGCGCCGCGATCAGCATCTGCCCTATACTGAGTAGAAGTGAAATGTTATTGCGACGGTACCGCAATAGGATTGGGAGGCGTAGGTGGCTCCTTAATGGGAAGCTTCCTCGTTACCGCATTTGGGAATGGACAGACTGCACTTGATCGCGAACATTTTATATTGGGTAATGTCTCCGCAATAATTGGTGTGCATACACTCCGAACCGACCTAATGCCTCCTCTACACAAGAATAACTAAACAATGATGGGCCAACGCCTGAAACAAACAACAGAATCGTGATACGAACATGACGTTTCGGCCTTAAATAATGCTGATTTTAATAATATAAAGGTAGGCTGGGAAGTTTCGCAGGAGAACGAATTAAAAAGGCAAGTTCAACGAAACGGGGAATCGAAACCAGCATACATCTCTAAAGAAAGAACAACCGTTTACTCCACCTCAAGCGTCTATACTTTTCAATTGGACTGGAAGAGTCTGGTACTACACTCTGAATTTTCAAAGCAAAAAAACTTCTAGATAACATGATCGCGATTGACGCATGTTACCATCTTGCCGAAAACTCATAAAATTACTCAAAGCAGAGGGTAAAGGACGTTGAAAGAGTTTTTGAGTCGATCTGATGTTTGACGTGTAGGTATATTGAAAACGGTTAGATCAGAAAGTACTAGGAAATTGGTCTTAATTTTTTTTGCTTGACTGGGAACGAGTATGACTCTCGACATGAGTTTTTAAACAAAGAAGCAGTCGAGCAGTAAAGTGTAATTGCCGCAGGATATGTGCAAAGCCTTTCTTGTTTTCTGAAACTGCTATACCATTTCTAAGTGTCATGGAAAGTTGATTTGTGTTTTGGAGGGCATTTGCAAGTGTTTTTGTTGATCCACAGAACCGGATGTAGATAGTTAAAGGTAACTATTTATTGTGTGGAATGTGGAAAATTTCAGAGTTTCACTGCATAACTCGATAAATACGCTTAATTATACGTGTTTACTTGTACCGAGCCCTGGAGGATATTGAAAAGTCGTTAAATTAGAAACATGTTCAGGGTAAAATGAAAATATTCGAGAGCCTCTAGGAATTATGAAGTGCGTATAAAGGAACGGCATTTATCAACTTACTTTTACAAGATCACATCTCGCCACGAACGGTTTTTGGATCGAGTTCGGAACCCATCTTGCAGATCCTGAAAACTAAGTTACTATTTTAAAATCAATCAAGAAACCAAGAGACTTTGTATAAATTAATGACTTGTAATGAAAATATTGAGAATTGCTAAGCGAAATCTAAGAAATAGATCAAGTGGTTGCTGGCCGGTTATAATCGCGTCTTAGGGGAACATCCATCCTTGTTTGCATAGTTGCCATTTACAATGCAACAATTTTTGGTGCTGTGTGTCTCTGAGCCTCTCCTATAGCTTAAATCCGAAAATGCACTCGAAGATTTTAATGTCGCGTTATAGAGGCAATCAAATAAGAGATTCAAATTCCCATTTCTGCAGGAAAAAAACGACATAGGTACATAATTTCGTTATTATGGCATAAATACCCAAACCTCTTCTGCAGGGGTGTAGATATCTAGTGCTAGTGGATCCAGTAGTAGAGGTCCGCAGGATGTTCACACCCCTCCCTTGAAATAAATGTGTAATCCCTTTCTTAATTTGATCAATCTGAACCTAACCCCTTACGGGATGTTCATGTACAATATATGATGATTCAGTTTAGTTTATTATTATTATTTTTATTATGATATTTATGGGATAGACCCTCGGATAGACCCCTAATGATTCCATTACAAAGTGCCATGAACAAAATACATACAGTGTGTCCCAGATAGGACGTACCATAGGGATATGGCAATGTATTTTTTCGAGAAGGATCCACGAGGCCTTTGAAGCGTTCAACGTACTACTCCGATTTCTTTCTAGCATCAGGCAAGCACGATAAGGCCTGTTGGATCCTCCGCGAAAAAATACATTAATTCTGTTTCATTATGGTGTGTTCTCCATGGGACACACGGTAGGTATATGAAAAGTACATTTTTGTCATGAAGTTTGTCATTGTCTTCTTATGTAGGGACTATAGTAAAGTGCTTATTTCCAGGAAATGGATCGGGGTACCTACGAAAAAAATATATTTATGGAATGTACACTTGCGAAACAATAAATGTTCCGTGTATGGGCTTGTTTTTGTTTCTCGGTTTTTTTTTTCATGTTTTATTAATTCGAGACTCGGGCCATACTCAATCTCCCATTTTAGTTGACGATTTTGCACTTTTTTCGAAAATTGAAATTTGATCAGTTGTGTAAAACCTAGACCTACATGGCAATGCCGAGGTAATTCACGACATTGCTCCTGCTTAAACTTCAACGTGAGTTCATTTCCTGTCATTAGATATAATAACTAACGGCACAATTAAACAACCTATTAAGACGGAGTTAGGCAAATTCTTCCCTTTAAAAAAATTATTCCCGTTGGCGGGGTGTTATTAGAAGTTTCCTGTTTGGAATTCTCTCGAGACGGCTTAGATTTTTTTTAGAATTTTTTACGTAACACTAATTTAAATATTGAATAACAAACAGAACAGCTGCATTTCAATGGATTTTATTCACAAGTTTTGTCATAAATGCACACGAGCGTGCGAGATTCATTTTTAGCTCGAAATAAAAGAAGTTTTCGCCGCGTCTTCTTTTGGTCGGCACGTTTTCTTTGCGGACGAATATAAACTTGGACTTGGAGTATCATCCGACCAGACCTTGAACCACAAAACACTTTGTCGATTAAGAATAAAATGAATCGATTTGGGAATAAAAACAAAATCCTCGTGAAAGTCACCTTTGTACATTAACCTTCACCTTGATTTGTGTAACAACTAGTTTTATTATATCCGACATAAGTCCCCTATTTAAATGTCACCGCTAATCCCATTTTGTAAAGTGATTGTATTAAACACATAGAAGAACAGTTCCGCATTGTGAAACCAGCACCCTTAGCCGAGGTATCTTGTTGATCCAGTGGTAGACTAAAGATGTCCATATTTTCTTGGGCACTTGTAGTTTGGTGTCGGAGAAGAACAATGGATTTATTTCATTAGTCATTTAAGTACTTATTAAATCAAACAGGAGTAATCAACCAACTTGAATGAGAATGACTAATACATCGTTAAAGAAAACGGCACGTTCCAACCCAAGTATGTACAGTGTACCTGCACATATTATTAGTTTCTTTAATCTCATCACATCAGTCATCACACGTTCGCTTGGATTATGCATTTCAGGTGCTCATTCGTCTTAATTACATAATCATATTAACTGGCGTTATGATTGATTTGAAATATTGAGAGTGGAAGATCAGGAAATTCCGAAAACGAGAGTCATTATGTGGCAGACAAATTAGAAAGCTGGGGAGGAAATTTTGTGCAGGGGGGATACTACATGCTCATCACGCCAGCATTCAGTGCAAAAAAAAAAGTAAAAATGGCTTCCATAAGGAAAAACAAAGTTGATGATGGTTCACCGGAGACGAAACCTCAGACTTACAATTTTAAAAGTAGTATCTTGAAGAGGAATAAAAGTGGCCATAATGGGTCGCTTATTTTGAAACATTTTAACATCTGTCGGGTCAGCCAGTTTTGTGATATTCTTCCATTTATCATATTGCCCATAAGGGGAAAGCAAAGATCACACTAGTAGGGAAAAGTAATAGCTATATGCGATACAAGGTAGGGTCTTCTGTTGGTAAATTGTTTTTTTATTTCGGTTATCATCAGCTTTTTTTTGGGAAACGTTTGTTCCCGTTTTTCCAAATGTTTGTTAAAAATATACGCTTGCTAAATATTTGTAATCCAATCTTATCAGTAATGGCGTAAACGTGAATGATACATACAACCGAGCATACAACTGATAATAAATAAGTTTGCGGTTATCCGGTGCGTTCTTATCACTTACTTATTCGATTCGAGTTTTATTGACGTTTGCAGGTCTGGGAAAGCCTCTCTTTTTCTGCACGTGCCTTCATATTATAATTTTAAACCTTTTAACTGATGGTTGCATCTGAAAATAAATCACGTCGCTTGCATTTAAGATGCATTCTATTTAGCAAAGCTATAAATACCCGATTACGTTTTCTGAACGTTGTAGGTAGGTTGGAGATTCCAATATAGTAAATAATTCTAATCCAATTGTGAGAGAGAAAGACTCCAGCCGCCAGTGCACTAGATATCGACCAAGCTCCCGGGCGGGGTTATTGACCTTTGCCCTTTAACAATCACCATTATCAGCAATATTTTTACTCAATTTTTTTTTGGTAATGCATTCTTGGTTTTCGTTTCAGAATTGAGTCAAGCGCAGCGATCGTTTTCCAAAAATTTGCAAGGGTTCACGTTCGAGTGCATTGGAGGTATACAGACAGATGACGAGCAAGTTATATCCAGATCTCTCAACGAGTTTGGCAAATTGATTAGTTCTATTGAAGATGAACGGGACAGAATGGTGAGTATCCTATTGTTTTTTTTTAAATTAAATTATGTCGTAATGGAGAAGCGATTTGTAAGGTGAGTGAGTCGCTAATGAGATTTGAGAAGGGTGTCGCTTAGTTTAGTGGTTTTCGTTGTCGGGGGCACTTGAATCGCTCTTTCATTCATTACACGAGCTCCGCTACGATTCGCGCGGCATCGATTTTTGTGTCAAGAGTAGGAAGCGTGTCAGGAATGTTGACGTAAAAATCAGATTTATGATAATCATTTAATGGTCGGTCACGAGTATTTCGATAATGTCATATGAAGAGGAATAGTAGGTAATTGAATTAAGGTTACATGCAACGGGAGTGGCATGACGTCGTTAAAAAGCGTCATGGCCTGACTAAGCACAAAACCAAAAACTGGTAATATTATGTGTAAGACAGTGTTCGTCTTGCAAAAGTAAAACAGACACACCAATAAACCACAATAATATATTAAAATCTCGAACGCGTTTCGACAGCAAGGCTGTCATCATCAGCGAACAGCTGAACATTAAAATACATCTTTTATACTAATTAAAGTGTTTGTTTTTACGAAACTCTAAACTTTCGTAACAATCTAATTCCTTTTTACTATTTTCCTGCTTATTTAGGCAATTTATTTTATTTTTATTTTTGCTTATATGACTTCATTTTTATTGGTGTTTTTGTTGCCACAAATGGTTCCAGTTCTTCAACTGTTTGTCTGTCTGACAGTTTCGAGACCTCAATACTCAGCCCTCTAGAAGGCTTGTTGGAAGCAGCAATTGTTACAAAATTTAACATCGCAAAACAAAGGTAGAAACCGAGGTAGAAACTGTTATAGTCCAAGTGCTATGCCATTATGTGTTTCTCTTATGTTAGATGAGAATTTAGATACGCTGAAATATGGCGCTATTTGGAGAGGAGTGGGGATGACCATATTTGAGGTTTTCATCTACTGGGATTTCAAAGAACTAGACACTTATTGAGTTGAACGGTTTATGACCATCAGTACCTCATAGTCATAAGTAATAACTTGTTACATTACATGCATGATCTCACGAATATAAAGTGATGCCCCAGACAAAACTACATCCGGTATGGATCTGGTCGTAATTAGAAACTGCAAGATAATTGAGTGTTACGCTCATTTGGATTCAGTTCGAATTGTCCGAGGTCCAAAATATGTAAATGAGACACATTTTATAGCAATTGACGTTATGCTCACGTTAACGTAGTCGTCACCGGCACGTAACAGTAAAAATGTAATTTTTAAGTTGTTTAATACGGATGACCTACTATCAAATCCATTGTTTATATATTTTAACAGTTATTTAAAAAAGCGCGCGCGCAACGGAAGATTAATTAAACATCGCTAAAAAATGTATCTTTATACCATAAGATTAGTGAAAACTTTCAATTTCTAAATGTCGTTAAAAAAAACTGCGCTTTTACCGGTTAGTTAACTTTCGCCGGAATTCATCAATCTCGCCGGAAAAAAATTAATACGATATCGAAGTGTTTTTTGTTCGTTTACTATTATTAATAATAATAAGAAGTTTCTATTGCTTTTTACCGATCTGTTCAATGATTTCACCGCTTTAGTGTTTTTAGACGAAGGCGCATTCTATCTCGGGTTTAAAAACTCGTGGTTTTCCTTTATTCTAATTTTGCTGTATTCGGCAGCGAAGGTGTGTGTTCAAAAAAGCTATTGAAATTGAAGCTTCCAATGAGAAATTTAGGATATGTACAAAACAATCGCAAGCGGTATGCTTCAAATAAAAATACTATAAATTTGTACAAATCAGGAATATAATTCCAATGGTTTCTCTACCCATTTGTTATCAATCATCCTACTTTGCATATGTATTTGCATGTTTTACTTACGGAATATTTCGTGCTTAATTGTACTCATTAAATACATATTTGTCTTTGGAATTATGCAAACTTAGCTTTACAAACGTCTTCACTTTCATATTTTTGTTCCCTTACGAAATGGACTTTTATTTATATTGTTAACGTTATTTTCATTGGCAGATACCAATAGATGCAGATGCAGCAAAATACTCTGCTGTTCAACTGATAATATGTAAATTATTACTTCAGTATGTTAATTTTTTATGTAATTATGTGAAGTATCACTAAAATGTCGAAAAATTTGCAATTGTAATCATTTGTATCTTAATGTAGGTACTACTTCATTTATTTAGTGGATAGTATTTTTGCATTTCACGTAAGTAAGCATGTTTTAAAAAACAGTACCTATCTCGCGTAAAATTTATAGGTACACATTTTGACAAATTGGTCCCACCCTGGTAGGTACTATGTGATTTATGTTAAATTAAACGTTCAATGTAAAACGAAAAAAAGTTACATGCAATTTGTCAGAATAAGAGCCAAATCTTTTTTTTTAATTTTAGCTGGATGCTGCCTTCGCTCAAGTGGTTCAACCACTCGAACACTTTCGCAAGAAGCAAATTGGCGACGTTAAAACGGGGAAAAAGAAGTTCGATAAGCAGACGACGAAATTTTGTCAAAGTCAGGAACGCTACCTAAACTTGGCCGCTAAGAAACAAGAGACTGTCTTGCAAGAGGTGAGTGTCTTTCACCTCGTGTATTAACGGTGACGTCACACGTTATTCAATCATTGATTTTTGACGTCACGAGGCGTCGCGATTGCGTCTTTGGCGAAAACAGTGCGTTTGCACCCCCGTTTGACATTTTGATGTAGGGCAAATTTACAAAGAGACGCGCACAAACGCAACTGTAAGATGTATGTCACTACTTTTTGGCGTTTTATTGATGGAGTGCCCGATAATTAGAATGTGTCTGTATTAACCAACAGCTAGTAGTTGGGCTATCACTTAACGTATGTAAATTTTTGTAGGCCGATGCTTCATTAGGTATGGCAGAGCGCCATTTCTACTTGGCCAGCATGGAGTACGTATGCCTAATCCAAGAGGTCCATGAACGAAAGAAGTTTGAGTTTGTCGAAATCCTCCTTAGCTTTATGTTTGGTTGGCTTACATTTTACCATCAGGTACGCGCAAATTGTAAACACGCTTAAGCGCTATGCGTTATTTTAAGGGTCACGAGGTGGCGAAAGATTTTCGTCCATACATGGAGGATTTGCAGTACAAAATACAGAAGACTAGAAGCAACTTTGAGGAGAACAGTAAAAAGTTACGAAACAGAATGCACGAAATGCAGAAGCAGACGCTCGATGAGCCAATTCGTAATCTAAAGGGGCACAAGGAAGGTTACTTATATTTGTTGGAAAAGAGTAAGTTGATAGAGGAGGTCTCTAAAGGTTTACTATACCTGTGTATTTGTAGAGGCGTTTGGTACAACATGGACTAAGCATTACTGCACCTATAACAAAGAAACAAAAGAATTCACAATGTTGCCATTTAATCAGCTAACAACTAAAAATGTAAGTATTTGGCGAGTAAAGGACTCGCTTCTCATAGTCACCTTTAGCTTCAAGCTCCAGAAATCATGGTGCTGTCATCATGTGTTAGGCGAATGTCAGACTCGATTGAAAAGCGATTTTGCTTTGATTTGCAAGTGGATTCGAGACCGGGAGTCACATACACATTTCAAGCACTTTCAGAGGTGGATCGAAAGTCTTGGTTGGATGTAATGGACGGAAAGGAGCCGGTATTACCCATCCTTACCTATTTCACTTGCGATAACCATAATTGCTTTTCAGACATATACTGCATCTAACAACATTAAACCACAGAACTCTGAAGAACGAATCCTTGACGAGGTTGGGATACAGTTTGTAAAACGGTGTATCGAAACCTTGGAAAATCGTGGTTTAGAAGATCAAGGCATTTATAGAGTGGTCGGTGTTACGTCCAAAGTTACTAAACTTCTTTCAATGGGGCTTGATCGACGAAAAACAGATAAGTCGCTGAATTTAGAGGACCCTTTGGAGTGGGAAACAAAGACGCTCACAAGTGCTTTAAAAAGTTACCTGAGAAATTTACCTGAGCCACTTATGACACACAGATACCACAATGGGTTCATTGCGGCAGTTAGTAAGTACAACTCCCCTTCCAAATCAGGTCTCTAATCGACTATTTCAGAAAACGACTCTAGGCAAATGCGAGTCAGAGACGTTCACACCCTAATACATAGGTTACCCAAAGCAAACTTCGAGGTTTTAAAATTATTAATAAAGCATCTTACAAAGTAAGTATTCCTAGCAAAAAACGTTGACACTAATTCTCCAATTGACAGCGTGGTGTCGAAAAGCGAAATTAACCTCATGACCATTAGCAATCTGGGAGTATGTTTCGGCCCTACACTGTTACGACCCGAAGAAGAGACAGTTGCGTCCATAATGGATCTAAAATTCTACAACATCGTCGTGGAAATCCTCATTGAGAACTTTGAGAAAATTTTTAACACGGAACCCGAGCGCGAAGTCGACACGACGTCCTCACAAACCAGCGGTTATAATAGCACTTTAAGTTCGGCGAACAATATAAGTGACACTTCTGCGACTGGACATTTATCACCTGCCGGCCACGTGAGTCCAGTGAACTACATCAACTCCGATAATCATCCGTCTCAATTTATTAATAACGTTAGAAACTATAATCATGTACGGCACAATGTCAATTACAACACTCAGCCTCTCACTTGTGTAAGTAATCGGTCAGATAGTACAGATATCTCACGTTTAAAACGAATTAGTATTCTTAGGACTTAAGGGGTATCAGAGAAATTATTAGCTATTAGGTAACGAGATTGTTTTTTAATGGAAACCATACCACAGATACGCGCGGTGGAAACATCAACAAAATTAGGTGTACATAAAAATTCAAATTCAGAAAACTTAATGACGTGTTATTAATTATATTTTCCAATAGGAATCTTGTAAGCCGTAGGAGATACAGGGTCGCTTAAATCGGCAAAGAATTGCGGAACTTTATGTAGTATATTTCCCATTCAGAGTTTCTTGTAGCCCTACAAACAATGAAGTGATGGTAAAAAAATCGTAAAATGTTATTTTCGAAAATGCGCTGGCGTTCATTTATTTTCAGATATCAAAAAATACTTTTTTCTATTTCGGTGTTACAATGAGAATTTTGTGCAACTGTTTTCGGCAAAAAACAGTGTTTCAATGAGTTCCATTGTAACATTGTTTTTGGTAACTTTTCATCTCTAAGTTGGCAGTTCGCCAAGACGTCAACGTCAAATCATCAGATGTGAAATCAAATTACATAAAATTTATGTGCTTTCCTTGACTTTTGGTACACGAAGAACTTAATACATTCCAAATTAGCAGTTTACACATCCACCATAAATAAATTTATCTACGAATAAAAATTACACATTCACGGAATTTAAAGTTTCTAAATGTGAGTGTTGTGTTTATCTACGCTGCCAACTTAAAATTTGTCAACGTAAATGGTGTTGCCAACTTAAGACATATTAATTCTAAAGTTTCCTGTAGTTTTTCATAATTACTTTTTAATTAAATTAAAGCCCCGAAATAGAAAAAATAGTATGAAAAACACGTGTTACAATGCTTTATTGTAATACTCCTATCTTGTGGACACTCGTGGCTCCGCTTCGCTACGCCACTCGTGCCACAAGATAGTCGTATTACAATAGGTCGCATTGTAACACTTGTCTTTCAATATACTATTAACAAACCGATAGTGATTTTTTTCTTTCTGGTGGTGCTAAAATTTTTATGACTTGTGAGTTTTGAGTAAATCACATCAACATTCTTATTTCTTATGGACGCCATATTGGATTTTTATGTCATTCAGAAACCAATTTTGTTACAAATGAAAATATAATGTCCAACCCAAACATGTAGGTATTTTTTATACAAAATGACTGATTGTTTTTTGCGATCTTAATGTAAACCCACTGCAACAACATCATACAGGCAAAATGATAATTGGACTACCAAGAATGTGTCCAATGTGATATGCAACGAATGATAAATCTAAGGTTTTGAGACCCATGTGTTTGTGCAGTATTTCTTGTAGGTTATTTGTACTATTTTGGTCTGTAATAATTGTGTAGGTAAACTAAACATAATTCTCCCGTAGACAATACGAAAGTACTACGAAACACCACCTGGGACCAATCTATCTTCAAGTTTGTATAACGTTCACGAACCTACCAACGGTGGTACCTCATATTCAATGACTCGAAGCGACCACACGTCGCCTGGGACCGGCCAACACTTACCTCAGCATAGGCTAATTCAGCGTTACGCGACGGCGGGAGTTTCCTCACAGTCTGAAAGTAATATTCCTAATTTGCGCAGCTTTAGCCCAACTAGTTTTAAACTGTATGGTACGTTCTGTTTTCGATGCAAAATACCAGAAATAACATTGCACTTGCAGAGCCCAACAGTACGAGTAGTTCAAATGAGTCGGTCTCGTCACTTACAAGAGATGGCACCTATATTGGAAATCATATATCGCCCGAGAAGAATAAACGATCCAATATCGGCTTGCCGTATCCGAAAAGTTACCGAGCACAAGGCAATATGTAAGTAGTACATTTCATTGTGATGATGTGTTTGTAACATACCTACTAATTGTGTGTAGCCGCTTAAAATAATTTTGAATCTAAATGTAACTTCTTCAACTTCAAACATTGTATCAAAGAACGTCTGTCAATCGATGCATGTTATTTGTATATAGTGTAATGTTAATGTAAGTTTACTTTCTTGATACTTTATTTGCTTCTTAACTGGTAAAGGTCTCACGAACATTTGCGAAGAAATCTTTATTCTCCTACAACTGTTTCTAGCGGTAGATGCAGTCCGACAAGTTCAGGTGTTCGGTAAGGCTAATTTCATTCTTATAATTGTAAATGTGCTTACCTTACTAATTTTCGTGTTCACTGTTTGCGTATCTGTGTCTATTTGTAAGCCCTAATCACGAAAGAGATCTCTATGGTAGATAGTGAAGTGAGCATCCATTTCTATTGTAATTGAAAAGCAAAGTATAACTCGTCCCACTCCAAAATAAAACCATGGGATATTAAACAAGGACAAAAATTGTTGCGGTAACATAGCAATAACTATTGCACTAGTCAAATACAATGTTACGATGTGAGCTTGACTTTTGCAAGAATAGTTGATGTAAGAAGCCCAAAATCTAATCACCACTTCCCTAAGTCATGGCGCATGTGTGTACCAATATGCTGAAGTAATTATTTGATAAAGCTGTTGTCTATGCAATAACCATTTATATTTAAAGGAGAATATGATGCACACACTCATCAGTGGCAGTAGCACAGGCTAGATATACTAGAGCTAGACTACTGTGGTTGTAATCCCTTGCAGGGCCGGATTTAAGATGTGGGTGGCCCGGGGCCCATTTTTGTGGGACACCCATTGTTTCAATATACATTTAATGCAGAAACACGAAATGAAATGAATGCAAGTTTAGGAGAAACAGAAATGTAATTCAATTGTCATTAAAAAGTATAGTATAATCAGTATATCTGTGGTATAACATAAGCTATTGGAATGTTATGTTACATAACTAATTAACAAATAACACAAAAGAATATTTAATGAAGAATGTAATTGGGAACTAGAATCCTTAATCATGACATTTGCTCTCGAAATAGTTATTATTATTTTACAGCAACATATTAACAACAAATGTCTATTTATCGTTTTCTCATACTTGAGTAGTTCTTTCTTTTGGAGTGGGTCAAGATGTATTTTTATACATCATGGAGTAGACCCAGAGTTTGCATTTTTAATTAATTTATTATTTATTTATTTATAGCATTAATTTTTTGTAGTCAGAATTCATTGTGTTAGTGGGGGCCACTTAATCGACATTGAACATCTGAGATTTGTTGTCGTGATATGATTTGTATGGTATGGCATGGTCAAGTTGTAAGCATGAGCGTAATGGTGGAATATTTGAAAGTGTGTAGATTGAATTTTTGGTGTTGTAGGTTTCAAAATTTACTAAGATACGAACTAGTTTACGAATGTCAGGAATTTTTCAATGAATCCTTATTCGTAAATGGATATTCAGTGCTCATTCACAGACTCGAACATTCACCTGAGGGAGTCATCCTTTTTGTTCTCGAGTTAAACGGGGAACAGAGAGACGGACGGACACATTGAAATATTGAAAAATTACCATTAAAAATCTAGTTGATTGTGGCTTAGCAATCTGGTAAATCAGAACTAGATTAACATACTTAAATAGTACAATTCTGAAGCCTGGTGCATTGATTTTTTAGAGATACTTTCCAACTAAAAAATATTGCTATTGTCATCTATTGTTCTCTTTATTTCTTAGATACATTCAAATGTATTCCAGTTAGCTAATCGAATGATTGTCGGCAATTACTCCGTTATTCCAATTTAATTGAATATATGCGGTTAATTTTTTGTATACTCCTTTATTGCACTCTCTGTAGTTTATTTCCATTGTATGTACGTCTACCTATTGTGCACGATTTGTAGTTGTTAATTCCTCAAGATGTTAATCTCAACTTTTTTCAGAAGAGTAAGAACACTGTATGCCTGTTTAGGGGAGAACGACGGCGAACTTTCTTTTGAACCAAATCAAATTATTACAAATGGTAAGTACTCATTGGGGCTGTCAATGCCTTAACGCACTCAACAGTTGCGTTGGTTGAACGTCCCCAATTTAACTGTTGAAGTTCCACCTGCATAATTTGTGATAACTTTCATCTGAACTGATATTTTATTTGTTTATGGTATTACTATTTTATTACTTTTGATTGATTGAAAAATTGATGTAGTATTAAAGCTACGGGTTTGAACTGTATCATCGTATAGTAGGTCTTCAGTAAAACTCCGTGTGTATGTGCTTGTACTGTAAATGAATCTTTTCCAGTGAAAGCATCTCAAGAACCGGGATGGTTGGAGGGAACATTGAACGGTAAAACGGGACTTATTCCCGAAAACTATGTGGAAATGTTGCCTTGACAGAGTGGTGAAGGCAATTCTTTGACGAAATTATCCAGTTCCATCCGTTATGGCCTTAGCAAAGCATTACAACTGCACAAATCAGTAATGGAACTTAAATTGAACGAGACACAGTTAGAAATGCATCGTCACAGTTTAGGTAATGTGACAGAACGTGACCGTTCCGATTAATTGTACCTAATACAATAAACATAAATTTCTAAATAGGAACACCAGTATGTGTATAGAGAATTTAATATATTTTATATTTATTAAAGTTTTTAATTTAAAGAAGGATGATGTGATTCAAGATGTGGACGTGTGTTTTATGGACAGGCTAGTGTGTGCTCTAAATGGCTTTATATTAAAGGTGTAATTGTATAATAATATATAGGAATTTACTAGTCTGTCATGTAGTATTATTCATTATAAATATAATACACATTCTGTGATAGTTTATCAGACTGGCACCATTTAAAAATGTATTTGTTTACCAACAACTGTAGGTGATTGTTTAGCCTATACCATTAATGCTGTTTATGTACATAGTATGAGGAAGGACATTTTTATATGTTTACTTGGGAGGGGATCACGTTTCATATGAATGCATTTAAAGCTTCAGAAGTCCTTTGCGCTATAAATCAAAGCATTGCACTTAGTTTTTTTAGATTAATTGTGGCATGATCCCTTTATTAAGAAGGAACGTTGAAAAACGTTCTTTTTATGGTACCATATCTCAGAACACCAATTACAATCATATCATGTTATCGTAATACAATTGCCTGAATTTCTATTTGACTTTCCGTTATTCAATGATGCACAAATTTGAGTTATGGTAACATTTCGTAATGGTGTATAATTTCGATTGTTTGGCATAATTGCAGAGTGCAATTATCACTTGTTTTTTGTACACGTAGTTTTAATTTTACTTTGTGATATGTGACAAAAGTTAACCATGTTTGTACTAATTCTTATGTAATCTTCCATTTAATTGTTATTATAATAATTCTTTTTTTTCATATAGTTTTTATGTTTTACAATTTAAGACTTTTGTATATATGTTGTATTATTAAATTGTTAAATCATTATATTATTTAACGTTGTATTTTACAATAATAAAAAAAATTGTAAATTAGCTCGTTAATAACAGGTGATCAACACAACTACCAGGGTTTAAGTTGGGAGAAAATTACTTTGGGTATAGGCTCTTAGAGAACTGTATCAAAAGTAATTAAAGCATGTGTCATTTGATACTTAAGTTACTTTTACAGCAAGATGACTGACGAAAAAATACTACACAACAGCGTAACTAATAAACTATAATTGTACACCAACAATTATGTCCATATACAAACAAATGTCATGACTGACAATAATGTTAATCGTATCCCGAGATAAGTAATCAACTGGCAGACACTCGTGCGTAAACACCTGTCCCTACATCCTTGAAGTATTACAAAAACTGGTCCTTTGTAATTTCTCACGAGATAAGGATTACTGATAGTGACGCACCGATTTTGCAGTGGACACAGATATTTATAGGTACTGTATATTTGTATCGTGGATTACTTAGAAGGCAAAGTAACTATCTACTGATCTCGACCAATAAGGTGAACGGGTAAGTGTTTCCATTTAATTTCTATAGCGGAAGGGCAATCATTCCCAATTTTGAGTTAGGACCTTACGTAAAGAAATATATTTTCTACATACTACCAAGTTATTTATTATTTGTTTTATTACATCCGATACCTATGTCATATAATATAAATGAACTATGCCCTCCTTTATATTAGTTTTCGAACTGTTTAAATGATAGGCAATGGACACAATTAATGACAATTAATTGGGCGCAAGCTTGTTGAGGGCCCAGAACAAGAGAGGGATAATTAATGAATAAATGGAGCTTAGCTTAGCATAGCTTAAAATCTATGGCAACCATTGTCTCAATAATCGTTGCCATGGATTTTAAGCTACCCTTATGCTAAGCTCCACTTAAATTTGTCGGTGCAAACGACCACAAGAGCTTTAAAGAGGTTCATTGGCCTTTAAGAAGATTCAAGCCTTCATTAGTTATTAAATGTTTTCTCTCTAATAGTTTGCAATGATTTTTGATGGTCTTTAGAGTTTCAAGGAGCCTACAAAAATCTTAAAAAGGCTTTTAGAACTTTTCAAAACCCTTAAGACTTAAGTCAGTTATGCAACGCAAACAATGAATATTTGACTAATTCATTGTAATTAAAAGGTAACAAATTTTTTATTTAATTAGCAATATTCTAAACATTAACCGCTAACATACCTTTTCTTAAGCTAAGGTAATGTAAACAATACATAACAAACCGGGAACTAACTACGTATTATCTTCTTCTGTCTCATGCTTTATAACTGCAATATGTGCGAGAACGTCTTTAATTGTGGATAAAGTATTCTTGGTAAAGTCAAGTTGTTCATTAACACGTTCCATGTATTCAGACATGTTTTGTTCAAATCCTCCCATGGGTCCTGCTCCTTTAAGTAGAATGTTATGGGCGACACGCTCCATTTGCTTAAATCTAAAGTCCGACACTATAATTGGCGACGATTCCGGCGATCTGAAGCCGGTAAATTGGGCTGAATCGTCTTCTTGCTTGCATAAGATATGAAATGCTAACGCATACATTTCATCTGAATCAGTAGCTACTACGCCTGCCGCGTCTTGTAAGATTACAGATTTAGCCACCAATGACATCACATATAGTCGATAATCGGAAATACTATAAACGTTTTTGTTGCGAAGTGACCATTCTTTCGGGCTCACCGTTGGCGTTTGGTTTAGCGCCGCAACTGGATTCGGCAACCCCCCACCCGCGAATCTTTTCTTTTTTCTAAGTACTAATCCTCTACGAAACTTATATTCATCCCGCAAATAATCAGTAAATTTATAAGTCGCATCCAAACCAATATTTCGTCTTCCATTTTGAAACTGCACCAAAATGATCGCAATGTAAAATCCTTTAATGATTAGCATGATCGATGCGAAGAAAATATAAAATGGTCGTGCAAGTGATGCCTTCTCCCAAAAATTGTTATAATCAAAAGAATTATAGTGAGTCATTGACAGTAGCACCAAAGTCTCGAAGCTGGTTGAGAAGTGGCGGAAGTCTTTAACGCGAGAGCCGAAGAAACAATTGGCGCAGAGCGAGAAAGTGAGTAGCATTAGTAAGTGAACTATAAGAAGGCAAACCGCACTCTTCCATATGGCACCAAAGGCACTCTTTATCAAACGAAAAGATTTCGTTAGCTGCATGATACTGAAGATTCTTATCAAAATCATAGCAAATGATAAGCCCAAGAAGAAGGTAATCATTCTCTGGACAATTACAATATCTTTGTACTCCAACATGGTGTTTTGCCTCGACGTACTCATACGTTGGAAGAATGCTTCGATCAAATAAAATTTATATGCGGAAAAAATGGAAAATATCGAAGTTATCAGTAACGTACAGAAATCCCAGATGCACCAGAAATCGTGCGAGTATAGAGCCCAGTAATTGCCTGCCTCCAAAAGGTTTCGCGCCAACAGGAGCACTGTTAACATTACAAACACAAAAAAGATTATCAGCGTTATCTGTTTGTCCGTGTCATTCGCGCTCACTGCTTCAAAGGTGTCCATCTACAAATGACTAAAATGTAATAAAATGACTTTAAATAATCACGTACCCTTTCGCTTTGTATAAAAAGTCCGGTTGCGAGTTTCTCAATTACGAACATGACTGCGTGGAAAGTATTCGCATTGGCGTTGTAAGCCAGAAATTCGAGACTTATTAATCTAGTGCGTTTATCTAACCAGTTGTTCTCTTGAAAGTGACCAAGTGTGGTGGGATAGTTAACCTTGTCCCTCGGCAGATAAGCAACGTAGCCTCCGGATGGGTAATTGCCTGAATCACCTAGAAACACAAGGGTAGACATGGCTTGTTTTAAAAAAATACTATTGGGAATTTTGTGCGGTTTTCCTAACTAGGTATCTTTTACTGTTTCTGTGTTGCGATGTTTATCAATTTTAAATGGTTCCCTTATGACGTCGATACGCAATTTGTAGTGATGTAGCACTTGCGACAATTTCAATTTTTAGGGTAGCGGGTGGGGAGAATAAACTGGCCGCTGTGGTAACACTTCGAAAATGAATTTTGATCCCAAATAGCTGTTTATTTTTCAATGCATACATATTCAAAATTGTGGACTTTGAGGCTATTTCTTTGGGCTAGTTTCATAATCACGCAAAAGTCGACTTTAATGTTGATATTGATGGCAAACTATTGTATGATATTCATTAGAAGCTACCATATCAATATCATTAATGTTTATAATTTTTAACTCAATATTATTTTTCACTTGAATGCAAAAAAAACATACAATCTCTGAGAAAAGCAGTGTGAATAACGAGGATTGATAAATGTCGCAACTTTCCTTCATAGGTCCAAAATACCTTTCAGAGTTCTTACCCACAAATGTAAAACCTTCATTCAGATACGCCCACACTTTGGAAATTATGTTTCTTTTGTCACTCGCGTTAAAAACTTTCCATTTCTGAACATAGACTTTTTCATCGCGATTTAACCACGAGTATTCCGGCATACAGTTCTTTTCAAAATAAGAAGCAAATTGGGGAGCGACCGTGCATCCTTCGGAAACTCTAATTTGGCGTAATCTGCCAATGCCGATGATCTTGGTGTTAAAGTCTCTCATTAGTCCAGGATTTCTTTCAAACCATCCATTGTACCAATTATTGGCGTTAATGGCGCTTTTCAAGGTTTGACTTAGGTAATTGTAAATGCTACAAAGTGTCAATAATCAGGAGGTTCGACGGGATTGCATATCTTACTCCTCTGTAGTGCGAACCTTAGAAAAGCGATAATACTCATTCCACGCGCTTCCATCGATAATCTGTTTCAAGTTAGTACTAGCGTCCCCGATAGTTGAATTCTTCGTGTATATTATAAATAATAACAACGTCAAGAAATACAAGATATACAAAATGGTGTCTGTCATGAATCTGGAATACCTACGCCTCGCCCATTCCTTTTCTCGTTTTACCTTGAGAGGTCGTTTGGATAACTCATAGGGACCTCTTCAAATCTACTCACCAGCCATTCCGTTCTAGTTAGTGGTTTGTATTTCTCGGAAAAGAAAGGTCGCAGCAAAAATGGGCCAAATTTTTCGTATAACTTATCCCTCTGGTACTCGGTTTCGTGAATCACGGCGGCCATGCCAGTTACGAATCGATTCAGCTAAAACGCTACTCAAACAAAGCATCAAACGACTTATAGCTTTTCTTACTTTTACTACATCGAAGAAGATCAGGTTTTTGAAAATGATGTGGGCGCCTTCGAATATAAAGATGATCTGCAAAATCGCAAAGCCCGACGAGATCATAAACAATACGCTGCTAATGTATGGGAGCCAAAAACCGTAAATTATCAGAAATGTAAAGCTGCCCAATAAAACCGTTATTAACATGATCCTGGAAGAATCAGGTGAGCATTGTTTTGGTTAAGTTTGCCTTACCATGGGAGGACAACTAGGAACATGGTTTGGTGGGTGAACAGATTTTTGTAAAACGCGTACCTGTAAAATGAAGAAGCATTTTAACATAATGCAGCAGTAACTAACACGATAAAATACTATAATCATAAATTACCCTTCTTATATTAGTATCTACTTGATTCAGAATTGTCAGAAGCTTTACAATGATTTATACGGCTTCTGCTATAAATTAAAATTTGGATTATACACGACGATAAAGGGAAACTAACCATCTCTCGCCACTCGTAAATTAACATCTTTCACTCGATGGTTAAAATATCCCTTTATCGTCTTGTATAATAAATAACTACGAATTTTTTCAAAAGAATTTGAATTTACACGCTACATTTACGTGGAGTTGGTTTTGTGGATCGACTCCTATTTTAAAACTTCTTATACGCGCGTATTACATTTTATAATAAAAAAAATCTTCTGAAAGTAAACAAAGAATAGACGCTATGAGTCTTTTTCAAATACAATTCTAACTCGGCAAGTATTTCAAATTCAGCTAAAGCAAAATATTTCTTTTTACATTCACAATATATCTTTACGAAGCAAAAATAAAAATCGCTCTACTATTATTTGGAAAAATCACTCGTAGCTTTAAAAGCACTAAACTTCCTGAAGGTCACACATATCAGCTAATTGGCGGGGCACAAACAATAGCTTCTTAGATTTCTTTGAGTCGATGGATTTTTTAAAGGTTTAATACTAGTCCAGGAATTTTTGGATATGACTCTATTTTTTGTTCTATTCAGCAGGTATCCGTAATTAGTTGTATGGATACACATAATTACCTGAAGAGTGTCACAATTGCGATGTGTGTAAAATAAGATGTTGCGCCGGCAAACAATGAGCAAGCAATCACGTGTGCATTTATCGAAATCTCCCCAAAACCAAGTGAATCATACATACGAAGCTTTGGAACTCCGTACATAGAAAACGCGCACGAGAATGTCAATAGGTGAATGGATAGTATGAGGGTCATTCTGTGGAAGAATGGCAAATCGGTCGTCTGAAATCTAAATGAAGTCGGTTACATGTTGTCGCCCCGTTAAGACGAGGCGAACTGACGTTTGACATAAATTAAATAGGTGATCCTTTGCAGTTTGTGCAAGTCGACTGATACAGCCCATTCGATCTCTGAGTTTCTTTCGAATCTTCTCGTCTACGACTTTCACTCTTAAGGGACGGGTTTCCTTGTCCAGTACGGAAAACCAAGCGTTCACTTGGAAATAATATTCTTTCTTGGTTTGCATGTCCATTACCGTTAGCCACTCACAGTACCTTAAATTATGTAGATTATGTCTTTTCGTTACTATCGGCACACCTACCATGAAGGTCGCGCCCCAACAGAGTCATGCCAAAGTGCGATTTGGATAATGTCTCCCAAGAAGCATTCCGTTGTAAAGACAAATGTGTCTTCCTGGTCTCGTTGAAGTAGTCTCATTTCTGGGTCAGGATAGTTGATTAAATGTGGCTATACAAAGACGGAAGGAAAGTATGGACGGTCGAAGGACTGTAGGTTTGCTTACCTTGCTGTCACAATTGGTGCCTTCGACGATAATTGTGATATTAGAGGTAGTACCTGCGTCTGACTGGATTCCAGTTTTCACACACAAAATGTAACCGTAGGCGTTTACCGGGATGTTGTCTGCCAAATAGTACATCTGTAAGAGAACTATAAGCTCTATTCTACTTGCGTTAATTTCGTCACCGTTTGGTTTAACTCCACTCCCTTTTTAACACCGCAGCACAAAATTAGGCAGTATAGAGCTAGTGCAAGAAAGACGGCAATGTAAGCTATGAAGCAAATTTGTCTCTGAATCACAACTTTTAAACTGTGAAATGGTACCAATACGTGTTGGGCATCAAATGTGACACGCACAAAAGATGAGAAATGGTGACACACGCATACCAAGTACTGTGGTGTCGATTCCTCTGAGATCTACAACGGATCATTTTTTACGTATTCTTTAACTTACTTCCTTACAAAGCAAGCGTCAGTTAACCACGTGTTAAAAGCGACGCTCCAGTACGCGCACGTGAATATTTTAAAGGATACATTGTAGTTAATACTTATGTCTGACGTATCGCGCTAAAATGGGACCTTATACAAACAACATTTTCAACAACATATTCACCTCCATATGCACATTTGACTTAGCAGGTCTTACTGCGATATATCCCCACACATCACCATATTTAGTCAATTCGTGAGGGATAAAGGAGATATATAGTTTGTTAGGAGCGTAGAAAGTTTTCACTTGTTGTGAATAGCGAGCATCATCAAACTGTTCCCACAAGGGTACTTTGTTATATGTCACCAGTACCTATAATGGGGGTTTACAGTATAGTTGAATTCCGCAGTTCTAATTTAATAAGCGTGTACCCGAAACCATAAAACATTTTTTTGGACAGTAAAAGTTTATTTAAAAATAGAGGCTGATTAGCAAAAAAATAATGAACATGTGCGGTTTTAAAGGTTTATGCAAAACGATATGATTGTGGCGGGCTCTGTGACGTAATAAGCCCGACCAATCAGCTCCTAGAACCATTCAGATGACATAACGACTTGGCAATATTGCAGGAGAATGGCATTTATAACTTGCGTCATCTGTCACAGGCACTTGTCACTTTCGTGCTAGAAGCAGTTAAACATCCCTCTCAAAACGTCAAATAAAAATTGAGGACACACGGGTCTTTTTATTTTTACTGTACTTTGTGGATCAGAAATAAAAAATGAAGGCGGGATGACCCCATTTGCTCACAAGAGTAGTCAAATACTACAACGCTGCTGTGTAGGGATTTTTTCAAAATGTATGATATGATAATATATTTTAGTGCATAACGTATGTGTAGTAAAAATTGTAGGTTTCTGTTTGAAAGAAAATAGCTATTTGTGTATTAAGAGCGCAAAATGATATATTGTCGATTGAAAGAGACAGTTGACGCGCGACTCTCTTGAGATCGACAATCAATTTGCGCTCGAATTACACACAAGGTTTTTTCTACAATCGAGCAGTTCACATATTTCCAAAAATTTAAATTTTTCTTCTTTTTACTGGTTGTCATTGGATACTCTGAGCAATGCATATTTTTGATTTATAGTTAATAATTGGGAGAGCGAGCGTTTTTTCTATTTTGTCGCTTATAAGCGACAAAGTGACATTCCTCGAAAAAGATGATGTTTGCGTTGTCAAATACGAGCGCAAATGCCTACTTTGGATATCGATTGTAGAAAAAAATACATACATTGATACATTCAGACGAAATAAATTTATTCTTTAAAAGTTGCTTGAAATAAACATCGACATTTGATGAAATTTTACATGTCCAAAAAGCTATGATCGCTATAGCCACCTTGTTCGAGCTAGGAAGCTAACAATTTTATGACCGTGTGCACCGACAAATTTAAGCGGAGCTTAGCTTAAGCGTAGCTTAAAATACATGCCAATCATTGTGTCAATAATCGTGGATGTTAAGCAACGCTTAAGCTAAGCTCCACTTTAATTTGTCAGTGCAAACAGCCATTAGTCATTAGCATTTAATTGAGATCGGTAAATCGCCACACTTTTTCCGTTCCTCTGTCTTTTATTTTTGGTTTGGAGGTTCTCATTGGTAAAACAAACCCTGTATTTATCTATACGTACATAGGTACTGGAATGCAAATGCTTCTTAATTTTATATGTTTGTTGCCTATGAGGGTTAGAAAATGTGATCAAATAGAAAGCAGGAACGTGTACAGTATTGAATTTGCGTATGAATCGTCTCTACAGCAAAAGTGAAAAAAAATTAAACGTTAGCTTTGGGAAGAGATTTCGGCAGTGACCTATCGAATTAGACGCCGACTAACTACGTGTTTGTGTCACCAACACGCGCATTAAATGAGAAGAGTTCTTATTAGAAGTTACATTGAATAACTCCTCCGAACTTACCATTTGTTGTGTCCGGCAATAAACTTACCTCCAACGATTCCTTCTCTGCAATCTGAAAATTTATAAAAAGGGCAGCACCGTGATTTACGTCGATGCGATGTACATTTATAAGCCGTTCCATGCGTGATGGTATCCATTTTTCAAGCTTAAGTGGAGCTATCGCCAGAAACTGATTGTAATCTCCAGACATAGTTTCTGGGTTTGTGTCCTTTTGTATATTGAACTCAATTCGAAGCAAATCTTCAATCATCCCGACCGAGCTTCTTGTGTCGAATAATTGAACATAAAGTACAGGGAGGCGATAGTACTCCTTACTTAAATCGTACCAAAGAGGATTGCTCTCATTGCTCTTAAATTCGACTACCTGTAAGCCTTAATTACGCGACGGTCGAAAATGTGCAACATATATTTACCAAAACGCTCAAATATTTATACCAGTCATATAGTTTAGCAAGTTTAGGTTGAAACTTGACTTTGTATACGGGTGCCCATCCAATTTCGATATAATACAATACATTAGTAGGCTCTGAAATCAATTGGAAGCGTAATTTGGATGTGTTTATATCTATTCCATCATCTCCATCTACAGTTGCTTGCAGTAAAGTGCGCGCGACATTAAGAAAGCTTTCCTCCATCAGTCGCCAGGTTTCCCTGTACTGAAAATAACAAAAGTGATGGTGGGGCATATTCTGAACAAACGATTGTTACGTAAGCTATTTTGGTATCTCTTTCGGGATCCAAACTTTCATATTGGTCATAATTTTCTGTGATGTCTTCCATTAGAATATCCCCTACGGCATCATTCTTATTAGATACTACATCTGGAGGCTTAATATCTCCTTCATTTGGTATGGATAGTAAAATCCAAAGGTCTACCATACCGCTATAGCGAATTTGAACTTTAAATTAAGAGAGCCAACTTAACCAGTTTTTTACCTGGCATATAGTATCACGTCCGCCATGAAAAGTATAGGTTCAACGCTCTCTTCTATTATTAAGAGCGCTTTGTCCGCTGTACGTTTCATCGCTTCGGCTGTTTTGTAATATTCCTTCGCATTTTTTGCTCCCATTTGCAATGCTGTTTCACTTGATGTAAGCAAAACGCCTAAAACGATGCGCGCGTAATCTAAATCCATACCAAAATCGAGCTAAAATGGAATAAGTAGATACGTTATTGACGTAACGTTTAGTAAAAAGTACGCACTTCTTTGAGGTCATCCATCATTTGTACTTTGAAGTTGGCCAATTCAATAAGGTTCTCGGGAGTAAGATTAAATTTGGTATTTTGTAGGTCCCTAAGTATCACATGCATTGTTTGCGTTGTGCATTCCACCTCGTTCTGTTCGCCAAGCCATTTAACCGGTAGGCCGGTCCAGAACTTGATAGTTCCCTCGTATACACCTTTTAAACCTTTGATTACGTCTTCAATTGTTCCAGTAAACATTGGTTTAAACTATAATGGTACACGGTTTGATGAACTCTTTCAACATGTAGCATTTAAAAAATTTTACTTTTGTGTAGATCAATTGTATTGAATGTAGGTACTAAATGTATGAGGGTTGATCTGTACGTTTAAAAGTTATTTACACTGGTTAATTTGTGCATACGAGTTTGCTATAATTACAAATATTATATTCTCGTATTTGATTGTGGATAACATAGGGAACTAGGTACTGCCAGTTAGGTACATATTATTAAAATTAAAAAAAGTTTCATGAAAAAAATGTTTATTCTCAAATGACAACCTCACCATAGTACACAGGGTCGCTGATATAGATGGAACCAAAGCTCTTACGCCCAAATCGTTTGAGATATACCTATACATGAAAATGGAAACGTTTCCATTCGTTCCGTTGTGGAGGGAAAAAAGTGGCCATAATAATGTATCATTTATTACAAGTAATTTACATTACTATTATCTGTTCACCCAATACATGCAGTTCAGCTCCTCCCAAAAAATCCCGGTAAATTTAAATTGTAATTGCCGCATCTGAATTGACATCCTTAAATGTCAAACCTGTCACTGCATTTTGTATTTACCTTGCCTCAATTAACTGTTAATCTCATTTATACGAACAACATAGCGTTTTTAAAAATGTGATCTATCAAAAGGTAGTGAGGTGATTAAAACTTTCGTGGGACTTAATGAATGTAGCGGAAGCTAAAAAATGACATGCCAACATTTTGATCAAGAAAATTTGTTTTCGGCCAGTAAACATTTTTGACATGACGTAATGTATTTAAAAGGTTTCGCAATAATATTCTCAAGGAAAAGGAGGAGATGATTACCTATAACTGGAGCCGACATTTCTTGCGAGAAATTAGGCAATATGACTGTATATATACCTATGTGCATGCACGACATCACCTCTCTGTAGCTGCTCGTTTTTTGAGTGCGACCGCCATCTTGAATTTTTTTAAATGATAACAGGTCATGCGATAAGTCATTAGAAAGCTTCTTTCTTACGACCTCATAATTTAGATAAATTAAAAGAATCGCATTTGTCACAATCAAATGCTGTTATGATGTTCGAGTATTCATTCGAAATGTTTCCATTTATCTGCATTATTTTCGAATTTAACACCATACATGATTTAGGTACTAATAAAGAGAAAAAATAAGCTTTCTAATGACTTACCACATGACCTATGTTGTCATTTAAAAACTCAAGATGGCGGTCGCACTCAAAAACCATGTGCAATTTCGAATTAAAGCGTTCTAATTTTGATGTCTATATCTCAAACGGTTTGAGCGTCAGAGCTATGATTCTATTTATATCTGCGACCTTGCATAGTTCTTTCCTTTATAACTATTACGTCATACTAATAAGGAGGACTAATAATATGGTGTTAATTACTCACTCCTTGCTGTGTACCCAGTATAAAGTATACTAGGATCAGGTGTATCTTACTAACGATCTTTGTGATTTTGTATTTCTGTCTGTCTGTTTGTCAGTGGGCACAATAACTTTGTTTAGAAATGTCTGATCGCTTTGAAAATTAATGCACAGGTTCTCTATAAGAAGGCTATAAGAAAGGTCAGATTTTTTGAATGTAAAGTATAGGTTCCTAGAGTCGCCTTGGAGAAAAGGTAGAAGTGATCCTTGTTTTATGAGTTGTTTTACCTAAATGTGCACCTAAACTATGTGTGTAATGAAAAGTATTATATATCATTCATGAGTGATCATTTTTGACACCATAGTAGGAAAAATTTGTGGCGATTAATCCTTACATCAAAATTAGCATCCAGCTCTACCGAACCGGAATAAATTCTGTCACCCACATCTACCGTGTCGACAACATATTTTGTAGTGGCACGTCCAAAAATCATATGGTGGTTGCTTGTGTAGATTGTGCCTAACATTATCCCTGGGAAAAAAATATGTTAATGAGTGTATGCAAAACTTACTCTAATAATTATCCACATACATATTGAGACTTTTTATTTCTAAGTATGTAATGTATTGCTCGCGAATATTAATACCATTTGTTTTAATTTGATGTGGTTTCAACATCTCTCCGCCGAATAAAAACATGAGTTTAGTCAACTAATACTAATACAGGGTGTCTAAATTTAAAGATCCACCGTGTAATAGCAGATACTGTATGTCAAAGTAAGCATAAATTGTTAGATAGACGTACGTCCGACTTTGGTTCGTTTTAAAGTTATGAATTGCAAGACAGAATTAGGGTCGCGAAATCGTTGCTGAGGAATGTCTAGCAGCTATTAATGATGTTAATCAATGTGCCACAGCTTGTGTTCGTGGGCACTTTGAATAATTACTTATTGAAATAATGAAAAAAATTCTAGTTTGGCTTTTACGTTTATTTTGTACTAATAACTGATGGCACTTACCTTCAGGCTACCATAACTCGAAAACAAAGTAAGACCGGACGTATGTTTATCTAAAGCCGGGTACTCATTGGCGAACCGAACTGTAACAGCAACGGTTACTGTAACATTTCTCAGTGTAGACCTAAACACGTTTTTTCATCGAACACCACTTTTGAATCTCTTCGTGTTTGAGGTAAAAGCTAGCAACTCTAAAAAACGTGCACCTTTTCTATAATTTTCCAATGTCTATTATAAAAGGCCTGCAAAAAATATAGCTAATTTTATATTCAACGCTGAGAAATAACAATGTTTAAACCTCAGGGCAAGCAATACAGGGTGAACCGATAGTGCATGGGTGGAAAATTGTAGGTTTATTAACGCACATATCTAAAATTGATTGTAGGGAAATGTTGAAGGACTCTTAAGGCTACAGTCTAAATTCTATTGGAACAGAGGATTTATCAAGTCTAAAAGTTTAATGCTTGTTTAGTCTGATACACTTAACATAAAATATAATGTTACAATACAACCATTTTGACTAACATCAAGGAACGTACATTAAATTACAATACGAACATAAGCGACATCTATGATATCTATAACCATAACGTCAATGTTTTAAATCTGGTTATATAAGATGCTTCAACAAATTCAACGAAATTGCAATTATTATACAGGGTGATTTATAACAAATTTGCCTTTTTTTAAGGAATAATATACAGGGGGTTTTATTTTAAAAAAAAAGCTATTTTAATATAAATCACCCTGAATAATTGCAATTTCGTTGAACATATTTTTATGTCGTAACCTTAAGAGTCCTTCAATATGTTCCATCAATGAATTTGAATATGTGCGTTAATAAACCGATAATTTTTCACTCGTGTACTAATGGCTCGCCCTGTATAGAAATGCCTTTGTTTGACGTTTTTATAGAATTTCTATTTATGTGTTGTAAAACATGGTCACGTCATTTTTGTTTAGGTTAAATCCTATTTGATTGTGTTTTATAATTTATCAGGCCCTTTGAGATTAAATAAATGAAGATGGTGCATTATTTGCAGAATTATCGCAATCTCTAACGCAATCTTTCATCAAGTAATGGCCGTATGGACCGACTAATTTAAGCGAGGCTTAGCTTAAGCGTTGCTTAACATCCATGGCAACGATCATTGCGCCAATGGTTGCCATGGATTTTAAGCACCGCTTAAACTAAGCTCCACCTAAATTTGTCGGTGCATATGGCCATAAGCGTTTTTGTTTCATACATGTATGTTCGACCAATTGGTTTAAAACAAACGTGCGCGTTATCATAGGCACCTACCTATACCTATGGGTCTTCTATTTCTTGGTCTGAGTTTTGAAATATAAATCAAATCTGCCTTTGTTGGATAAGATGAGAAATTGCAGGCAGATATTAATAGATGGTAGATACTTACTGTGGGGGTCGTTCTCATAAACCCTATAATACCGTTTTCGTTTGTCAAATGGAGGATTAGCATTGGAACTGCAGGATATTTTAAAAACATGAGGATCTGTATCTTGCTTCATAGTACAACTGGGTGATTCTAACACACTAGCCCGAATGTTATGACGATAAGACGGCGCCGTGAATATGCGTCCTAAAAAAATCCGTGGATTTAGGTACTTACATTCAAAGCGATAGTTAGTGGTTCATAGCAATATAGCAAATAGCATAGTTAACGATACTGTCAGGCTAACAATGTTGTTGAGGCATGTGATTGGATGTTTTTTTAAAGAATGATGCTTTCTTTTTAGTTTAAAAAACATCTCTCTGTAAATGTGTTTAGGGCAAAATCATTAAAAGGACGAATCATCTTTCACAGCTTGATTGAAAGCTATGATTTTAAATTTGCGTGACCGATCAATACCAATAAGTAAATCATTTGAAGTGTTATCAGCTTTAACCAGTTGTCCACATCAGGCATTTCCACAGCAATCGTTTTCATCAAAGGCAAACCGTAACAAAATGGTTCAATCACGAATTAAAAACGCTACGGCAAAAGTATTACGCAATCTGTGACATTTATCAAAAATATCACTCTGATCAACTGCGGAAACACAAAGTCTCCTCAAGGTGGGAATATATAGCAATGCACTTGAAGCATAAGATGTTTTTTCTACGATAGTGTCTTATTAAAATCAAATAATTCGATTAAGTAAGTCAGTTTAGGGACTACTTTTCTAAAATTCCCACAGAGCGCCAGTAAAAAATCCTGCGTGCCAGGCAACATTCGCATTTAGCAAAATAATAATTGAACTGAGAGACAGCATACGAAACATTCCCAGCAAAAAATCAGAGGACTATTACGAACATACGTCGAAATTAATTTTGATGATTAATGAATGTTTTGAGCTAAATGTTTATCCTGATTGTCTCAAAGTGTCCGTAATCGTCCCAATACAAAAATGGAACATGACGGGTAAGCTAGGAAAAATTTTTGAGAAATTTATGGTTATACAAATCTCAAAGTATTTTGAGCAAAACAAATTGTTTTATGAAGGCCAATATGGATTTCGGGAAAACCGTAACACTACTCTTGCTGTGCTAGAGTTAGTGCGGGAAATTTTATCAGCATTTAAGGATAACAAGGATCTTTCCATTTTACGCGTTATGCTCACAAACCCGTTTCTTGAGTAGAAATCGTAAGAATATAAAGTGAATTTGTTGGTATAAATGCATGAAATGTACTGTTTTGGAGACGCAGTTTCCCTTAAGGCGGCTACAGACATGGGAAGTTTGACGAATTCCAAATAGCAAATGTTTGCCATTTGACAAATAGCTTAGATACACATATATAAGTTAAAGCAAGTGTTCGGGATTTGCCAAATTTCAAAAATTTCCCGTCGATTGTCGGTAAATAAGCACACATCAAAGGGCTGAAATGTTCGTCAAAAAGCAAACTTGTCGCTGATACACATATGCGTGCAGAAGTTGCAATTGCGACCACCTTGAAAACTAATTATGCGTATGAATATGAACCTGTTAATTTGTGCACAATTCATTTATTATTGTATTTCGTGCGCGATGGAGTGGACGAACGAAACGGTGATCAAATTTCTAGAACTGTACGAAAAGGAACCCATAATAATATGGGATGCCGCGAATATTTTACATAAAAATCGAAATTCTACAAATTCTACCTCCATTGTGAACGGAAACTAGAGTAGATACTAGCGCAATAAGTTTGAAGTTCCCGTTTTGATTTGCCATTTGCCAAATACGCACATATGTATATCCATACTCGTGATTTTACGAGTAGCAGGACAAACAGTTTGGCGATTGATAAACATTTGATATTTGACAACTTTTACATGTCTGTAGCCGCCTTTAGATGAATCGTGATGATTTTTGAGTGTAACATAACTGTGATTACAATTTAGAGTAGGTGCCCTAAACTATTTTATTCGAAATTTGTCAAAAGTGAAAAGCAACAAAGTTCAACGTGTTTGCTTATTTTTGCTTATTTAATTTTGTTTTATTATTTGGCCGGCATGTGTACTTACCATGGGTTGTGCATGTGATGTTCAATATATTTTTGGAGTTGTCGTACTCCCTCCTGATTACAATGATGTCTCTATTTACTTTAACGTATCTGCTATCAAGGCTTTCAAGTCCTCCACTTAAAGTCCATTCGAATTCTGCAGTACCACCACAGTGTGGGCACACTGCTTGAAAAATCATAGACTCATAAGGAATTATATATTTATAAGCATTTTTAAGTTCTCTAAAATGGGATGAAAAAAATGCATTTCAAAATTAAGTATTGACATTGTATATGTATTACATTACAAGTAGACCAACGGTTGTTTACTTTTGGACACCACGTATAGATGGCGAGGACACTAAAGTCGCAATGTTAATTGTTTAAAAAATGTAGCTCTCTAAAGCAAAGGTTTATAAGTTATAACTAAGATGCGCGTTTACCTCTGGCCTAACCAATTAAAGCGTTATTTCGCGTGTAGATAATTCTGCAAAAGTATTATAGAGGGCTTCGTTCGTTAGAAGCCATCTCAGACCATATAGTACATTGACTGCTATTCGCCCTATGCTTTCAATACAAAATGGATGGTCACGGATAGAGGGCACTGTAGTCGTGGGTATGTGAATCTCAGGGTAAACTAAAGTCGTGTAAACACCACTATAGGATCGCTTAAAGAGTAGCTTTATAGTAACCGCGTAGTACGGGAAGCTTTAAATACTCTTCATTATTTGCTATACGTCCACAAATAAGAATAAATTTGCTTTTTTTGGGATATCTAGGCGATTAATTAATTGACGTTTGTGAATTTATAGGTTGACAGTCTCAAATCGTGTCTCATCGGACAACTTCGGACAGACTCGTTTACCCTGAAACTCACATACCCAGGCGATGTCCTTGACCATATTTTAGTTACAATTAGCAGTCCATGTAGTATATGGTCTAAAGAAGCCATACTCATATGGGTTTGATCGTAGCCTACCGATAGAACTAGCCGTGACACTCATCCCCACTATTGCGTTGACGTCACAACTGACGGCGGCCGTCATCTCGATTGCATTGAGTGATGCACTTTTTCTGCACGCCTTTTAATGTAATTAACTCAAGGCAAATTTTAATTTACTGCATTCAAACAGAAGAAGTAAGAAAATGCCAAACACGGACTGCGGCCCTGGCTGCAAAATCAATATAATACAAGAGATAAAATTACTCCAGGGTTTGTATAAAACATTTCTGGGACAACTTCATTATTCGGGTATAAGACGAAATAAACGAAATCTAGTTGCTTAAGGAATGAGATTTTATTGCATCTATAGGAAACAAAATCGTTGTTATTTTAATTGTTGACACGAGTGTCAAAACGAAATCATTGAATTTGAAGTTTTAGTTTGAAATTAAAAGATCCACTATTTTTAATTAAACTATAGACTTCGACGATAGGCGGCTCATTTGAAAGAGAATGGTGTAAGGATCTCGTGCCTACCGGTATTTTTCACTGGTCCTAGTATTAACATTATTAGGAGGAAAATACGCTCTCGTCATTTATGTTTGCATAATGACTTTTTAAACTTGTATTTACTACTCCAGTTGAAATTTCAAGCGAAGGAATCTGGTTTTTTTCTTTTGTACTAATCTAATAAATGTCACTTATTTTTATTAAGTATATTCAGAAAACTATAATCAAGTGTTTATAAACGTTATCAAAACTTTAGATCCATGATAGCTGATAACAGAATCTAAAATTCCCGAATTATGCTGCAAAAAGGAACAGGTAAATTATCAGGCTGAAACTGCAAGTACCATTCTATATAAATATCACAATTTAAAAAATGTTTCTGTATTGGAGGATACAGAATACGCCTACCAAAGGCCATATAATTAAAAACAAACAGACAATACAACAACCGATTGTTCTAACATCGCGCCTGTAATACAGTGAATGCATACTTTGCGTTATAAAGTAGGTAGTGTACCTTTGTCACTTGGAAGTGTTTCCTCTCTTGTAGCAAGCTCATTCAAAGTATAGTAATCTACAGCGAATCTCATTTAGTTCAGGTATAAACCTTCAATTTATCCATTTTAGTTGAACATATATAATACCGTTATGTACCAACACTTTCTCGGAGCTCGTTTTTGAATCCGTTGGCCTATTTCTAATAAATATACAATGGTATTGAGTATCATACCTAATTTGAACTGGATACACTCGAACTGGGTTACATTCTAGTTCTATGGTGTCTGTATCCTCAGTATACTGATAAGGAGTGTTAACAATTAATTTTACCTCCATATTGAATAGTATAGTAATCGGTTGTAAAAGTTTATACCTTAATATCGGCCCTAAAAGAAAGCTGAAACTTTAATAACTAAAGAGTGATGATACCATCGCCAAGTTTGTTATTATAAGCTGGACAGAGCCATGGAAACCATTCTGTCAACATCTTAATCGAGTTCAAAGCTTTATTGGTCATCCAGTCGATCCAGCCCTCGCCTGCAGGTCTATCCATAATTTTGCATTCCCACCGATAGATGATCTCTTTTGTCGGGGGAGGATAATCGTAAGCTTTTGAATTATTACCAAGAAGGTATATCGGAAGGGCAAAAGTCATTACTATCTTAGTTCCACCAGAAATGAACGCCATAGGAGGATCTGGCTCAAAAGAGACAACGCACTGAAATCCAATTCGTTAAGTTCCGGCTATTTGAATCTTTTGCACTTACGGTTGCAGTTCGCTCAATTCCGTAACCTCTGACGATCGCTTCTAACTTATAAGGATACCAATGATAAAAAACCCTGGTTGTGTAAACAAACTTGCCATTATACATCTCCATAATATATGACTCGGCTAAAAATACTGGAATGTGTTTACATGTATATTGAATACTAACTTACATGATCCCCCTAATTTTATATATCTCCATCTAATGCTCAGATCTCTCGGATCACAGCCTAAAGTTATCTTGGGCAAAGCGAGTATTCTATATGGGCGTCGGCGGCTAAGCAAATAATCGGTGAACTTTTCATCTTCACTCCATTCTCTCCGGTCACTAGAATGTAGGGAGATCAATAAACCTTTATAAAGCATTACATTAGTAGTCATTTTCCGCAACCAGGTAGGTATATGTGCACTAATACACTTTGCTAATACTAAACAATAAAGCAAGAGCCCGTGATTGCCAGACCTGAGTCATTTTATAAAAGCTAAACGTTTCTCTGTGCATGCTTCCAATACAGGTAGATGGGGGTAGGTACTATGTACTTTGGGTCATCACAGTTTACGCAGGTAGCATCAGGTACCAAAGTTGTATATAAAATACAAACTTCCTTATGGCAAATTGTAAAGCGTAATATAAGAAATCACGTCTTCTATTGTCAGGCACTTTACAACGTGGCGACTCCATTGCCAGACACCCTTAAAGTTAAAGAAATTGTTGCTGTACTTTATATGTAAAAGCTGAACTTTATTCATATTATTACTAAGGTAACTATTAAAGGACGTGTTAGTTACTGGATACGACTACTACACAGACCTTTCCGCAACAGAAGAGTGGGTAACCGGAGTATATGGAGTGGAAGGATGTGTAGACTGTCTCAGTTTCGAATTTCGCAAAAATATTGCAGACAGAGGTTTTTACAAAATTGTTAACTCCTGTACCCAAATCCTATTGGAGCGAAGATCTTGGATCTAAATTCGGTAACAACACTCGCACCAGGTCTTTTTTGGAATTGGTATAACCATTGTATTTATAAAAATACAATGGTATAACCAATGAAATTTTTAATTCTTTAGGAAAAACCCCCGACGAAATAATAGAATTAATAACAAAAGTAAGAGGCGGTACCAGTAAACTCATTTTGCGTTTAGTTTGTAAATGTCTCCCGTTGTTTTTAGTTTTCTCAAAGAGTGTCTAACTGCAATTTAAGAAAGCTGCACAAACTCAAAATGCACGGCTTGATCTATTTGAGTACAATAGTATAGTGGATCTATATTCTTTACAGCGGCTCATTATCAACAGTACTATTAGCATTGTTCGAAAAGTATACACTAAATTCATCAGCAGTTAGTGTTGATTGAATTCGAGTATTTGACTTTCTATGGGCGTTTCAATTTTGCACATGACACGACTCGAATTATTCGAACCACTAATTAACTTATTGTACCCTTTGACTTTTTTCTCTCAAAAAATGTTATTGTGGGACATTGGGAAACATTTAAAAGGCGGCAACCGATCAGCTGAAGATTATTCCAAAAGGTGAGTTCCAGCACTGCTCTCTGTGAGAAGTGGAAAAGGATCGTCTCCAACGCAGTGCCGTTCCTCAAAGGTAGAAAACTACTTTGAAGGAGACAATATTGAATTGTAAGTATAATTAAATAAAAAATGTCCATTACTTAATTTACACACCTCGTATATTCGTTCGACTATTAATAGATGTCTACTATGTTTAAGAGAATTGTATGAACCACATTTACTTTGAGAACACGGCCCCAGTGAAGGCAATATACCTGCGATCTGCGCATGCGTATGAATAACTGCATTTATACCCCCTTTTCAAACCCATTGACTAATTGGCAATGTGGAATGTTTACAATTGCTTTTGACGTTTCAACAATGTGACAATTTATGTCTACCGTTTGCACATTTTCAGTAAAATGAATAGAATGGAAACCTTTACCATCTCAAGATTTCGAGGCCTTGAAACACACACTCTGGTTTTTTCGCTCCTGTGAATAGACCAATTTAATAATGATGTGGCTATTACATTAGCGTAAATTTACTTTTTACAAGTCCATGTGGTACAATCTCCGTATCGTTAGCTAGAAATCCCTGAATGAAGGACCATCCTAGTAAAAAACCGAAGAAAATCATCTTGTGCACTAATGTACCACTTTTAATTACATTTATTTGAGTACTGCTATAAATATTCAAATAACAACCAAACAAAATGCAAACCAGTAGCTCATGGCAATTTTGATCATATAAATATGATTGGCGATCAAAAGTTTTCAGCGAAACTTGGATAAAAATGCGCAAGACAAAATACTATTCGACGTGTTCGAGAATTGCAGACCGCAATTGTAAGTACGTTACCTTGTTCCTTTCATTGGGAATGTTCTGGATATATATCAGGATTAGCAAATTTTCATATTTTCAGAACTTATATTAATGGAAGTTTAAATACTTTTGGTAACGGTTTGCGTGAAACAGCATGTATACCGGGCGACGCTATTCCTTTTACACTTGTGCTCACTTTAGAGACAACATTTAAATAAAATGCTGTTGTATACACATGTGGAGTAGGTATAAGGATATACAATATACGCCACATACCTACCCTATAAGTATAGAGGAAAATCGAGACTTTAAATAAAAACAAACTCGGCTAAAGGTCACTTCGACCCACGTACTCAAAGAAGGCGCCAAGTATGGGTTTTCTATCGAAAAACAAGCAAAACAACGACAAATGTGCAGAAAAGGATTGAACTGAAAGAAATTTTGCAACATAAAAACAGGAAGAAAGGAAAAAAATCCGCAAAGTGGAATATAAGGTGAATAAACGGAAAGGAAGTAGAACGCGGCAACGCATGCAACAAGTACTATCGCGGGGGGGGGGGGGGGGGGGGAAGAAGAAATACCTCTGTATATACTGCATAGCGTATACTGCTTGGGTACAAGAAAAATTCGCCCCAGCAATGCTTCAAATTCTCCTACCCTAAAGATTTTGGACTTTTACAAAGACACAGAGATCGTAAGTAAATAACAATAATAATAAAAAAGGGTTTGAAGGTCCAGAAAATGAAGAAAACATGAAACAAGGTGGTAACAGATTCTGTAAAGCTTGCTTGCTTTTATTAAGAACAATACATAGTAATAAAAAAATCAACTACATTCTTTCTTTAGAAATTTACTTGTTGTCGAAAATGTGTTTGTAGCTTATTTGCTTTAGTTTGCAGTTTTGTTTGTAGTTTCGACTGCATCCGTTTCATAAAGTGTATATCTCTTGCATTTCTGTAAAAAAAAATTGAGCAAAGAATAGGGTATTATGGTCGAATTACCTAGCAACCGCTTCCTGTTGCGAAGCACTCCATCCGAGTGCACGGTAGTGAGCTAGTACTTTATGCAATTTCTTTGTATTACGATTAACTGCCACTTGACGATCTGGGTTTATGTGTTGTTGATAATACCTCATCAAACTTCGATGACCGACTACCACTCCCGACGGTAACACAAGTTGGTAATCGTTTTCCTCAAGTTCGGCCACCTCAACTTCCTCATCAGGGTTGACATCCTTACCGGCCGCGTCCGGGTAGGACGATGAGTAATCGTAAAAATCGGCATACTCTGCAAGTGCAACACCCTCGTGAATCATTTTGCAGTGGCCCTTGTCAATCATATGCTTGCGCGCGGCATCGGCAGAATGAAAAGATTTTCCTTTCTCATTGCACCACAAGCACATAAATCCTAGAAAGTAATAATGATTTCGCAACCATACAAATATGTAATTAACTGTTATTTACCTTGCGTAACTTTTTCGCCAAGATATGTTAGTAGACCCCTTAAATCAATGCAGTATTCAACATCGGGTACAAAGAAGGAATGCACAGAAGTCATGTGCTTAACATTACGTACAATGCTACGGCTGTGATGTGAACAAAAGAGGCAGTCATTATTATCAATAGGATTTTCGACATCTTCATCCCATTCATCCGAGTTCACCTCTTCCACATCAGAATCATCAGATTCAACTTCTTGAGCAACTTTTTCCATATGTTTAGCTATGAAGTCACCAGTTTCGTCGGCTAATTTAACATTTTCTTTGTGCTTCTTGGAGTTGATGTGGTTTTCTAACGCCTTCTCATTAGTGAAGCTTTTGCGACAGGGCTCGCAATGAAGAGATTGTGTTTTCTTTTCTTCAGTTTTCTGCTGAAGCACACGACGTTGGAAGTCCTCTGATGTGACTGGTGGTAATTCGGCTACTTTACGTTTAAGATTGTAACGATGCCAGTCTGACTTGTAGTGCATCCTTTGGATCTCCCCATTTTCAAACGCCACTCCACATGAAAGGCAAGTAAATTGCGACATTTTTGTATTACGAATTTAACTGAATTTCAAAACCTGGTGCAAAAGTGTAATCTGTGTAATGCTGTAATGTAAATTTTTAGGTTAAATTTAAAGGTTACTTTATTACTGTTCTGTGGGTTACTTATGTAAGCAGAATACATTGTGCTAACATCTGTCTTTATTATTGGAGACTAACATTTTAACGCTAAATGCAGGACACTTTATTACCACCATTATTTTAGTTGGAACTTACACCTCAAAGATGTCGCCACACTAATTTTGTAATGTACTTTATGAAACTAACGTTAGATGTCAGAGCGCAGATTTTAAAAAATGTTTAAAAACCTTAGATATATGAAGTTTTAACCTCAAATGCATAATGAATGTTTGTTTATTTTATAGTCAAAAATTAAACTTTGTTACCATTCCTTTCTCGCTTACAGGTTTAAATTAGGGAACTGGCTACTGGGAGTGACAGGAAAGCGGCAGACTCAACCTTTGCGGAATATGATACTGTTCGCTCTGGGTCGTGCAGTCGAAGATATGTAGTTCTCGATGGATGAGAAACGTTAGCATTGAATTCAGACAACACAAATTGAAAAGGGAAATGCTATGTAACCAAAACAGAAGGACACAGTGGAGAACTCGCAGAAAACCCATTCTAATGCAATTCAAACTTCTCAAGGTTAAAATCGGAACGATTACATGATTGCAGCAGCTGGCGATGGTGCGAAGCTATTCTTTAAAGAATTGAGCCTAGAGTTTATTTGATAGAACTACGGTTATAGAAACGGTGGTGACATTGGCAGCGAAATAAGGCAAAAATGTTACGCAGTTTGCAATCAAGAAAAAATGTGTTGTTTGTGCGATCTTCGTGTGAAAGTTGTTGTAAAACGGTTCAGTTTAATGTACCTGTTATTGAAATTGTTCTTCCAAGGGCTTTAAATAAACTCATTAAGAAGTTACGAATTGCAAAAATAATGTTTTCTGTTCATTGAGTATGATGTGTTGCCTACAAACCAGGCTACACAAATATCCAGTGCCCATATTCAAATTAGGGATTTGCTTGAATCTCCCCAATCTGCCGTTTTTATTGAGGGTAAGGAGAGCCCCCACGAACGAATGGCCCAGGGCCCAGTAAAACTAAAAACGGCACTGTATTTAAGGAATAATAAGTGCGACGTTGCTATTAATCGCATAAATTCCAGAGACATCTCTCTCCATGTCTCTGATAAATTCAAATGAATTTTAAAAAGTTGCGTACGTGGCGACATCTCAACTAGACTTCTAAAACTATAATTGATAGTGTATCGTTTGCCAAGGAGATGGCGCAGTAGTACTTGTATTTAAATTATCTATTCAAAAACCGGGCCTTTAAACTACAATTGCTCTACAGATCTTGCAAGACACAAGACTCCGTACATTTTGAACTGCCATTTAAGGAATAATAAGAACGAGAAAATTCAAAGGGCTGTAGCTTTTGAACTAGTAACCCAATCTTGGAACTGTTTGAAATTATGGATTCTACAGGCCACATTCTATAAAAAAAAATGTTTACGGGTCGATCTGAGACAATTTTTTCTTCGGGGCTCAAAAAAAGGCAGTGTTTTACCTTCCTTTTTTACCAAAAATCGACTACACCGAAAATTCTCGGGAAAACACTTTTTCTTATTAATTTGGGTGCGTAGAATCCAAATCAATTTGTACTTTTTCGATCAGAACTCTCAATCCAAAGTTATAGACTAGAAAAAAATTCAAAGGGCTGTAACTTTTGAACTAGTAGCCCAATCTTGGAACTGTTTGAAATTATGGATTCTACAGGCCGCATTCTATAAGAAAATTTTCGGGTCGATCTGAGACAATTTATTTTTTGGGGCTCAAAAAAAGGTAGTGTTTTACCTTCCTTCTTTACCAAAAATCGACTACACCAAAAATTCTCGGGAAAACACTTTTTCTTATTAATTTTGGTGCGTAGAATCCAAAACAATTCGTACTTTTTCGATCAGACTTCTCAATCAAAAGTTATAGACTAGAAAAGAAACCAATTTCGAAAGAAAATTCAAAGGGCTGTAACTTTTGAACTAGTAGTCCAATCTTGGAACTGTTTGAAATTTTGGATTCTACAGGCCACAGTCGTTTTTCCTCTAGTCAGCGGTTTTCGATAAATCCGTAGTGGGAAGTTTTCAGATCAACACCCTGTATACCTTACTGTGGCTGTTTCGACGGCTACATAGCGCTCGGCCTTAAGAAAGTGTAAGAAACAACAGTACCCCCATCTGTTCGTAGAAGCTCTCCCCTGGTTCTCTTTTAAAAAAAGGTGGTTGTATTGCGATTTCATATGCAATCCCATTTCAGCTATATTTCGCCACCTATTCAGCACGACAATTTATGTGGCTATCGCTATACAGGGTGGTGCCTAGCGCAACGCAGCATAGGGATTTCAATGGTAATTTCTTTATAGTCAAATACTAGCTCCCCTAATTATTTTAGAACAAAAGTCTAAATACGTTTTTTTTAGAGGAAAAAATACTGCATCTGTTAGTTATAATTTTCCATTTTTCAAAACCGTAGAAATGGACAAAATAAAAAATTACATTTTTATAAATCAGTGATGCTTTGGAATCTTTATAACAAACTACAAGCGCATCGCATCTAAGTTATCGTTGTTTGACGTCGAACAATTTTCATATTTAATTCTGTTACAACTATCCGATGCAAGAAAAAGCGGCAATTGGGTAATGTTTTTTTAGAGAATGTAATGCTGCATCTGCATCAGATACTATTTGTTTATCAGAGAGAATCAGAGTACCTAAAAAAACTGATTTGAAGCAGATTTGTTCCTAAATATATATTCGGATTTTCCGCTACTGCAGCCAAAACGTTGAATGTATTGTCGTTTTCCTGATGGGTTTGAGGGACATTTTGAACGTTATTGCACTTGCAGTTCTTTAACTAATTTATAAACAAATATAAATTTAATATACGTCAAAGGCAAATAATGAAACGTGATCGCTGTTTTTTTAGGTAATTCCAAGGCATATTTGATTTATTGTAAAATGAACCTTTTTATTTTGTCGATTTCTACAGTTTTGAAAAACGGAAAATTATGAGTAATAGCATGAACGGATTCAGTATTTTTTTCTCTAAAAAAAACTTATTTAGACTTTTGCTCTAAAATAATTAGGGGAGCTAGTAATTGACTATAAAGAAATTACCATTGAAATCCCTATGCTGCGTCGCGCTAGGCACCACCCGGTATAGAACTTAAAAGGTGAGTTTCTGACGAAACATTCCAAAGCTCTCTACTACCATCAAAAAAATAAAACATAAAGCATGTACCTAACTCCGTCCTTACGTCAAAAAGTCGAGTTCTGCGGTTACAAGCCCAATTGCAATATGTATAGGGACAATCCTATAGATGTTGCACCATATCTCAACTGCTATTTTACACAATGACATGACCATCGTTATAGAAAAATTTAATCACTTTGATGCTGGCAGCCGAAGACTATCTCGTTATCAACGAATTCCACTTGGGAAACTGAAAATTTGAAAACGATTCTCACCAACAAGGCGAGTTGTTGCCTTGTTGGTGAGAGAGTTCGTTCGAGCCGCCACTTCTGCGATTAAATTTTTTTGATTTAATACGGAAAATTACAAATATCGTCTTTTATACTAAATTAATTTGCTGGTTACAAAGAAAATCTCTTCGCGTTGAAAACGACGACAGTTCAACAAAGCGCGAATTGTCGATATCGCACAAAGCTACTTTAACAATAACCGTTCTTTTGTAACCGCATATAATCAGATTACCTACTGTCTAAAGTTTTTTTTGGCAAGGGGCCTGCTTTACTATCGGTACCTATCTATGTTACAAACAGTAGCATGTCACGTGCAATTATTAGGAAGTTACTGCACCAGCTAAAATACACTGAAGATTGCAATTGCAAAGTTTTGTTTGATTCAAGTCAAGAAAAATCCCACATCTGAATGCGCAAATTTATACTCTGACAGGACAGTGCTAACGCCCTGGTAGAAAGTTTTCGGTTGCTGCTTGGTATGCATTAAAAGTCTGTTAGGAGATATCAGTTTTAAAACGAAATTTCGAATTGAAATTGTTCTTTTAGGTATATATTTTGCAATCATATGCACGTAAAATGGGAGGTCGATATTGTCTTGTATAGGCGTACAAAAGACAATCTTGGAGAAATGTACGTACATTCAGAGTTCATTAGAAACGGGGGAGTGATAAAGGTAGTAGTTTGAGGCCGTAATACTTCCCACATCATTCTCATCATAAAGATATGAGACAACCGGACAAAGAAAGCTCGAGCTTTGGCGTTACGCACCTTTTCTTTGTTCGTATTCTTGAGAAAGGAAAAATATTGATATTAAACAAGGATTGTAATGACGATCTTTAAGTGCCTTATTATGGAGCAGAGGACGAGATCAGCCTATTGTCAATAAACTTTCGTAGAACACAAAGAAATTAATCACGAATAAAGGGCGCAGTTTTCAATAATGCGGCCTTAACAAAATGTAGATACGCGTGTTTATATCTTTCGTACGACAATTCCAAGGATAATAAGATTCGGCATACTATGAGGAATATCGGTATTGTGTTTCTCTTTATACCATTCACTTATGTACGATGAAAATGAGGTACTATAAGGCATGTAGTACATACGTTTAATATTGGCCAGCAGTGGAGTAGGCAAAATAACTTTGGGGTATTCATTATATCTCTGAAACAAACCCAAAAATTACAACAAACTTTAAGGCTCCTCTATAGTCAATCCACCATATTTGAAGAAAACAGCCAAACGTTCTTATGAAATGCTACTTTTATAGTAGAAGTAAAACAAATTGACGATAGTGGATCTTCTTTGCAAGGATGAACTCAACATTTGTACTTAAAGAAATTAATGAGAGTGGAAAAATGTAGGTACAACACCAATTTGGAAATGCGACAGAATTTTTTACGTCGGCGTCGGTGCTTAGAGATAATATTCCCATTTATTATAATAGGTAATGTATATGTTTTAAAAATATAGACTTCCCTATTCTTAGAGAAAAGGCAAAACATAAAGTTTGCTTTTAATTGGCGTGACGATGAAGAAAAGTTTTACATACTTGTAGGTAAAATGCTT